GTAGTTGTCGGAGTGGTAGTTGTCTCAGTGGTAGTTGTCGGAGTGGTAGTTGTCTCAGTGGTAGTTGTCGGAGTGGTAGTTGTCTCAGTGGTAGTTGTCGGAGTGGTAGTTGTATCAGTGGTCTGTGCTGCCGTTGGAACACAGCCAATGAGAATTGCCAGCAGAGCACAGCTCAGAATTGCGGTCAGGGCTCTCATCTTAGCTAAAGTGCTGTTGAGTAAGTTGGTTGGACATGAATGATATGCATTGAACGAGTTTGAGCCATTTTTATAGCATCTCAAACTGTGCCAAAACTGCCACAGCTTTGTTGGCAAGTCTACACAGCTGCTAACTGCGTTCATTTGGCAAACATTGCATTGCACGCGAATTCGGAAGATGTCATTGAATTTATTTGTAAATAGCCGAAAGCTGTAACGACCTAAATTTCATTCTTTAATCAGTTGTTAAATATAGACATATAGACTTTTACGTAAATATTTCAATATCATTATTATCATGCTGATAAAACATGTTCTCATATTAATTTCAATTGAAATGCAAACATTTAATACAAAATTCGGTTCGTTTAAATATTTATAAATACTTGACGTTAAACTCTCTATCTGAATTAAAAAAATATTTTCATAAGTTCGAAAACATCATAATTTGAACTGAATCACCATATAAGATAATTTAATATTATATTACTATTAAATTTATCTTGTCAAGGCAACTTCAAAATTAAATTTGAGTACTATAGTACTTATAAATCCGAGGACACAGGTTTAAACAGCGTGTATAAATGAGATAATGATATTTGTTTTAAATCTATGTCTTTATTTGCATAGCGACGCGACTTCTATGGCGGTCTAAAACTGAGGGATACACACTTAGATGAAATTCGTTTTTGATTACATGCAAATGAAATAATAATGTAAAACTTAAGAAAAACAAAATTAGAGATGCCAGATTGTTACACTGGATTACTCAAATGGAAATAGATAATCACGCCATATTCAAGAACTCAAGATCAAAAATATTTATTTGTTTTAATACGTTCTCCTACATCATGCAATTAAATTTAAACCAACAATTAGCATTAACTATAAGAATTATTTTCAACCAAATTTTGAATTAAGAAATTACAGCTGTCTTATAAGCTATGTAGGTTGGCAAAGATGTTCCTCAAATGAACCCTCCTGGAGGGTGCCTATTGGTAATAACATCATAGTGGTGGCAAAGTACTCATGCTAGCTAAGATCTGGACCCCGAACCTCTGACATGGTCTACATATAGGCATGTTCTTGGCAAAGGTGCATATCGTGGTTCGAGGTAGGGCCAGACTATGGTGTCATGCGACCCGTGCCGATAGTCAGCCTGGCTGGGAGCCCGCAAATAGCCCAGTAGCTCACGGAGCATATCAGATCCCTGGCGACCTCCAATATTAAATAAGCCTTACCTGCACAGCTCGGATCTCTGTGCAGGCGGACATATTTTCTCCGCATGGATTCACATGGATCTAAATATAAATAAATCAAGAGAGTCCGGCACTCGGCAAAAGTCGGAAGGGAGAAATCCCAAACTCTCAGTGGTCTACTCCGAGACCAAAGTGGCTAAAAAAAACATGTTGGTCTAACGGCAGAACGCAACCAGCATTCTAAAGAGGCAGAACGCATATGCAGAAGCAAATTCAGGGAACTGCCCAAAATGAGCAAGACCTATCGAAGAGGCAGCGCTCCCACGAAGCACCCAGACCAGGGGCCAAAAAGGCCAAGGTCCTTCCAGGAAGATCCTTCGCCGAGATTGCCAAGGAGAGAATCTTTATTGCGGTCTTCGACAAAGGCAGTAAGGATGGACGGATCCCTAGAAATAAATGAAAATGTGTGGAAGGAGCGCTATCTGTACGCTGCTTCGAAATGATAATTGATGATCCTGAAACACCTTCAGTATGCAAAGATGCTGGATGGTAACAGGACAACACCAAGGTCATCGCCTGTAACAATGCACGCTCTGTAGAGCTTAACAAAGCGTTGGCGAGGTGTACCCGGGAGCTAAGCTGGTCGCAGTTGACTGGAGCGAAGTTCCCAGTAGACCTCGTGGTCGCATCTGAGTACGGGCGGCGATGAAAGAGCCAGACCAAGTGGTTAGAACGTAGCAAAAATGCAACCCACCCATGACTATAGGATGGTGAAGATTGAGACCTCACAGAGCCCCATGAATCAGGCGGTGTTGATCCTGACAAGAAGTAACTGGCGCCCATTGAAGCCGCCAACGGCGAGGTAAGCTTCGGCTTCTGCTCAGTCACCGTCAAGGTATACGTCGGAAGCAATGGCCGGAGGAGAGTCTGTCAACAAACCAGTCATGCATTATGCCTCTCCGGAGGTCGAAGCAACCGACGACGAGCTAGAGCCGGGGTTAGTAAGTAAGTTAGTAAGTTAAAAATACTGTCATCCTGGGCCCACAACTGTGGGTTAAGTGTAAACCCTACTAAATCAGAGCTAGTTGTCTTCTCAAGGAAGTAGAAAACTCCTACTGGCTAAGGAAAAATTTGAAATAAGTTGGTTGACCGGTCTCTTGATAGGAATAAGCAGACCTCTAACTTATGTCCTTATATAACTTATGGATAAGGAGGAATCCCCAACTCGCATCTCTGCTTTGCCATGCAAACATGTAATCAACTTCGAAAACACAGAAACCAGTAGACCTACAAAGATTCTGAATTCGTGAGTTATTGGAAGAGCTATAGCAAGAGATAGTTGCATTCATATTCTCTCTCTCTCTCTCTCTCTCTCTCTGTCTCTCTCTCTCTCTCTCGCTCTCTCGTCCTCACTCATTGTTACACTCGCTCACCCATGAATTCTGGATGCCAATTCTACGCAATTTCTCGGGTGACCAATTGTTGTGCATTGCTTGGGCTTTGTTGTTTTGACAAATGGCCACTCACGTGGATTAAAAATGCTTGTAACTAAATAACTAAACAAATCTGCGGCATAGACATCCACATTTGCCATTTAACCCGCCGGCTGGAGTATTGTTGAGGTATTTGTCGCATATGAGTGAAACTTGCAAAAAAGTAAATATGCCATGAAGTTCAGTTATAGCAACAACAAAAAATTATAGTCTCTCTCCTTCTCTCACTTTCTCTCTCTCTTTCTCTCCCTTCCTCTCCCTCTTCCGCTACCTCTGCCCCACCATTCTCACTTTCTCTCGCTCTCGTCAGCTCTCATCAGCATCCGAGAAGCTAACTTCAAAGGCCGCAGATGCTGTGCTTATTAGCTCGATGGCATTTTTCTGTATGCAAAGGCATTTTTTAAGTGCGCTTCAGTATTTGATACCCTACTGCTCATATATATATTCATATATATAACAGGATCAGCATATGGGCATTAACGATATGAAGCTTACAATCATAGGAAATATACATGGAGTAACTTTTTTATTCAGTTCGTAGTGTTTAGTTTCGTTTCGATTATTCCACAAAACAAGCTATTTTTTCCAATGTGGAATTGCATTCAAAAACTTGTATATAATGCAGATATATATATACTATATAGATTTTTACGTGTGCAGCATTTACTTAAAATAATATCATATTTTATTTTTACTTTTAAGGTCTGCGCTGGGTACATTTCAGTCAAGTTCCCCCAATCAACCTATACTACCTACATCTTTTTTACTGTTTAGTATGAGTGGATTATTTTTTGTTTTGCGCTAAATTTAACGTTTTCAAAGCCCAAGAGTGATTTTTCCGTTTATGTATGTATTATTTTTATTTTTTTTTTGTATGTCATTGGTGCATGCAACTTTTGATATCGGCATATTTTCAGTGCTAATGAAGCACATTCATTTGTATATCATTTCAGTTTCAAAGTGCTTTAAGACACTGATGAGTGCTTCGCACTGTTTTGACAAATAGCTATAAATATTTACTAAATATGTACATACATACATACATAGTAAACAGCATTGAAAATACCATCTCGAGTATCTCGGACTGCCATATCGGTTAGCACCAATTACTGAAAACTGAAAGGAGAACAAACACACAAACACACACACATACATACAGCTCGATTGAATATCCAAAATTAATGATTTTTGCCAGTCATGCATTAAAGTTTATCTTTCTGAAGAACCATTCACCAATTTCGCACTGTGGGGCCAAGCAGCCAACAAAATCAAGACTTTAGCAACATATTAAAGAGAAGTTTTAATTTCACAAAATCAACAACAAAGAAAAGACTTTCTTGAGACTATCTTGGCATTATAATGTTTTGCATATGAACTGATAAAGTGTGGCCGATTTTTGACCCACTGTGCACTGCTCAAAATGCCACATGAGTCTTAAAAAGAAATCTATGGTAATCACGTTGCTTGAGGAGCACAACAACAACTAAACCTAAAGGGAAAAAAATGGTTAAATTTATGAACAAAATTATACACGTAAAAGAGATGTGTATGTAAATGGGTATTATGCAGTGCACAGTGGTACCACTTGGAGCATTAGATCTTTAAGTATTTCTGTTCATCTTTATATTGTCAGGTGTCGTACTTATCTTTACAGCGCTTTCCAAATGTTTCATACAACTTTATGTGAAGTAAAATAAGAAACTAATATAAAAAAATAATAATAAATAATGTGAATAAAATCAATAATAATCAGAGCAAAAATAAATATTCTATGCTTGAGGTAAACAACTTTACGTGAATTGTACGAGTCAGTGGCAATAGTGGCAGACGGAACCAGTGTGCTCTGAATGGATGCGAATACAGTGAAATGTGAAGAGGGGCGTGCGGCGTGCGGGCGCGTGCTTAAGTATGTTATGCTTGTTGTTGATCTCGGCGCTGATGTTGTAATTTAAACTTAAAAACCGGCAGCGTAGCGTTTTGGCTAAATCAGTTGCGACTACAACACACAATGGCAATCAATTGGCTGCTGCTGCTCGGGTGGATCGGGTGCTGCTGCTGGGGGATCGGCGATTGGACAGTGGAGGCGCGTGCCTCTCAGGGCTTGCATGTGCAATTGCCACACGGTGGCTGGCTAATTGGACGCCACAGGACAACCCACAGTGGTCGCCATATGCGTGCATTTATGGGCATTCCTTTTGCCCTGCCTCCAGTGGGTGAGCTGCGCTTCCGCGCGCCCATCGAGCAACCGGGCTGGCAAGGTGAACGTCTCGCTGTGCAGGATGCGCCAATGTGCATGCAACGGGATCCCTTTCGACGCGACACAAAAATCGACGGTGTCGAGGATTGCCTGTATCTAAATGTGTATACGCCAGATCCGGTAATTGGAACGTCACTGCCTGTTATGGTCTGGTTCCATGGCGGTGGCTGGCAATGCGGCTCAGGGATTAGCAGCTTCTACGGTCCGGAGTTTCTGCTCGAGCATGATGTGGTACTGGTTTCGGCCAACTTTCGGCTTGGTCCACTTGGATTCCTCAGCACGGAGACGTTGGATTGTCCCGGCAACAATGGACTCAAGGACCAGCTGGCGGTGTTGCGCTGGGTGCGTGATAATATCGCCGCCTTTGGCGCTAATGCACAAAGTGTAACTGTATTTGGTGAGAGTGCCGGCGGAGCGAGTGTCACCTACCACATGTTATCGGAGCAGTCACGTGGATTGCTGCATCGCGCCATTGCCCAATCTGGCACCTACTTCAATCCGTGGGCTCAGCCGGCGCACGAGGGTGTCGCTGCTGGGCGTGCCCACAAACTCACCGAGCTGATGAACTGCTCCCAGTTTGGGGACGATTGGTCGGCAAAATTGAAGTGTCTGCGTGGCAAGCGTGCCGAGGACATCGTCGCCAAGCTTTACGATATGTTTGTAAGTTGCAATAATCATAAAAGTAGAAGCAAGAACCTGAGGATTGCTTTGAGTATAAAATTCTTATTTTACAATCTTATTTCTTTCTTATATGCATATTTTATTTGGGTTTATCAAAAACTAGAATTATCGGGATAGAGCTTTCGCATATAACAAATATATACACTATATGTATTTAATTTACGCGCGGTGTAATAATATGGCGCAAGTACAACTGAAAGGCGATCCCAAGAGCAAATATAGAACACAACGACGTAGTTTAAGTATCGAACATGGACTGCTGCCGATTTGCTTCGGCAGGTTTATTGAAAACTTCTAAATTATCTTACAGCTATATGCAATTATTCTTATCCTACTTAGGACATTATCTAGATACATATTTACTGCTGCAAATGCGTCTAGACTCATTATTCTATCAGTTCGGAGAACTCTTATCGCGGGAGGTTTTATTACGGTCACGACTGGTGCCGCGAACGTGTCTGTTCACGTCTTTACATATCTTCTGGATATTAATCCTCCTTGATTATCTTACCATTGGAAGATTGAACAATATATATACACTATATGTATACAAATTAAATTTGGTGTTTATAAAAGTTAGGAGATTATTTACACTGCTAACATTTTGACTACAATTAATCAGCATCGAAATTGTGATATACTTCAGTACTTTAGCTGGAATAATTGGTCGAGAAGAGTTGTTGAAGTTGAATTTCGTATTTAAATATTCTTCACATTTGGACAGGTGTGGGATTTCGATCCCATGATACCATTTCCACCGGTCATTGAGCCGGAGCACACAGGTGCCTTTCTAACGCTGAGACCGCGTGATGCGCCACTGCCACATGGCCAGAAACTGCCACTGATGATAGGCGTGACGGCTGAAGAGGGACTACTGAAGACGGCGGCGCTGTTGAACTTACCGCATCTGATGGATGAGTTTAAGACGTACTTCGACCAGCTGCTACCTCTGGTTCTTAACTATGATCATCACGAGCTGGAGGCACAACAGCAGATAACGCGGCATATCGAGAGTTTCTACTTTAAAGCCGGACACAACTACAACAAATCCAATCATCAGAATCTGACCGATGTAAGCCATGTGTAAACTGAATTTATAATGAGCATATTAACTATATTGATACATATGCTTATAGCTAATCTCCGATGGCTGGTTTGTGGCTGGCGTCGATGAGTATTTGAAGCTTCGCAGCAAGTCCTTATCACCCACGTACGTGTATTTATTTGATCACAAGGGCGCCGCAAGTTTCTCGGAGATATTTAAGGGCGGACGCAATGAATTCTATGGCGCCTGTCATGCCGAGGAGTTACAGTATCTGTTTCCCATTGGACAGCAGCTGTTTGTTAGCGCCGTGCCAACTCGTCAGGATCTACAGCTGCGCGAACTGATGCTCCGCCTGTGGGTGAACTTTGCGCGAACTGGGTAAGACTAGGATTCGCCTGTTTGTTGTTAATAAAAATATAGAATTTTTTATTAGCGATCCAAATCCGATTCCGGGCACCAGCAACTTACCCATCTGGCGACCCACGCCCACATATCCAGTGGAATATGCGCGCCTTGGCTCCAAATTGGATTCAGATGGCGTTGAGCAGCTGCCGCCACTGCTGCGAATGGAGGTGGCCCTGCTGCAGCATCGTGCTGATTTCTGGCGCGATCTCAAAGCTCATTTGCCTGCCAGTCGGCAGCAGCGGAAACACAATGAACTTTAGATGTATTACTTACATTTTGTTTTCAAAGGAAAATAAATTAACCACGCTGCCAGATCTCTGAATATAATATGAAAACCAGAGTTGCCACAGTAACAGAAATAGACCAAATCAATTTACTGAATTAGGCAAATTACATTTAATATAATATAAGGCTTTGTCTGCAAAAAAGTCATAAAATAAGCAATTATAGCATCGAAAATAATATAGCAGCATACTTGCATGATATTATTTTGGTTTTAAAAATTAAACAGAAAATGCCAGATCTCATAAAGTAATGTGAGCAGAACAGAGCTGCCAATCTGCTGCCATAAAGTTTCAAAATAATAAAACTATTAACCATATAATTAAACTTTGTGTCAGCTACAAAAAAAAATAAGAAAAACAAATGGAAATAATGAACGATGAGTCTAGTGTATCGGCTCTTGTCGGCAAGAAACATACATTTTTTTTGTAAAATGTGTAAAGATAATTGCAGCCCAACAATCTGGCAACCCTAACACACAGAAACGTAGTTTCATTTTTTTTCAAGCTGGCCGACATTGACATACGCATACGGACAAAAAAGACACACACACACCTATATATAAACAAAGCAAGTTTCGTTTATTTTTTTTTTTTGGTTTTCATATATATAGTCGCATACATTGTATACGTTTATATAAATAAAAATAAACACAAAAATTAGTAAAATTGATGCCACACGCCTGTAATTACAACGAACGTTGTGCTTTTCTCGCTTAACTTGGCCTCGAGCTGAATTTCTGTGCGCGTCACAACACTGAAAGTGGGTGACAAATGGCTGGATCGGCGCTGCGTCGCCTGATGGCGGAATACAAACGTAAGTACACAATCTTAGAGCGAGCGAAAGAGAAGGCAGAGAGGGAGAGGGACTAATGAGGGCACCTGGACTTTACACAATTTGTTGTTGTTGTTGTTCTAATTGTTTTTGCCTTTATTTTTGTTCGCTATTTCGCCAGAGTTGACAATGGATCCGCCGGAGGGCATCGCAGCTGGTCCCATCAGTGAGGATAACTTCTTTGAATGGGAGGCGCTGATTGCGTGAGCTATATAATTGTGTATACACATAATCAATTGTTAATTGTTACTTTTTGCTATAGCGGACCCGAGGGTACTTGCTTTGAGGGTGGCGTGTTTCCAGCTCGTCTGGTTTTTCCACCCGATTATCCACTAAGTCCACCAAAAATGAAATTCATTTGTGATATGTTTCATCCAAACATTTTTGCCGATGGCCGCGTTTGCATATCAATATTACATGCCCCCGGTGACGATCCCATGGGCTATGAACTATCAGCCGAACGCTGGAGTCCCGTTCAGAGTGTGGAGAAGATTCTGTTGAGTGTGGTTAGCATGTTGGCGGGTAATTCATCACAGACAATCAAATCAAATATGAAATTTATTCCCCTATATTTAATGAAATCTCTTTTGTTTTTTTAGAGCCCAACGATGAGAGTGGAGCGAATGTCGATGCAGCAATTATGTGGCGGGAGCGGCGGGAAGAGTTCAATCGGATTGCACAGAAATTGGTGCGCAAAACGCTCGGTCTACCAACATAAGCACATACACACAAACAGACTGAAGCGATCCCGACCCACAGCAATACATACTACAACAAAATTTAAAAGACAACAACTCTACCACTACCACTATACCAATCTTAAAACTGAAACTGGAATCCACAACTTATAATTAATCCACACACCAACATGCGTTGTGTGGGTGTGTGTGTGTGTTTGTATGTGTGTGTGTGTGCTTGTCCAACTCCAAATCAAGCAACAACAACCACAACAATTGTGCAATACATATATATATATATATAAATTTATATACATATATATGTATATATATATTTTCAATTAACAGATATTTTTCGCAAGGACTCTTAAAGTCGGATCTACCCGCGCGAAGTTAGTTTTCAATTTAATTGTTATTATTCACGCTGAATTGCTGAAGCTTAAGCTTGCAATAAAAAAAATCAAATTCTTGATGTTAAACTCAATAGCTAATAGAGCCATCGGTGCATTACTCAAAATTGTATGACTTTATTGGTCAAGAAAAACGATCCAGATTATCGTTTCAACCTAATGCACAATTTGAACAGAATATATATATAAATGTATTTAGAGACTAAGCAATGCATATATATATATATATATATATATATATTCCCATTTTGATTGTCGTTCTCAAGATCCCCGACCCATCCACGCAATTAAGATTATATTATGGTATGGTGTGTAGTGTGTAATATACTCACTACTCCAACGTGCTGCAACCGAAATAAAAATAAAAAAAAGAATGATAAAGAAGTGTTTTCTGTTGCACTAACCTGAATGTATACTTGTTTTTATCTTTGAAAATTGTTAGCGACCTGGAGAACTTACGGGTATCGTTCGTAGCTTATACAGTACTCACTGGGGAAATGAAAAATATTTTTCGCTTGTATCAAAATTGCTGGGCTCAGCAACACTTTATTAATTTTTTTTTATATGTACACTTTTGAGTATTGAGAGTTTTAAAAATCTCGAAATATTGGTTTGTAGAAATCATTAAAGTGAAAATATATATATTGTAGTACAATAAATTTCTTATTTATATAATATACAAAAATTGGGTTCCTAGCAATTAAAGTTTTTTGCGAATTTGAATTACAAGTGAACAAGAAGCTCTACAATTTTAGAATTTTCGTATTATGTAGATAGATCGCCCCTTCGCCAAAGAATTCAAGAATCGCGCCCTAAACAGCGCTGCCAGTAGGTTAAGAAAGCACCACCAAGCTTGAAGCTGGCAAGTCTGGCCATTTGCGATTAGATTGGGATGGTCACACTGTCAAAGGCAAATTCAGTCATTGTTTTTGCTTTTGGCTGAACGTGCGGCGTGCTGCGTTCGTGTCTAACGTTCAAGCGGGTTTGTTGTTTTCCCTTTTTTTTGTTGCTGTTGTTGTCGTTGTTGTTGTTGTTATTGTTACATAGCACTACAATAAAAAAAACAAATAGTTAAAGGTATGTTAATGAAAACGAGAACACTTTACAGAACACCAGCAACAAGTGCTAATTTTAAATGCATATTAAAAAACGACATTGCAGTGGTTAATCATATAAGAAAGAAAAAAAATCGGAAAAAAATCTCTATGTGTGCGAGCGGCGCTGATAAAAATAAGCGCAAAGTGAAAATGGTACTAAATAAATAGTGTACCGCATTAGTGGGGAAAACATGACGCATGTTGCTGCCTGCCGCCAGGTGTGCTTGTGTGTGTATGCAAGTGTGTGTGTGTGTGTGTCAGCGTCCAATATGCTGTTAATTGTGCGTCGCATCAGCATTACAACAATTTACCGCATTTGGATAAGCTCTGCGGGTTATGTTTGTTTGATTAGGTATAATGTGCTTTAAATAAATAACCACAGCCATTTATTTCATCAGATTTAAAAAAAAAACACACACACACACGCATACAGACGTGGGATGAAGTGGGCATGCCAACGCAGCTCAATGTCCAATCAGAGTTAGGCTGCAGAGTTGCCAGCCTGCAAATGTGCACACTCCGTTGAAAACATTGTGTAATGTTTGTTTTCTTTTCATTTTTTTTTGCCGTGCCTTCCAATCTTATTGTTACTAATTGCATTGGGCGCATGGCTAAAGCAGCTGACCATTTTTGCTTTGCAAAGACATAAAAAAAAATAAATAAATAAGCCAGCTTCTCTGTGTCTTTATAAACAAAGCGGAAAGAGCTGTAAGCTGCAAATTAACATATATTCAAAATAAATGCAATTCAGGCCACTTGATCGATTTAATTTATGCCAGTGTAGAGAGAAAAGACAAAAAATAAATATATGCTAAAATATACATTTATTTGAAGTTCGGTTACGCGCTGTGTCGCAATTTCTCGTGTCGCCCCCGATTTTTTCTAAAGATGATCGCCGATTGGGAATTCGCTTCTTTCTCATTATTGTATTCTTATTTGCGTGCTTTGTGCTTTAGTGTTTTTTTAGTTAACAAGTGGTTGCGCCCATATCAAACAAACATCAAGAACAAAATCGAAATTGGCAATTAGGCAATTTGTGTCTACTTGTAAATAATGCCGCATTAAAATACAACCTACACTTGTGCATGTGTGTGCATGAACTATTTAGCATAGCGCACGTGACGTCATTGCGAGAATTAACAAAAAAATACTTTTAAAATATATATACAAATTGTCATTCCAATTATAACATTAGCGACAAGTCAAAGCTGGCATTGATTTATGCTATGTTTAAATACGATATAGATATATAGATGTTTATGCTACGAATAAAACATGTTTCAATATTTATTTAACTACGATTAATTCAAATTGCATCTTGTCACAGTTAACTTTTAATACATAAATTCGTTAAACTAATTCGTAGTGCTTACTAACGTAAAACTTGTCGAAATCGATGTAATTGCAAATGCCAAAATATGGCAACTCTGTGTAATGCATTCAATTCAATTCATTCATTTATTACCTTGTATATAGCCACATACAACTCTTAAATTCAACCCTCTATCGCTCTCTCTCTCTCTGTCTCTCTCTCTCTCTCTCTCATCGTGGATTTTCAGCTTGTAACGTTTTCGCTCTCATTTGCACTCCAGGCTCAGCTCGGTCCCAAACGATAACGGGGAAAACGGAAATCGGAAACGGAAACAATGCTTTCGCTACAGAATCAAAGGCAACCTAAAACGTCGCCCCTGGTGGATGACTATGAAATATCGGACACTGTCCTTGGACTGGGCATCAACGGTAAAGTAGTGCAGTGCACCAATCGTCGCACTAGACACAACTACGCCCTCAAAGTGCTCCTCGATAATGAGAAGGCCAGACGCGAGGTCGACTTACACTGGCGGGCAAGTGGCTGCAAACACATCGTGAACATCATCGATGTCTACGAGAATACCTACAGCGGTCGCAAGTGTCTCCTGGTCGTAATGGAGTGGTGCGTACCAATTTTTAATCTTTTTCCTGTTTCTAGTGTCTCTATTGTCCGCTATCCATAACCAACAACCTTCTTTTTTTTTTTGTTTATAATCGAGCATGTCGATCTCGTGAAACATTATGATCCGTACTTATTGGAATAATTCAGTTGTTTCACAAATTCCTAGATATTTTTCTTATTGTTCTATGGTATTATATTTTCTTCAACTTTCAATGGATTTTTTTTTTTTGTAGTTTCCAAAGATTTCACTTTTAGGCATTTTTAAATAGCGCCTCTTATTGGATTGCCTCACATATGGAGAATGCATCAAATAAGTTAATAGTTGCGTCATCCAGTCAATATCTCAAAAGCAAATCAGTTTGAAACTATTTATTTATTTATCTTTTTTGTTCGTTATACGTAAACTTTTTATAGATAAAAAGTGTTGTTCACAAATAGCTGTTTACAATTACATTTTACACATATCTTACATCCGAATTGGTCCCTCTCTCTCTCTTTCTCTCTCTCGCTCTCTCTATCAATCTATCAGTTGTTATATTTGTGCGTTATTCGGAAACGTTTTACTGGCGCCTTGCAGTTTTATATGAGAAACACATATATTTATAGTTATCAAAAATCCAAATAAATATAGTTAGTTTTCATGATAATTGATTCGATTCCCGTTTCTTTCTTCTATTTAATGACAGCATGGAGGGCGGTGAGTTGTTCCAGCGCATACAAGACAAGGCGGAGAGCTCGTTCACGGAACGAGAGGCAGCTCATATAATGCGCGAGATTTGCGAAGCGATTTATTATCTGCACAGTCGCGATATTGCGCATCGCGATTTAAAGCCGGAGAACTTGCTCTATACGACAACGCAGCCGAATGCGGTGCTTAAGCTCACCGATTTCGGTTTCGCCAAGGAGACCTTCACCAATGACACCCTACAGACGCCCTGCTATACGCCCTACTATGTCGGTCAGTTGGCCCAAGTCCGCAGCTTGGATATTTTATTTAATTCATCGCTTATTGATTGATTGAATTTCCTTCTGTTTTTAGCGCCGGAGGTGCTCGGTCCGCAAAAGTATGACAAAAGCTGCGACATCTGGTCACTGGGCGTGGTCATGTACATTATCATGTGCGGCTTTCCGCCGTTCTACAGCATCAACGGTCTATCGATATCGCCGGGAATGAAGAAACGCATACGCTCCGGCCAATATGATTTCCCCGACCCGGAATGGACGAATGTTAGCCAGGCGGCCAAGGATCTAATCAAGGGCATGCTCAACGTGGATCCCAGCAAGCGTTTGTGCATCGAGGATGTGCTGCGCAACAAGTGGATCGCCCAATATAATGCAGTACCACAAACACCGCTCTGCACCGGCCGAATGCTCAAGGAGGGCGAGGAGACCTGGCCGGAGGTTCAGGAGGAAATGACACGTTCACTGGCAACCATGCGTGTGGACTACGATCAAGTAAGTAATGCGCAGCTCGCAAGTGACAACCAACATTCCGAAACAACTTCAAAAAATCTGTCGGATCAAGTTTTCGCCCAAAACGCTTAAAATCACTTTAAAATATAGAAGTTCATTAAAGCTATCATAGTTTTATTGAAATCCATTAATCTATTCTTAAATCCCATTTGCAGATGCAAATAAAGGCGCTGGACAAGTCCAATAATCCGCTGCTGACGAAGCGCAGGAAAAAGATTGAGGAAATTTATGCGGAGCACAAGTGAATGCGGCCACAAAAAAGCTAAAACAAACAAAAAAGAAAGAAAAAAGGATTAAAGGACATACGCCAAACTTCCCCCCCCTCCCAAACCCCTAAAAAAAACAAGAAGACGAAAAGTTGTCACATAAAACGCACATTTTTTGCGTTACGTCTTTTTATCATATATATTTTTTTCGCCTCACATTTAGGAGTTGTACAATGCTATAAAACGCTGATGAAAGCTATATTACAACCCAACTTCCATATACATAAAATACGGACGAAAATGGACCCTATTATAACCTATCGACCTGCTACCCCTTGACTTATGATACATTATGTTTTATGTGTTTATCTGTATGTGCATTATCCATAATCTGTCTATGTATGTAGTGTATATCAATTTCCAGTAATGGTTTTAAGGGTATTTTTTTAGTATTGAGAAGTAACATGCTCTTTCATAATGAAAATAACTTATATAGGAGCGACAAACAACAGAACCTAAGCATACATAAATAATATATAATAAATACCTTTACTACTTGTCGCCAGATACAGAAGACCCCCGGACTATAACCTGAATTTTTTCGATTAATTATTATTATATATTTTTTTTGTTTTTTTATAATTTAATTTTTGTGACTTGTGTATGATATGATGTGAAATCATTAATGTTTTAATGTTAAACGCTAGCATTAGCGTTGCTCCAGTTGAGTGTCTCCACGATTACGGATATATTTTCTTGCTACTGATCGCTTTATGCAAGCTATACAATTTATCATATAAATAAAGTATTTGTAGTTATTAAAATCGATAACAAATTGTATCATTTCAACCAGGAATTTTTCTATTTTTCCAGAACTCAAACCGTGTTTTTAAAACACGTTTCCGATGCCAACGTGAAAATACATCAAATGACTTGAATTATGAATCACTCTAATCAGAATAATATATATGAGTGTTTTAATTGAATGATTAACATCACGCGATCGCAATAGGTCTCCCATTGTGTGGCTGAACTCTACTAAAAAAACGATTAAGTTTCTATACTGATCCGGTTGTTTACATGATATGATAGTTGCCACTTATATATATATATATACAAACAATAGTAATAATTAAAAACTTTACTTCGCAATAACACTCGCGACTTTCTTAGACACAGATAAGAAGTGTATATGTATGCATTATTATAAACAAGCAGGTGCCAAGTCAAGCGTAAATTCCCCATAGGCTATAGAGTGAAATAGGTAGATATATATTTATATGTATGTTCTCTCGCTCAGATTAACATCTTATCTCATCCCTGTGTTCCCATAAAAAAAAGTTTAAAACACCAATCTGTGAATTTTGCAATTGAATTTCTCATTTATTGATAATATATATAACAATGCAGTTCGACACACACACACACACACGCGCATAGAAAGTGAGTTGAGAAGCGAGTTGCGGGAGGTGGGTTGTGGGTAGTGGGGAGGCGCTGACTAAAGCATTTGCGAATAACAGTTTGCTAAATTCTCTTTCACACACACACACACTCAGGCATACTCTACTTACTTGTTTTAAGTAGCATAATACAAATCATAAATCGAATAAAAATAAAAAACAATGCGGCTAACAAATACAACAATATATATATATATATATATATATATATATATATAATATAGAGAGACATGCATATATGTACTATTCTACGGTTCCTACGACAATAGTTAACAATTTGTTTCGTAAAAAGGTTTCGAGTTTGTTATGCTCTTGGGTATTGCTGCGCCCTTTTCTAAACTGGCTTACAAAAAACTGGTGCAGCATATTTATGTATGTGTACCTTATAGATACCATGTATATTATTTAATATTTAAGGTACATGCATTTTATATATTTTATTCACATATATGTGTATTTGATCTGTTTTACATTTTTGGTTTCTTATACTCTTGCAGAGGATATTATAATTGTGTTGTGAAAGTGTGTTAAAGGATCGACTATACTCCTAATCGGGTATGCAAGGGTATATATAATCTTCGGTGTGCTTAAGATAGCTGTTCATTATGTTTTTTGTTTTTGTCTTTAGAAAAATACATATTAGCTATATATATTGTATATAGCCGTAGTTATCTTAAAAATATTTTAGTAATATTCTTTTATGGCAGATTTGCGAAAGTCGCGTTCAATATTCAAATCTATTGTTGAACTTTATAATTCCTGCAGACGTTATATTTGAATTAGCTTCTCTCTCTCTCTTCTCTCTCTCTCTCTCTCGCTGTCTGTTGCTGTGTGCGTGTGTATTGGTGTCTCTGTGTATTGGTTTTGTAAACTGAAGGTACATCATTTACTTTGTATTTGTTTCCGTTTCCGTTTCTGTTTCCATCTTCTTCGTCTTCAACTTCTTTCGGGGCTTTGTCCCCATTTGTCCCAAAAATGTCTTAAAGTATACTATCGCAGCTGTTCTCCGCCTCGCTATTGGAGCAATCCATCGCTGGCAAAGATCCACCTCGTCTATAAGCACATTGACGCCGATACGCATCACTCGATCCCCGATTGTTACTGCTGCTGCTGATGCTGTTGCTTGAGATAATTGTGGAGCTGATGTGGCTGCTGCGACGACTCGATGTCGATGTGGCATGATGCTGTGGTGCCGCAATTGGTGCAGCTACTGCATTGAGTCGCGGAAAATATTTGTAAATCTCCAGCAGACTGTTGAGCTTTATGTGCGGCTTGTATGCCACATCGTCCAAACACTGCGACGCTGCGCTGCTGTTCAACGGCGTCCAAAATGTCAGACCCAGCTGGGCGAGATGACCGCCCTGTCAAATGCAATTGAATTGTATTAAAAATATATAAATTGTTAATCAGGAAAAGTGCCCGACACTTGCTCAAAATGGCGCATAAACACAACTTCGGCATCATTAAATATACATATATATTCATATAGTCTTGATCAGCCGGCATGCATATTTTGTATAATTCATAATGTGATCATGTTCAGCATCATTAAATTGCCCCACCTTGATGTCCGTCTCGAGTTTATCGCCAATCATGGCGCACTCTTGCGGTTTAACATGCAGGAAATTGCAGGCTTCGTAAAAGATCTCCGGATGTGGCTTCTCCCAAGGCAGATCTGAGGAGACCAGAATGCAATCGAAATAGCCCCGCACATGCAACTTGGCGACCTTCTCCCACTGTGCATTCGACGGCCCATTTGTGATGATTGCCAGGGCATAGCCGGCGCGTCGCATACGCTGCAATAGTTGTACATAGTCGGGCGGTATGGCTAAGTAACGGTAACGCAATTTTAGCCACTGCGGATAGATTTGCTCGGCAAGATGTTTATGCTTCGACTGCAAGGATTCGCGCCACAAGTGCGTCCGCCACGAGTCCAGCGATGTTTGCGTATTGTCCGGACAGCGACGAAAGGACTTTAAAAATGTCTGTGTGGCCAAAGTGGCATCATCTTTGGTTAAACAATACTGCGTCTCCAGCACCTCGGCAAGCTGTGAAAAACAAGTCAAGTGGAAGAAAATACAATACAATACAATACAATATATATATATATATATTGGAGAAGGGGGCAGACGAAGCATGATTGCATGATTTGGATTATGATTGTGTTGCAGGGGCAAGCGCTTATGACACTTGTTGTTGTTAGCATTGCTTCTTATTCATGTTTTCTTCTTCCCATTCGCCTTGTTAGCTAATAGTTGCACACACACACACTTACTCACACACACACATTACGCTAAAATTTCCCAGAATAGGACAGACAGAAGACAGGCGTCGCAATTGACTGTGAGTGAAAACACTCTGAAAGTGTGTGCGTGCTATTGACATAATATTTATTGCGGATTGCGAAATATGAAAAAAGAAAAACAAAAAGAAAAACGCAAATGAAGACTTTTCCCATAGCCACACACAAGAATTTCAATTTACAGGGAATGCAGTTAAATGATAAGTGCATCACTTTTCTAATCTTTACAGCTCGGCTAAACTATCAATATAAAATATGTTGCTTAATGACGTCAAATTAAAACTGTCGACAAATAATAATTATTATTACTGATTATTAATTAAACAGCTTATATAATTTATACACGCATTTGCTTGTTTGACACGCAAAACAACAATAACAACAAATAAAAGGCGTAATAATTGGAAGTATACAACTGCTTCCTGCATGACGACGTAAATTTATTTATAACTCCTGAACTTATATTTAAAGAGTTTCCGCATAAACACAAAAATAGTTACTAATAACAAAATAAAAATAAATAAAACATTTACATGTGTCTATACTTTTTATTTATTTTTATTGTGATCTGCGGCAAAACGGTAAATGTCAAGTGTCATTCACAAATTTAGTGATTATTTTTGGTCTCGTATGACTTTGACCTCTAGCCAGAGAAAGACAGCGATGTGCATTGATCAAACTTGCATTCGCACGCACACACACACATACTCAAACACACACACCCATCTATGTATTGGAAGAGGAGCGCGCGTGCTTACACACACGTACACACACACTCACACTGCACGTAACCAAGCGCTTGCAGTGGAAAATTTTGTATAAATATCTATGTAAATATAAAGTGCTCGTATGTGTGTGTGTGGGTGTGACTGTGAGTTAGGAGCGCGCGAACTTTCACCCGGGCGAACCTTTAAGTACATACACACATCCATACATACCTTGCGTATCGCTTTGGAATCACCGGCCCGCGTTGGGATTAGCGTGTTATCTAAGTCAAAATAGAACGCAGAGATTTTTGCACAAATGCCATCAAATGGTGTTTGATGCTTGAGGCTCGTTGTTAACGTCGCTGTTGAAAATTTGCTAGCGGCCATGAGTTATTGCCACGCACGGTTGGACCAGAAGAATCTGTCGCCTTTCAAATTGGAATTGGGAATCAAATGGAGCGGGGATGGTGGTGGAAGCACATAAGCACATATATATAGCATAAGAAATTGTTTATTATTATTATTGTATGTTGTGCTTGTTTTGATTTGTTCAAGTTTTGGCGCCACTAGTGCAATGAATGAGCATTTGAAGCAACAATATTGCCTCGGCGAGTTGTAGTTCCACGCTCTGCGTTAGTTAAACGGCAATTGAATGTAAATCAAACGTTGGACAAAAGTTAAATAAGGGAACAGGTAAATGTAACCAAAGTAAGAGCGAAGCAATGACTGAAAGAAAGTGCCCGCACGCACGATTCTACAGTTTCGCGCGCAAGTTAATGGACAGTGCATAAAAGTTGTCGTCACCAACTTATTTTTTTATTTGCTTTAGCACATCTCTTTTGGATTTACGTTGAGGTTATTCAATTTATTAACGCTAACGCGCACATTCACAATGCACCAGTTCGATGTAATATTAATTATTAATATATATCATTAGAATTTCATTGGATGTGTGCAGCTTTTGAGCCGTCACTGTAAGTTGAGTAAAGAGAGAAGTGCGCCCGTTTGAAATGAGTCAGAGTGAACACGCAATACTCATGCGGAAGAGAGCACATGTGCGTATATAGTTTGCATAACAACATAAAAAAAACAACAAAAAACGAAAGAAATTTGACTTAATAATTTGTTGCAAAAAATAATACAAGAATATTAATATATTGACCTGCTAGTGCGGATTTTAATAAATTGAGCTTAATATTTGCATTCATTTCATTTTACAACACTGTGTTCGTTATTTGTATAATACAGTGCAGGGATGCTCATTTTCTCATCGATATATCGTGACACGAATGCATATTTCCTTTCTGTGGCAACGCCAATTTTTTATTGCGGACAAATTTTGTATATGATTCGTACAACCCAATTTTGCTTATTAAATTGTGACTGGCAACTATAATGACTGATAATGACAAATATTTCGAAGCGAGTCCAACAGGTGAGTAATGCAAACAGGTCTAAATACATTTCGCTTTATGTAATATGTATGTGCAGGCTCGGGGACCAAGCTGCAGTCGGACGCCACAGATGCTGCAACCAAAGAAGGCGCCAAAGACGATGACCTGATTTCGCTGGAAACGTTGCGTGAATCGCCAGTGCAGTGGCCAGTGAAATGTGAGTAGCATAAATTTGAAAGCAAATGCACAACTTGATCCCTTTAATCATTTGCATTATTCGCACTTAGTTCCCGGCATGCAGGAATTTCTCACCATGAGCGATCCGCCAGTACGCATGCCGTTGTTTGGCTGTAAAGAGTTCCCGAACCGTGAAAATATGACAACACTTGAAGGTGCGTACACCTAACAGCCTTAACCATGGTCTAGGTCAAAGTTAGCTTTGTTTTGTAACTTGTTTACTAATGGCAACAATTACAGAATTTGCTACCATGACCCGTGAGCAGGTGATCGCCAAGGTGAAATCAATGCATGATGAGATCTACAACTTGGGGCAGCGTGAGTCCATAGAAATGTCGCGCGGCAAACTGTTGGGCATCTTTAAGCGGAATTCGCTGAGTCCAAGAAAATGACGCATATTAAATTGTTGGGCATCGTTGTTCGGGCTCCTTTGACCAAAGCACAACCAATGAGAGATTGATTGAAATTAAGCGGCTCGTTAAGATGTCGTCCTAACTTTCTGTGAATAATTCCATATAATTTTATTAGCTGCTTGTTGTACTTTATGGATACCGTCCCTCAGAATTGTGGATTAATAACCAAAATGATGGCATATTTAATGCATGTCTGTGAAAAATGAAATTAATTATTATTTGCGTATAATTTGCTTATGTGCTTTATGCGTTTTATTTATGTTCCTATGAAGTGGGGTCTAATCACCAAATTTATTGCATACCCTATGTGTATCTCTTAAAAATAAAAATCATATTAATAAGCGAGTAATTTTTGTATAATTTCTTTTACACTATTGAGCTATTTATAATTTATATATAGATATTTTAAAACAACATTATATATAAGTGCCAGGCTTGAAATTCTGACTGTCTATCGCTAAATCAACTTTGTTTTGCAAAGATATCTTAACTCACCAGTTGTGATTGCTTTAATGATCCTTAAACTTTTACCAAAACTAACTATTGAAACTAAGATGTCTGAGAGTAAAAAACAAAAGATTTATGCTAGTCAACAATAAATAACATTTATTTCGATTAAATCATCGTTGTGATATACATGCATATAGAGTCTACATATAGTTATATATATAGTATTTCAGTTAAATTTTTATTTGGTACCAAAAGGAGCAGCTGATTGAGGTTGACACTGACTATTCTGAGGAGATTGAGAGAGATGTGTTGGAGAGTTAAATGGGAGGTGAGGGAAGAAAGGTGAGGTGTTGTGAAGTGAAGTGAGGAGAAGGCACAGTTCTTATAAATGCCGATATGCTTAAATCAACAAATTGTAAATTTATCATGTGTTTTAGGTGCAGGTACCGTTATGTGCCTAATATATATTACTATATACAATGGTTGCTCATCAATTATTAATTTTTCAAATTGATATCGTCATTTTTAGTGTCTTCAAACAAAAATTTGTAATGACCAACATTAAATTTGTTTTAAACAAAATCCTTAAAATTACATACCATAGTATATATATTTAAATATGCAGATTTTTTAGTGGTAGTATAATCCTTTTTATCCGTTTAGTGTAGCATAATAATATTATTTCCAATTAAATCTGATTCCCTTATTTTTTAAATACATTTATATCGCAATTTCGAAAATCATACACACATAATCAATAATTTTAAAATATTAACTACATTAATCATAAGTATTCACACAGTTTGAAACTTTAAATTATAGTTAGGATCCTATAAGAATTATCTTGAAAACTGTTCAATTTAAACTATAGTAATACATAATTAATGTGTCATTGTATTATATATTATATTACACCACTCAAAATAAAAACTCTATTAATTATTAGTTTTAAAAATTCAAAACGGAGTTTTTTTCTTGGAGCAACCACTATATTTATCGTGTAATATAATGGTATAGTATTATTATAATATGCATATTATTCTTAAGTGAATTTTATGAACACACACACACACACACAACATATTTTGCAATACGTGTGCATGTGCTATGATTATGTTTATATGGGGAGCATGGATGTGCCTCGGTTCCTGTTACCCGATTCCCGTGTCTATTCCTGCCACTGCATGGCGAATCGCTGCTCGAAAGTGATGCGATTAAAAACACCGACATCGGCCAGTTGCATGGGATCGGTATGATAGGCATAACGTCGTATGTCGACCATGGCCACATCGAACATCTGCTTCCAGCTGGTCAAATCCGTTACGCTCATATGGATGGGCAACTGGGGATCGGGGATATCAATCGCTGCCTGGAGACGATCAAATGCCTCGGCTATGGGCCCCACAGATAGATTCACCCAATATTCGGCCGGAAAACGTTTATTCTCACAGAATGGCGCTCCCTTGCGCATGATGAAGACCAGCATAAGGATCTCATACCGCTCGGAGCTCTCATAGAAGCGCTTCGTGCGCGTCTTCTCCACGAAATCAATGAGTAAAATCAATGGCGTATAATTCTGTAGATGCATCAACAGCTCACGATCTGTCCATAGATAGCGACTCGATTTCACATTCAACATGCTCATGTTGGTCGACAACTGATGTGGATGTGCATGGGGATGTTGTAGATGTGGTTGTTGTGGATGATGCTGCTGCTGCTGCTGTTGTTGTTGTTGTTGTAGATGATGTTGTTGCTGTTGGGGTTGATGTTGTTGCTGTTGTTGTTGAAGATGTTGCTGTTGCTGCTGTTGTTGTTGCTGTTGTTGCTGCTGGTGCTGCTGCTGCTGCTGGGTCGTTATTGCTGGTGGTAGAGCAATGCTGCCGGAGAGAGTATTCGATGCACTTTGCGTTGGCATATCGACGTGAATGGCGATGCCGCCAGTTTGTCTAAGGCAGCCAAGTTCCTCGACCATGTACAACGACGTCAGAATGCAATTGCTCGCCTTTTCCGAATGGACTGTTGCTGTGCGGCTCTCAACTAGGCCAAGGCCGGTCGCTTGTGGGTGGTGGTGTCTCGTGGTGGGTGGTTATGGGTCGCACCTCGAATTCCTTGTGCTCGCACTCAACCTTCTCCACTTGTTACTCACCGCACAATCGACTGGATAATTGCGACAATTGACAGTATGCACTATTTCTAAGCCATTTGTGTGCCACTTTGAAAAATTAATTATAAATGCTCGGTGACCAACAACGGCTATAATAATAATCACAACAACACCAAGAAGGGACAGCAACAAACTGTGGCTGCTCCACGGCTGGCGCGTGCTGCCAGGACGATTGTTGTCACGCGAGTGTGTGGCCAGAAATAGACGACGGTGCATGGAAGGCCCGAGTGCAGTTGGCAAAAAACAAAAACAAAACAGCAACAAGAAAGTGCAACTTGCTTTGGCACAAAGTCGAATTAGATATACACTCATAAAACTCATTGCTGCTGAGCTTGCCTAAGATAACTTGATAAAAAAGAAAACTAAATACATAAATAGCTTTCAATATAGTGGCCAGATCCGGTTCATTCCAACATTTGATTCAAGTTAAGGAGGTTAAATAAAAAATGACTTTAACTTTAAAAAGTTATCATTGAATTTGATGAGTCTACAAACTCAAAGTAACTGCAACTTTGGGCAAAATGTTTTACACTTGGTCTTAGTCACGAACTTCATGAACAACTTGTTGTAGCTTTTGTTAGGGTATCACACAGAGAGAGGAGAGATAAAGAGAGAGAGAGAGAGAGGCGAAAGCATCTATCGGCTGGCACGAGTTCTTCGTCCTTCTCTGTACAGCTCAGATGTCGTATGTAGTGGGAACGTGAGTGCCTAAGTGGCAGGATAATGGCGATTCTATAAATACGACAGCAACTATTTACAATTTCTGAAAGTCCACACATCTAATACAAAATGAATGATTCATAAAACTTAAGGTTTTCACCTCTTTTATATTTGTTGGCAACGATTTTTGATTAACAAATGAGCATTTCTTCATTTATTTTCTTTTTATTAGAAAACAAATATATAGCATCCACGACTTTTGGCGCAGTAAAGCTTAAAAATTACATCTAAATTTAAATGTGTTGCCTAAATGACTTATATTTGTGAGCTTCAGTGCGCACATCTTAATTTATATTTGTGTCATTTACTTTAAAAGTATTTCGTATTTATAAACGTCAATTGGGTAATGGTTCTTGCAAACGATAACAGTCGGAGGCGATTTTCCATTTATCATTCTCAGCGGTTATAACGAACGACTGCTGGAAGTTGCGCTGCGATTGATCCCCATATTTCACCGTTCCACTGGCCAATATCACATACGTTGTCTGACCACCGACGGCGGCGTCCAGCACCGGCTGTGAGTCCAACGTCGTCAGCTGATGACGCGACGATGGCAATTCCAAAAATGTACGTTCAATATTCTCACGTCCCTGGGCACCGTTGCCATTCCAGCTTAGATTCGCACTCTCTATGTACAAACGACCCATTTGCTGCAATCACAAAAATAAGTTGAGTTGTATTTTGTTTGCAAATTTGGAAATTTCACAAATTTACCAACTGGGGCTGTTGCTTACATGGCGGCGATTGTCCAAGGTGGCGTAATACAAACGCGTAAAGTCCTCAGCCGTTTGACAGCACGTCTCCACTTTGGTTTTCAGTTCCTGTAAAAATGATTTGCGCAAATAATGCAAGGGATTTATTTCAAAACGAAATACAAATTATAATTTGGCACTCACGTTGTTCATCGCCATCGCTCGATTCGATTCGAAATAGGATAGACGACACTGTGTGCGAGGGCTGCAATTGACACATATCGAATGGCAACGGATCATTCGATATCTATCGATCATCACGTGAATGAATTTCCATTCACAATGCATACTTTTTGGCTTCTCAATTAATAGGCGGCAAACGGATTTTGACTCACAGCTATTTACAAAAGTAACTCATGCAAATCCTTACAGATTTTCAGAGCACCGTTAGACGACATAATCTATCGATTGTACTTCCATCAAGAATTTGAAACATAACGGAAATGTGTCGATGTCAAAAAATCGCAATTTTTAATTGTTTGTTAACCAATTCTGCTCGTTTTTGATATTTACAGTGACGTATTTACTTAATAGGCTGCACACATATTTATATTTATATATCTTACAGATTTATGCAAATCCTAAACGGTCAGGAGCTTTGCATCTGCTGCATCTCCCGATTAAGGAATCTTTCCCGCCAACCAGAACGTTGGCAGGCCACATGCAACGCCTCCAATCGCTCCGCTATCTGCTCCAATTGCAACGGTGCATCCGCAACCGCATCCACATCCGCATCCGTCAAGGCTTGCGTTAGAATACTCGTTATCTCTCTGGTCAGGGCGCGCTCGAGGAGTGTGGGCTCATCGCTTTGAATGTGTCGTTGCACACAGTCGACCAGTTCCTCGAGATGCTCGTCGATGGCATCGGGGAAGAGTTGATGCATCGCAATCGATAAATTAAAGAGATACTCCCGATTGGGTCCACTGGGCCCGGCCGAGGTGAAGATCTGGCGGGCAATGCACGGCACTTGCCACACGTTGCCCGCATAGGAGTCGTTCGCCTGCGTCGCCACATACATAATCACCTCGATGGGTGTCCTCGGTGCGGCGGTGTGCGGATACTCGTGAAATTCCAGGATGCAACGCTCGTAGCCGTTCTTTTCGCGATAGTCGAGATGACCGAGCACCTGGGATTTTTGGGCGGACGCAATGCGATAGGCGACGCCATACACACGATCCCTGGATGCATCGCCGGGCAGCAGGGTGACGACTCGACCCGGTTTCTCTGGTATGCCGCGATGATCGATACTGTGCTGATAGAATCTTCGTTTGTAGCCGCAGACGAAACCACGACGTCGATCAATATATGGAAAGTCGGCCTTCCACACCAGCGAACCGTAGCCAAAGATCCACACATCGTCCGCAGTGGGTGCGATGCTCGCCTCCATTTGATTGCTCGGCTGCGCATCGAAGCACTGCAGCAATTTGGCATCCGACTGCTGGGGCGTTTCTTTGGCTAGCTCAGCGAAACAATGCCCATAAATTTCAGTGGCTATCGCAGCAACTTCCGGCGACTTCAGATGGCTGCCAAATCGTAAGTTTTGCAGCAAACGCAACATCTGCTTCCAGAGCGCAATCCAATTGGGTTCGTATTACAAAAATAAGGCAAATCAAAAGCGAAAACCAAAAAAACAAAACTATTTACCATTGTGGACTATTGAATATTGTTTCCAGGCACCGATAATGTGTTGTCGAGGCAGCGAAGCAAAAATGACTACACAAAATTTCGTTTAAGCCATCAGCTTGTCATTTGCCGCGGCATTGTTTCAATAAACAAGATATCATAAATAATAATATCAATTTCAAGTGGAAATGTTGTAAATATAACTTAATTGGGTCTTATCGAATATGTTTACATATCGATGGTTATCGGTTGCAATCGCAGCTGACAGCTGACCACTGTTTAACAGCTGTGCGCGCTGCCACAGTAACAGTAAACGGAAACGTAAACAAACCAATATTCCGATTTTTTTCTTCGTTTTAAATTTTTATTACTTTGCCAGAGCATTCGACATGGAGAAAATGTATGGCAAGGACGATCGATCCAAGGAGTAAGTGACACGTAATCGCTGCCCAAAACAAATGCACTGCTAAATATCCAAATTTTTACTAGCAATCGCAAGAATATGAAGCAGCACAAATATTACAATAAGCAACAGCAACAACAACAGCAACAGCAGCAGCAACAGCAGCAGCAGCATAATCGTGGAGGAAACACCTCCTCCAGTTCACCACAGACGACAGCGATGCGCAGTATTGTTGATGTGGCCGATTCGAGCGATGAGCCGCGATTCGCTCGCAAGGGTTGGTCAAGCGGCACCCGTTCGATTGCCCCGCAGAAGAATCGCGATATGCTGGACACACTGCCCGACGAGGACACCACCGATATGGATGTGGACGCACATCTGGCGGATGGTACACCAATCGATGAGAATGCACGCGCACAACTCCGTGCCGGCGACTACAAGCAGATGTCGCAATTTCCCAGCATGGGCGGCGGCCACTTCACCTTTGGCGCCGAAAAGGAATGGAACAACATTGCCGAGGGCCAAACACAGTTGCACACAAAGTCGGCGCGGAGCTATTTCACACTCAATCTCAGTCTGCTCAATTGCGGGCTGCAGACGATACCATTTTACAAGCGCATGGATTATGCCACCGACATGTTTACGCGCCAGCAGATTGCCGCACAAAATGAGGCAGCGGAGCGCGCAGAGCGCGTCTATATGGATCGGGTGCTGCGCGAATCGAATGGCAATCGCACGCCTAGCGCCACCAAATCACGTGGAAACTCTGCCAAATCCACAAAGGATGTGCAGCCAGCGGCGGTGGCGTCACCTAATAATGCACCGCCCGATGAGCTGGATGAGCTGCTGGCGCTGACCGAAATCTCCCCGGCAGCCACTACAAATGCTGGGCAAACGCTGGGAATTGCCGCTGTTACGCCGGTGGTGCAACCGGCAACGCCAACGAGTGCCACCAAAAACGATGTCGAACAGTGGCTGGACAGCGTCCTCGACGAGTGAAATGTTATTTGAAATGTATTCTGCCTCAGCTCACGCATTTAGCCAGCTTGATTAGCTATTTGTTGCATGCAGCATTGAAATTTCAATAAATAGAAGGCAAGTGCTTAAATTGCCGTTACATTTGCCATTATCTGTTTAAATTCAGCTTCGATCAGCAGACACCAAGCAAATACATCGAATATGCCATTTGTAAAAACATTTATTATTATTATTTGATTATAATCGATTATGACATCTTGTTGAAGAAGGAAAGCAACGCATTTCACCATCGGGCTATAAGGAAAATAAGAAAATCGAGAAGCTGATGCGAAAATTGGTTTTTCAGGCACTAAATATTTAGTAATCCACTCAAAATCGACTTCATCAGAAGTTTTTCTAGTTCGCAAATAACTCTAAGAATTTAATAAATCATTTATAGTTGTCCTTATGCTATTTGAATGTGACATACAAAGTTTTATTCCGACGTGAGAGCAGTCAGTCTCAAGCGATTTGTCAGCCACAACTTAAGCATTATCTTGGCAACTTACTAAATTAACTATGATATGGATTAATGCTATTTATCTTTAAATATAAGTTAGCTTAAAGTTGTACACGACAAGTTGGCTTAATATGAATATAAAAGAAAGAAAAGAAAACGACGATGGAAATATTGAATAGAATATTACTTAAGCTGGAAGGATGGGCAGCACTTTATCTCTCCATCGTTAAGTGCTGCCCATCATTACAGATTTGGCAATCTTTTTTGCTTTGTTCTTTTTTAATTGGACATTTTTAAAAAGCGCAAATTGACAAATTGTGCTGACGAATCCAGGAAAACAACAGCTTATTTAAAGATTACAATTATGTGCATATTACGCAATTGTGTATATAAAATATATATTTACATATACATTTCGTCATGAAAGTGTTTTTACACACGAAAAAATGAATCTTTTCCCATTTCTTTTGTAACAAAAATGTGGTTTATATTTTCTTATTTGTCTACAATTTTGCGGGGAATATGAAAAATAACTGGTTATCTTTTTTAAAATAATTTTGGAATGAAGCAGGTTCTTTTGCGGCACATTCTAATTGGTTGACTTTGTTATTTATGGAAAGTGCTCATAAAAACCAATCGAAGTTATCGTCGTGATCCTCGTATTGGTGATCAGAGACACAGCCATCCGCATCGCAATCGGGCTGATAATAGAGTCGCTGATAGAATGCAGATAAATGGGAGTGGACGAGTTTCATCACCTCATAGGATATCTCCAGGATGACCATGAGGTCCTGGCCATGGCCATCCTGCAGCTGCAGCTCATAGCGCAACTCCTCGCTGATGGCGGTTAGCCAGCGGAAAAGGACCGCCGCATCCGATTCCGGAAATTCGAGCATCTGCTGCGGCAATCCCATCTCTAAGCGCAACTTCTCCGTGCAGCCATAGGGTCCAATCAGCAACAGGGCGCCAATGATGCGTACAATCAGATTGAGCGATTGCGGATAGTCCTGCAAGTAAAGCAGTGGATTGACCATGGCAACTGCCATCATTATATCCGGATAGGCACGCAGGCGATATGTGTCGAAACCCAAATCGGTCAGATTGTCGAGCATGGCCCACAGCAAACAGGTGCAAACCAGTTGGGCCATTGTGCTCAACGGACTCGCAATGCGGCAGCAGTTTATGGTATTCAACACATGCTGCGAATCATTTAAATCCAATAAGCACAGGATCTGTGTGCACAGTTCATGCACCTGCAACAATAAAAAAGGATTCATCAGTTTGTGCTAAGTCTGCAGTTACAATCTCTTAGTTTGAAAGCTATCTTGATGGTGTACAAAATATACCCATTGCCAGTCATTAAACCTGCCGAAGTTACCCGAATCTGAATCATGAATATATATCAAAAATGGCTACTATAATCATATTTGATTGACTCAGTTGGAGTCGATATTGAAATCCTTTCTAGCCGTTTTCTTTTATTTCTTGGCACCCACATGCTTATCCTCGGTGCAGGCCAAGTAGTCGAAGCAGCGCTGTATGAACTTCATTCGCTGCATCTGAGTGCTATCCAGATCGTCATGATGCAGCATGTAGATCATTATGCCAGCCACATGGAGACCAGCCAACGTCTGTACTCCAAAATCGATCTCCTCGCGTGCCATCAGTTGCATGAAGCCATCGATAAGCTGTTGATAAATGAAACCCACACATATATATACATATATATTATAACTATATTTGAGCCATTTATACACACTTACCTCCAGTACATTGTCGCTGGTGTGGATAAACTGAGTTATATTCTTCAGCTCGGATTGGCTTAGAATCTGACGCAGCTCCTCAATGGCGAAACCCTGCGGACGCATGCTTCTGCGAAAGAAATTGTTTCGCTAATCAATTGAATTGGTTTTTCTGTGTCGACGGCAATTACTAAAAGTTCTTTGAACATTACAAACTCGAATATTTTAGTATCTAAATTCTGATTGGTAAATGCGTCTCTGTTATGTATACATATATGCACACTCAACAGTTTCAGTTGGCTGCTATTGCTCTGTTAATAAGCAACTAGTGCAGACAACTTAACACTGCTTACAATTTCGAACGGACAACGGCAATTTTAATGAGCAGCAAACCATTTTCTTCACATGCTACTTGTGGTCGGCCATATTTTGTAGTTGTTGCTGTTGTTGTTGTGATACTTGGGTCGGTTAAGATTTTGCAGTTTCTTGGGCCGGGTTGAGAGCAGCAACAGTAGAAATCAGTGATGCAAAAGCCGACACATGCTTGCATATGTACTTGCGTGTGTGTGTGTTTGTGTGTGTCCTTGTGGTGCATAGAGAAAGCAACTGGCAAAAATGCAAATGCACGCGCGACTCGCACATTTTAGCATAAAAGTTGACGCCTCCGCACCACCCCAGCCACCCACCCACACACACACTCAGTTGCGCTGGCAGAAGTTTCTTTGCACACTTGGAAGTATTTGCTCATTATGCATTCATATTTTGCAATTACTTGCCTCGCACACACACACACACACACACACATACATATGTAAACTGTGGAACGACAGCTAAAAGCGCAAGTGTGCGTAAGAGCGAAAGAGATGAACAGCAGCAGCAGCAGCAGCGAGGCCAAATGCGGACTGTTAACGAGCAGCGGCAACTGTTAAGTTGCTGACAGCGAATGCTTGTGTATGTGTGTGTTTGTGTGTATGTGTGTGTGCTTGTGTGTGTTTTGAGTGTTTTTCTTCCTTTAGCTCGGCCTTTTTCCTTTTTTTCCAGCCGTTCTGCTGCTGCTGTTGTTGTTGTTGTTGTTGTTATTTAGCATTTGGCCCATTTGCGTGCAAAGAGCAGGAGGCGAAACGAAATTTCATAGAATTTCCATATTCAGATTTTAATTATGCAGCCGCATGAAAAGATTAACAACTTTTGCAAAAGACGACAGCAACTGCAACGGCAACTGCAATGGCATAGCGCATTGTGCATTTTAGATTTTAATTATGCATATTTTTCAAAGGCAGCCAACGGGCAAAACCAGCAAAAATGCAGAAACGAACTCATCAAATAAGTATGGCACCTAACATCTCTTCAAATGTTCGCCTAAATACCAAAATTCATTTGAAATTTTTTATATTATTTTATTTGATTTATTTTTAAATCTATTCCAATCTATCCTGTCATATATTTAAAACTTTTGCCAAGTACTTAACATCCATTAATGTATTAATGTTTAACTGACTTCCATGCAGAATGAGTTTTCATAATTTCTTAATTACATTTTACATTTGCAATCTCAAAACACCAAGCATCCAATATATATATAAATAATCTATATATAAACAATCAAAGAAAAAATTAAACACTTGACTGGCAAACCTTATGGGACAATTGGGAACGTTCTTCACAGGATTTCAGCGCTAATGAAATCGTCCGAACTAAACCGATTTTTATGTGTGATAAAAAATGTTTTAATGCAAGGTGCAAATAGCAAATAGGGTTGCAATTACCAATCTCTTGCACAGATTGTGATTAGTGACAATGCGCTAGCCAATTATGCAAATCAGCTTAGTCCTATAAGGGCTACTACTTACAAAGATAACTTACAATACCAGACTATCAACAATTGTACTACAAACCTGATCACAATCTCAAAAGCTGAATAAGCGCAGAATTACGCCCACTGTTCACAAAGTTGTCGTCGCAATCAATTGCCAACTGTATTTTCACTTCAATTAGATGACATAAAAGCCTCAAATTAGCGGATGGGTTTCAAAGCACCCCCATCCCTTAATGCCACAAGCCTACTGAAATTGAAGAGTGTCAAGTGTGGCCCGAAAAAAAAACAACAACAACAACAATCATAACGATAATATGCATAATAACCATTTGCTGATGATGATGTTGATAAGTAGGAACTACCCTTTTATTAGCCAGCTTTTTTTTTGTATTTGTTGCTGTTCTTGTTGTTGTTAGGGGTGGGTCCTTGTTGTTGTTGCTGTTGTTGTTGTTGCTTTGCAGGGCAATCTGTAAATTTTACGCCTAATTTAAGACAAATTGTTGACATACACTCGCCACTTTTGTGGTTACAGATGGGTTTTTTGGTTTCGGCTTGCACTTCAAAAAAATATATGCTCTTACATTGTGAAGAAGCCAAGTAATTATATAGTATCTAAATTAGACTGCTGCCGTATATAATAAAATCAGATATAACAAAAATATAATGAAGACAATATTAAAACGAAAAATACGAGAAAAGTTAATGTTTACATATGAAACTAAAAATGTTGAATTCATCAATGAAACAAATCAACAAAATAGGAAATAAATCTATTTTATATTTCCACTTACTTTATTTTCTTTGTAGAATAATGCAAACTATTTTTGGTTTCCAAATTATGGGGTAATTTTTCTCTGAGTGTGGGCACAAAAGCCAACAGATTTTCATCTCATTATGCGTTGATTTGTTGGGTTCGCCACTGTTTTTGGCTGTAGGCGTTTTTTTTTTTTTTTTGCTTTTTGCTTTTTTCTATTTGTTGTGTTTTGTTTAACTAACGAAGTTTGAACAACATGAAAATAATACAGATGAGAAACGACAGGACAGATGACTGTCAAGGAGGGATAGCAACTGCCTCAAAAACTCGACTTCAATTTCAAATTATTTAAACTGGCATAAATTGCCAATTAGCTTACATGCCTTCCCTCTCTCTCACACACACACTCTCTCTTTCTTTCTCTCTCTCTCTCTCTCTCCCTCTCTCTCTCTCTCTCTCTCTCTCTCTCTCTTTGAGCGTAAACATTTATTAGTATAAACAAAAGACACCGTTTAAATGTCCATCTAAGCACCAGAAAACGATACCGCAGACAATTTGTTTATGCTTTGGTTTACTCCGGATATATATATTGGAATACAATACTTGTCTCATTTTTGCTGACTTCTCAATTTTATTTCGAATTGATGCAATTTCAATGGCATTGAAGTTGAAATTATATCAACTCTTAAATACGAAGCACATGGCATGAAATAAATCGATGATTGACTGAAACAAATCCAGGTTTTAAATGAAATATGGGCATTTATATTTACAATAATATAATAATAATAATAATTATAAATTGCTGTAGATATATTTTTCAATAAGAGTTCAGATATTCCGAGTTTTCCAATCCATATTTAAGCTATAAGTATGGAATATAGTAAAGTCCATAAGAATAAGCTGTAGATAGGGAGATCATTTATCTGCGAAAGCTGAAAGCTCAGCCCCACAAATGAAGTTAACCAAAAATAAGATTATATCTGTTAATATTACATTCAGATATTTTGAGCTGATTGATGTTGTCATCTATTGGGATAAGATACGATAAGAGCACGACTCGATATCTGTCAGCCAACATCTGGTTTACAGAGAGTGTTCGTTCCATTAAGAACTTATTATAGATATAGATCAAGCTCTTGTTTATGTTTTCTCATAAATCCGGATTTTTGTTAGCGGTTCTTACTCAACATCGGATATAAATCGCTGCATTTTCAAGTTACCTTTATCGGCTCCCATTGAAAGGTAGATATTTTGCATGAATATTTTCTCATATGTCTGTTAAAATTTGATTAATATACAAACTGCCTTAAACAAACACATCGTGCAGTCTGCTCGAGTATTTCAATTGTGGCTTATACAACCAAAAAAAAATAGATAATGTTGTGTTTATTTTACAGATTGGTAATCAAAGAATTGCAATCCATATTGATTAGTATCGATTCGGAGACTTTGCCGTTCATCGATGCGAAAGAAAGTACATTGAATTAATTATACCGATCTCTAGGACTGAGATGACATATGTATATAGCATATAGCATATACCATATACCACATAACAAATACTGTATACTAAACAAACACCTTTAACAATACACAGTAGTAAAATATTAAACTAAAGCCCTGCTCAATAAGTTGAAAAGGTTTTCAGTTAGCTTACGGTTCCATTATATTGCTGATATCTGATATCACTGCTAAGCTTATCTGTGGCACTTCACTTTAACTGCAAATTTCGTTTGTGTTCCACTTTAAGCCACGCACGACAATCAACTGAAAGTGCGAGTTATGAATGAGTCTGAATCTGACTGCAACTGAAGGCAACATCGAACAAGTCTTAACGGTTGATTGCAACAGATCGTTGCAACTTATTGACAACTCAAGTCGATTGTGTACATATACATATGTATTTTATACATATATGTATCTTCATCTGCTCGGAATAAGATACAAATATGGTTGAAATCAAAGGCATCTAGCTTTCATATCCTTCAGGAATTCACAGTCATCAGATTTTCAAATATCTTTTGATAAGAGTCTAAAACTATATATTCTCTTCTATTTTATTATAGTTGAGTGAATTTTTGTAAGGTCTGGCTATGTTTTATCAAAATAGTAACTTGGTCTTGGTAAGTTCACAAATATTATGCCCATTAAAACTCCACTCATACAAAACATATATATACGCTAAAGAAATAGCTCCAAGTTTAATACTCTTCTTGAAATTGACAACAACAATAAAATAAATAAAAAATAAAATAATAACAAGTGTAAAAATAGATTAGCATTTCTAAATAATTAGTCGTTAGTCGACTATTCCCACAAATAAATTATTAACTTGCAATTTAAAGACACTTTCTGCTCAAATTTTAACAAATAAAACATTTATCGATATATATATTTATATATATATATATAATATATAAATATAAAATATAAATATATATATAAATATATGCTTTTAAATGTGGTTCTTGGAGCTGGCTTTGCCATATAAAACCCCTTTCAATTTCTGTTTACAACAGCAGAAGTTAGCATGGAAATGGAACCCTGCCTCCTCTCGGGCACTCCATGTTGAACAACCACCTCATTTGTGGCCTTTGTGCGACAGACACAAGATGTGATGCGAGATGATAATGCGACAGATTATGCCATCACCCAAAACACAACAACAACAACAGCAACAACAACAAGAAGCACAAAAGCCAAAGGCACTTGACTTTCGACGGAGACTTTTAGTCATAAAGTTGTCAAGGCATTGGAGAGGGGGTGTGAAGGGAGAAGGGGGTGGGGGAGGGGGGAACTGGGCGGAGGAACCTTTGCTTGTTATTGTGCTCCTGTTGTTGTCCTGCTCGGTTGTCTTCCTTGGGTTGGTGGTGCTTGGTGGTTCGGTGGTGGGTTCCTGTTCCAGTTACGGTTTCAGTTTCATTTTGTGATTAAAATGTTTGTCATTATCCGTTTGGAAAAATGTTGCAAATTGTGTTTGTGCCGCGGGGCGTGCGGAACACTTGTCATCTCAGTGTTGATGATGATGATGATGATGATGATGCTGTTGATGATGATGATGATGATGATGAATACATGGTGGTGATGTCACCATCGTTAGCACTGCAAGCAGCTGACTAACTGATTGTCTTGTGTGTGTGTGAGTGTGTGTGGTGTGTGTGTGGTGTGTGTGTGGTGTGTGTGTGGTGTGTGTGTGAGTGTGTGTGAGTGGATATGTGAGTGTCGCAGTTGCCGTTTAATTATGTGAAGTTTGTCTCGTTGAGGCTAGAAACTAGTCTTTTATTGGACACTTAACAAGAAACTAATCGTTTGCTGATTGTTTGACAAAAATGAAAGGATTAAGATTGTCCGCCATGATTGCAGTAGACTCTGTGAGAACGAATCATCATCGGAAATCGGAATATAATAATATCATTCTTAAAGATCTAATCTAGCAAACGCCTAGTTTATCTAACAACTTCAACGCCAACTCGTTCTCTGGGACAAGTAGCCTGACTAACCTAATCTAACCAAACCTTATCAACCGGCAGAAGGATCAGAATGAGCAGCCGGGTCGATCTGCCTCTGTCCGTCAGAGATTATAGGCTTTCTTGATTGATTTGAGTTTCGATTCTCTATGTAATTGAGTAATTGAAGTAATTGTGAGAAAATGTATTTATGTCTAATCAATAATACGTCAGCGTGTGTCTTTTATTGCTATCGGATATCGATTTATATCGAAATTAGCGAAAATGTGGCATTTATCAATTAAACGCATAATAAACTTGATCTTTGACATTTTGAAGTCTCTCTCAAGGATAGATATGCTTCCTGATGCCTGCTACTTACCAAGTTTTTACCAAGTTTGCAATGGGTTCAGTGCATCTATCTGACAATGCGATACTTTATCGTTTCTATTAATTGTAAGCTCTCAATAGACCAACTTTGTGCATTGCCCGGCCACTTGACAGTCATTCGTGCTTTGACTTTGACCGCCTTTATTAACTTTTTACCTTTTGAGCTTTTGAGTTTCTCTGTGGGCGATTTTTTTTTATTTAATTTTCTTCTTTTTGTTGTTGTTGTTGTTGGTCGGTTGTTTGAAAGCTTAATGCAATTAATAACTCATTAAATAAATACAAATCAAAGTGGAAGCCGAGAAAACTTTGCGAGTTTCGCTTTTGGCACTCAAAGGATGGCAGACATAAAATGTACCAATTAAAAACTGCAATTGAAATTTCAATGGGTGCTCAAATCAACCGCAAATAAAATACCAGATATATACATAAATACATCAGAAAAAAAACAGGTGAAATGTGTGTGGGAGCAGGGGCGGGGAGCAAGGGGAGGGGCAGTTTCTGTGTCTACTGTATGTTATTCATTAAATTACATTCACATTTCATAGACAATTTCATGGATAACTGTGAAGTTAATGCTATCTCTTATCTAGTTTTTTTTTAAATCTTTTTTTTCTTTTTTTTTTTTTGCTTGCTGTGCTTGCTTTTGCTCGCTATACAGTTTGAAAAGTTATTTCTTTCCATTTTTGCCGTCGCTGGTGCCGTCGCTCAAGTATCTTTTTAATTAGCGTTCTGTGCTGCACTCGAACTATGACTACAGTTTCCTCTTATGCACCCCCATCCGCCATCCCCCATCCCACCGTGCACCTATCTCCCTTTCAGTGTGGCTCCCTTTCGCTCGCTCGCTCGCTCGCTCTCTCGCTGTCTGCCTGTTAACTGACTCGCCACAGATTCAATTTGTGGCTAAACATTCCTCCTCCTTTTTGTGTTTTTCATAGCGAGCTAAATGTGCATGAAAATCTAACCGAATCGCAACCGTGAACTGCGACGCCGCGTCGCTGCCTGCTGTCTGCTACCATGCTGCCCACAGCGACTGCGACTGCTACTGCTACTGTTACTGCAATTGCTTTTGCTTTTGCGTTACTATTGCTGGCTCGCTTGCACGCACTCACTTTGCTATATGCGCGCGCTCTTTGCGGTATATTTTTTCCCGTTTTAATTGCGAGACAGTGCTGTTGTTGCTGCTGCTGCTGCTGCTGCTGCTGTTGTTTTCCGGTTGGCTACCCAGCATGACTGCCATGCCACCCGTTTACCACCCAACTCCCTTCGTTTTTTTTATTTTACAAATTATATACATAAAGACTTGCTTGTCTCTATGTATGAATGTATGTATGTGAGAATGTGTGTGTAACTGTATGTGCATGCATATAGCATACAGCATACAGCGTGCCATTTACTATTATATAGCGACAAATTGATATCGTTTTGTATTCATTCGCTCAAGTGGATTTTTAAGCGTGATTCAATGCTCGACTCACAATCAGAAATGCAACTCAACTTTTGTTCAACTGCAACTGCAGAATTGGCAATCACTGAGAAAGAGACTGCAGAACTGCATAAGTATGTACATACATACGTACATACCTATATACATATGTACACATGTAGGCCGGTGTGCTTCATATAGGATGCTCGCTGTTGCCTCTTCATTGATCATCTATGTTGACCTTTGTGGCAGAAGTGGTTGGACTCAGTTTAGTCGAGTTGCAGTCGGATAGGATTCAATCAGCTGTTTGCCATTAACAATTGAATTGCTTCAAGGAATGATTGTTTTTTTTTTGTATTGTTTTTATAGTAAAGAAAACAGATTTAGCAAGCTTGTTATACTTACTGTTATTTGTGACTAGAAAAATCCTGGAAAAAAACAGAAATTCTTAATAAAAACATGCAAAAAAAGCAGTCGAGATTATTCTTTCATTTTTCATATTTCATAACGAACTTTATCAAATATGCAATCCGATCTTTTATTTTCACAAAAAAAATGTATCTTTTATAGAGTGCGTGATGTTCACAATTGTTATTCTTGTTTCTTGTCGAGTATAATATGCTGTGTGTGTGTGTGTGTGTGTGGGTGTATATTACAGTTAATTTGTCTAAGCCTAAGGTTTTATAATTGAATCGGGTGAGCTGCGTAGGCAGGCAGGTTGAGGTTGCGCGAGGGTTTCTCATACGGTTGTCGATTATTCGATTACGAACATTAAAAAGTATTTCAATTTCATATGTCACATGTAAAAAAAAAAACTTCTTATTGCACAAAAACAAATTATTTTATATTATTTACATAGGCAAGCGTGGGTGACAGGGGAAAGGGGGGGACAGGAAGGAGCTTTCAGTGCCATGGGGAGGCGCGTGGTGATCATCTACATGGGGCAGCCGTGAACGTAGCCAACGTTGCGAAAAATGGCCGCGGCTGCGGCTGAGGTCAAGAAGTTGCACGGATTGCTGGCAGCAGCGGCGGCAGCGGCAGCAGCGCTAAATGAACTGGACAAACCGCTCGGACAGCAGCCGAGACCGCCGCCCGCTCCGTTATCCTGCACCGCAAAGTCCTTCTCCAGCGTTGCCTGATGACGCAGCTGCTCCAAGCGCAGCTGATTCTGTCGCTTCCACTTGGTGCTGCACAACGCAAAGAAGGAGAGAAAGAGAGAGAAAGAGAGAGGGAGAGAGAGAGAGAGAGAGATTAATGTCTCTATATAATGAATATTTATTTTCAGGCATTTGTTTGGCAATATTTGTTCCTATGAAAGCTAATTTGGTCCGTTGTGTTGATGATTTCCCCCAATGTTATAGCTTACTTCAGATAACTTGATAACCCAAAGAACCAAACTTTCGACGGACTGTTGTACAATATAGTGATCAGATCTGGCTACGACATATATACATATATATTGCTTGTAGCAGCCAGAAACTGAAGGAGGCATAGAAGAGACAGACAGCTAGACAGGCAGGCAAACAGACGGACAGACGGACAGATGGACAACATATATCTACTCGTCTCTTGTGTGGTAATCAAGAATCAAGTATTTATATAATTTATACGGTTAAAGGCGTCTCCTCCTGTGAAAGATAGCCAGACCACATTTGGTTCATATTTATGTTGCCGATGGCATTTGGTTAAACCCACCGTCGATTCTGGTACCAGGTCTTGACCTGTGTCTCCGATAGATTCAATGTCTCGGCAACATCGCTGCGATCGGCGACACTGAGATACTTTTGGCAGCGGAACTTGCGCTCCAGATACGCCAGCTGCGCATGCGTGAATGCCGTCCGGCGTCGTCGCGGCTTACGTCCGCTCTTGCTGAGCTGTAGCTTGTGCTCCGCATAGCTGCCACCGCCGCCCAGGCTGCCTCCGCCCGGGCCACCTCCATTGTCACCGCCGACGCCACCGCCACCGCCGCCGGCAGCAGCTGCTGCAAGTAGACCGGCTGCCATTCCAGCCGCAGCTGCAGCAGCACTCAGGCCGGCATTGCGGACAGAGGAGTCCGGACGTGGCGTGGCCGTGTCGCAGGACTCCACGCTGGACTCCTCGTTGTGGTTGTAGTGATGCGACAGCAACAGCTCCTGCTGGCAACCGTTCGCCGTCGAATCGGGCGTCGAGCGATCTTCAATATCTATGTCCGAGTCATCGTTGGACAATTCAATTTCTACAGTTGTGAAATATACATTTCAAGAATGGTTAAAATAAGTTCATATAAAATAAAGACTCGCAAAAAAGATAGAATTTTATACATAAATCAAGTAAAAAAGTTGTCAAACTTCAGATAACTTTAATATTTTTTTATGCGCGTCGTTTGTCAATTAATGCCAAAAGATTGCTTTAATTTGAGTGTGTCTTAAGCAAAGTGTAAATGTTCTCATTTTAAGTCAAGTACGATTCGATGTTAACCGATGTTAATTGGAATAAGATACTCAGCTCTTAATTGAAGTACCCAAAATGTCAACTTCAAGCAAAACTCATTTTGCTGGGGAATCATTTATTGTTATAAGACTGGAAATGAGAATCATGAACTAAGTTAAAAGTTTTTTAATTTCTACTAGTATGAAAAATAAAGCATAAACAAAAAAAAACTTAAGTAAAGTGTAGTAGTGCTTTTTTTTCAAGTGTATATCGAGCAGATAAGGAGTGTATGCGAATTGGATCGAGTGAGCTTCAAATACAGAAGTAATGCTGCACTTTCAAACGCAGCGTGTCGTTAATGCGTCCTACGCTGAGAGCTTGAAAGGTTGCACAGCCCACCAAGATAAAGACAGAGAGACAGACAGAGAGAGCAAGAAAGAGAGGGAGAGTGGGAGTGGGAGGGAGAGATGAGCGCGTGCAGGCACTTTTGGCAAGCAACGGACTCATTACTCTCCAGCGGCGACCATCGAAAGACCACAAAGACAACGATAATGCTGTCGGTATTAAGTGGGCGGTATTAAGTGGGCGTTGGTCCAGGTCCATTAAGAAGACAAGCAATCCAAGAGACAGATACCGGGCTCAGGCATATGGCATCGGGCTCTTGTGCTCCGTTGAGCAATCAACATGCTATTTTTATCCGTTGCGCATATCCTTATAAATACATATATTTATATACATCATATATATATATATATATATATATCCTGGACTAGAGCGCAACGGGGCTGCCTGATTAAATTCCCGTGTCGAGTCAAGACTCGAGCGCTCGATTGTTTCTTTCCTATTGGAATTTGCTGCATTAACCCGAAAACAAACAACCACCGAAGGACGAAAAGGATGTGGGATGTGTGTAGCAGCAGCAGCCCACAGGCGCTCACGTGTGTGTCCGCCCAGCAAGGATTCGATATCTAAATATATATATATATATATATAAATATATATATCTTTCCTGCGGAAATTATTTTTGTATTTTAACCCCAAAAGCATTTGACTTCTATTTATGTGGGAAGCAAAGGAAGACGGCGACATGTGAATAATGATTCAATTATGCACGTGTATGTGTGTGTGTATCTGTGTGTGTCTGTGTGTTTGTGGACAACTGAGGGGCGTCTCAAGTGAGTTGCTTTTTATATATTTTTTGATAAAAAGTCACGTCGTATCAATTTGCGGCACAATTGCCATTTAATAGGCACTTGAACTGTGCAGATATTTCGAGCCAAAAAAAATGTTTGTGACATGTGTCAGCAATTTACGGTTAACACAAAACTGATTATTTCGGTCTTAATGCAAGCATATATAAATATAGCATATGGCAATCATGCAACAGACTTCAGACCAGGCAATATTCTTATTTTAGCTTAGAACAGTTAATCGTTAAAATGTACTTTAATATTTAATAAATGGCAAAGTCTAAGTCAAAAGTTTGAATGATCAAAATTGATTGAAATTTATCAGTGCTGAACCGATTTTATAAATCAATAACTTCTTTATTATGTTTTAGTCTCTAGAACTGAAACTCTACTTACTTAACGACAGTTCCCATTTGTTCAATGACAGAATTTCGCAACTTTGTTGTTGGGAACACAATTTACAAACTATACCCATAAAGAGTGATTATAAAGACGGGTCCAAACTATGCACTATCATAACTTTCTCAACCGATTTTTAGCTCATCATCTTAAACAATACCGCTTAAATTTTAATTTGCAAAAACTATATTCCTAAAAACAAAAAAAAAGCATTTTTCAACACTTGAGCAGCGTTCTTGAAACAGTTTTTTTTAAAACACACTTAAACAACTAGCTCAGCTCGTTTAAATACTAGGTGGGTAAGCAGATTATACTAAATAATTGTATTCGTCAAAACTGTTCCCCCTCCCAAGGAGAAGCCAAACGCATCTACCACTTGACATAACCTCACATTTTGTGTTTTGTGCTCAGATTCAGTTTTTAACTTTGCGACTGCCTGCTGTCTTGAATATTTCTTAATTGTCTCGCATTACTTTTGCTGCGCAGCGGCCAATTAGCCGGCACTTTACATGTGCCCATGCACCAACCCACCAACCCAGCAACCCACCAATCCATCAACCCAGCAAACCAGCAAACCACCAACTCATCATCAATCCACCCTCACCAAGCCAGCACAAACCGTGAACGCCATCCACACGTTTGATGCGCTGTAAACTTGCCGCCGGCATTTAAATCTCACACCTTGCCTCAATTAGAAACGACAACAAAACTTTTAGCAACAAATTGAGAAAAAGGGCGCTGAGGGATCTCTGTGTGTGTGTGTGTGTGTGTGTGTGTGTGTGTGCAGTGAGTCAAAGCAGCAAATGCTTGAGGCAATAATTTAATTTTTGCTAGCATTGCTGTTGTTGTTCCTAGTCGTAACTTGCGCTCAAGCAATTTGTCACGTTCAACAATTTTGATTGTTTAGCCCAGGAATCAACCACAACCACAACAACAACAACAACAACGAAAACAATGCAAAATAATGGAATGCAAATGCTTCACACCAAACAAAAGGACATGAGAAACGCAGGACATTAAGATACCCTCTAATTCAAGTGACTCAAAGTATGCTATAAAAAAAGAATTTGCTTTTTTGAGGCACAAAATTCGAATTGTTTGTGAAACGAATATAAAATGTCCTTCGAAACGCAATATGCTAAGAAAAGTTAATAATTCAAAGACACCTACAAATTGTTCATGCATTCATGTACAAATTTATACAAATGTATTTAAAATAATAATAATTGTTTGTTAAAATAATAATAATAATATATTTTCTATCAAATAGTACTTAATATATTCTACCATCTAATTACGAATATTTTCGAAAATGTTGTATTTGTTTTATTAAAATTAAAATGTGTTCAACATACCCCTTGCTGACTTGAGTGCAGGGTATCAAATAGCCTAAGGTATTCGCTCATTTGAATAGCTTATATTTTCCATGTGCTTGAAGGATTATCTGTGTATGAGTGTGTGTGTGTGTGTGTGTTTGTTTGTTTGGGGTTCTTCTCTAATTATGCATGACATTATCTAAAGTTTAGCTCAACAATTACAACTATTTAGTGGCTAATTGCTTTGAACGTGTCTGTTGCCATTGTTGCGATTCATGTGTATTAAAAGTGCTAAGATATGCGACTTAAGAACTAATTATAAGCATCTCTTTATAACCTGAAAAGAGGAAATGCTTCAAGTCTTTTTACTTTTTGCAATAATAAAATAAAAACTTAAAGATTTACTAAATTACCAAGATCAGTTCAAATTTAACAATAAAAAATAAGAATTTTGTCTGTTAAATGAAATATTTATACTTTTGAGAAAGAATAATATGTTCATGAGTTGGAATATAAATATAAAGCTAATTATATAAGTTAGTTCAGCTTATTATTATAATCAGATTTCTGAAATTCTGAATCGAAATCGGATTTAGATCCTTAATTCAAAAGTTGTTTCCTCAAAAAAGACCGAAGCGCAACATTGTTATGAATTTGTCATCAGAACCTAAATTCGATTCGGCTTGCAATCCTGATAATACCAATATAGACAAATACAGTTATTATAATGATATCATGGTCTGATTCTATACTTACTATTGGATTTAAAGCAAATGACTCACAATAAATTAAACATTTGCGAAGAGCACAATATAAGTTAACCAAATCTTGAATTCAATTCCAGCTTTAATAATTCAATTTTTTACTGTTTATTATTGAAAATTACCCTTTTTTTCATATGGAATATCCTTGATTAATTTACTAATTCTTGTACACATTTTACTATAATTATAACATTCTAGAAGCAAAAGCATTTTTCTAACTTGTATGTGGGACAGCGATCAAGGATATATTTGTAAACAACTTCCGGTTGTTAGCCGTGTGGTACTCACCGGAGTCCGTTTGCCGGCGATTGATTAGGTCTCCCAGCAAATCACGTATCAGAAACGATTTAGAACTTTGCATTTCAATGATGTTTTATACAAATAACACTCGCAATTTCACGACAAATTTCGACAGTTACGAGAAATTACAATCAAAGCAATGCTAAAATCATCGCAACCAGTTTAAGATCTATAATTCATTTATTATTATTATTATATAGCACTTGGCACATACAAACAAAAAAATGAAAGGAATTGCGTCGGCAACAACACCAGTTTATTGAATACAGTACATATTTATGGATGAAAATTCAGTTTAATTGAATTGCTGGCTGGCAACGCTGGCAGCTGAACCGTTAAGCGCAAAGTCAAATGAACAACTGAGATGCGAACGTTTATTAATCCTTTTAGCGCTGCGCAAGGCTCACACACAACACACACACAAACACACACATACAAACACACACAGGCTGACTAGAAAAAAGTGAATTACACGATTTGTTGCTGTAAACGGGACAGTTTAGCGTGCACAGCCGGCAGTCGCAGCACCCACCGCAATCCACCCTCTCACATGGCTGGCTGGCTGCCTGCCTGCCTGTCTGCCAGTCAGCATGTTAACATCTCATTTAAGTCCTGATTAAATCAGTCATCAGTGTTGCTATCTCGCTCGCACACAGCGACAAGTGCAACTTCCGCTTTGCGTTAGCCATTTTGTTTTTAGCACACTCGCATCGAGGAAGCAGTGCAGCTAGCCAGCTCGCTCACACACCGAACGCAATCGCTGTCGTTGATTGGTCCAGCAGCCAAAGCAACCCTGCTACTCTGCCTGCAAGCATCCCTGCCACTAAACCGAACTCTCGCGCTTTGCTGGCGCCGACCCGCATTCAGCCAGTGTTGCCCGTGTCGTCAAATTAACGTCCGCATCACAAATGTCGTTTGCCGTCGCTATTTTTTTTTATATACAATTAGAAAATACTTGTTATCAACGTGTGTTTTCGCGTAAACTGAACGTTTTACTTTGCCGACGCTAACCGTCCTGGTACAAATCTGTAAGCCCCAGTTACAAAAATATACCATTTATATAAATACAAATTATGTAAAATCTGCATGGCTTGTGAACAAAATGTTAAATGAAAAGACAGCGAAACATGTGCAGAATGAGTTGAGGCAGGTGGTCAATGGTGATGATAATCGGGGCTATCAATTGATTTGCCAGCATATGAATAATTGTGAACAAGGCAGCCACAAAATAGGTATAAAGGATGATGGCATTCGGGAGTTTCATGAGAGAATAACCCCTGAAGTCGACAAGGCTTCCACAATTTCTATTTTAGACAACTATTTTAATGTATTTTAGGTATACGAAGTTAGATCGATTTATAACGATTTTTTCTTTACAGAAAACAAAAGTGCAGAAAAGATGCGAGAAATCATATTAAACAGATGAAAAACATATTTTAATAAATGGCAAGAGATAAACTTAAATTGTTTTTATTGGGTTAAGTGTGGTTAATTTGGGGATTCTTCTTCTTGTGCATCAACATTTCCAATAAGTCAAAGTTTATAGAACATATAAAGACTTAGTCATAGGCATGATTTTAGGATTAAAGACACCGACAAAATTGACTCAACTCTTTCTAGATTTTAAAGGACATTGTGCGTTATGGATTCATTTAAGAACTCAAACACTTTTACAAGTTTTACTCGAGCGGCGCAAGGAAATCAATCGAAATCCGAAAATCCTTGCTTTCTCGGAAACTACAAATACGATTTGGATTTCCATTCGCCAGTTGATAGTAATAGTCAAAGGGAGTTATACTTTTAGTGATACTGGTCAAAGCTCAATTGCTTGAATTATGCTCTCTTAACAGAGAACACAAGATTCCAACTAAGAGTAGAAAGCTGTGACAGAAATGTATTTAATTTCCTCGAAGTGTGTGAATAAAACCCACACAGATTATTTTCATTGAGAAATGTATATTTATTTATACAATTGGTAGTTTGTTTTTTTTTTCCAGCGTATTTGATTACCTAAATAACAAAAATTCTCACAAAATGGGAATCTTATATTACCGTTTGCAACAGCACTTGGAAATGTGCTCCGATTAAGGCAAAAAAATAGAGAACTGTTTACACACTTACATGTACATATATATATATATATATGTATATGTATATATATTAAATAACTTTTATAGATTTAGGAGGAAGACATGCGTACAAAATTATTTGTAAGGTGTATAATTACGTTTATGACAATTGCGATCGCCAATTGCAACTGCTGATTAATTGGGTCCATTTGATACTGCTGCTTTTATTGCAGCTGTTGCTGCTGTTGGTGTTGTTGTTGCTGTTGTTGCTGTTGTTGTGTCTGTTGCTGTTGCTGCTGCTGCTGCTGTTGGTTGCACCTCGATGTTGAAATCATCGAGTGCGGTTATGACAGCGCCAAGCAAATGTATTGAGCCCGTTATCAGCACATCCAGCTCAATGTGGGTGGGATAACGGGTGCGCACATCAATGAAAGCATCCAATACAGTGCTATACATTCGGCCACGATTTGGTTGATTTGTTGCCTCGCACATTTCCAGCCACTTGCGGGCAATTAATTGGGTGCGCTCCAGCTGCTCCTCGGTACTGCAGTTGAGCGCCGTTTGGTTGGGATCCATGGGATTCCTGTTGGCCAAATTTGGGACAAAGCAGATCATATCAAAGTCACACAACTGCTGCAGCACCAGCAACATGGCTGTCGTATCCGAATTGCCAGTGCGATTGAATACCAAAATTTTTGGATTTTGACTGCAAGCAAATGGAGATTATCGAAATGTTTTGATTAGTTGCCAACGAATTCAGATTTGTTTTCTTCTGTTTTTTTTTTCGTTGAGTATACATACCTTTGTCGGGTGCACTTGCGGAACCAGTCGCCGCAAACGCGAATGCTCTCCACAGTGTGCGCACCATCGAGATGGAGCCTCAGGTTCTTGAAACTCACCAGCTGACAGCGACCAGGCCAATGGGTTTGGGTTAATCCTCGCAGAACTTCGGCACTCATCTGTGCCTCGTTGACGGCATAGTCGCGATGAAGATGACCTTTGGTCTGGCGCAGCCAATCGTATGCCAACTGAATGGCTAAGGCGCCATTCAGACGAATGTAATCATTGCAACTGTCCAAAAAGTCAGAGTAGTGATTATATTTGAAATAGGCTTCTGTGCTGAGCACCTCGGTGACCTTTGCCTGTTGTTTGGCTGCCCGATCATAGATGATCTTGAGGCATTCCGCTTGAGTGACATGGGTATAGACATGGGCGTACGGCTTAATGATGCCCGCCTTCTGCCAAGCAACCTCCGGCAGCGTGGTGCCCAACAGCTCTGTGTGCTCCAATGCCAGCGATGTGATCCCAATGGTTTTCACATTACGCACAATGTTCGTGCAATCCTTTTCGCCCCCGAGACCCACCTCGACCACAACGACATCCACACGCTCAGCGATGAACACATGGAATCCCATAATGGTCAGGAACATGAAAAACGGTGGCATATCGTCGTGATTCTCGCTCGAATTCTTCAATCGATTGTACACCTGCCAAAAAAAATGGGTGAACTTCGGCTTCACCAGCGGATCTCCATTGATTCGGATGCGTTCGTTTGTGCTTTGCAAGTGGGGAGAACTGAAGAATCCAGTGCGTGCACCATATTGACGCAATATCGATTCGACCAGAGCACAAGTGGAGCCCTGAAAGTACAAACAAAAAATGGCAAACGATCCAAAACCAAACAAAAATAGGAATATGATAGGATTGATCAAGATCAAGATTATATGCCTTTTCACAATGCCTTTAGACATTTCGTTATAAATTAAGCATAGCCACCTGAAAGAGAGTATAAATAAAGCACAAACAGAGATATCACATAGCAAATGAGTAAATGAGCAAAGCTCAATTCATTGCAAATACCACAACAAAACAATTAACGCTTATCAGTTGAACCAGCTTTGAGAGCGAAGTTGATTAGATTAGAATCAATACTAAAGCTTAAGCTTCTGTGAAGCTACACTGAGCAAAATTACCAAGCATTGATACTGCTGATGCAAATTCGAATAACTGATAACTGCTTCATCAATTTAGGACAATTTGTGATATGTATTTAATAATTGTTCTATACGAATTATTATTTATCGCTAAAAATAGCGATAATAATAATAATGATAATGTCCAATTCATTTTTCTAAAAACCCGTAGCGTACAGAAAATTTAAATAAGAAAAATTCGCGTTGAAGGAGCTCGATTAAATCATATTATAATAATAAAAATATTAAAATATTTTTATTCGCACTTTAAAATAATATTAAGTTTTTGTTTGTCAATATTCTGGATTTCGCACTTCGAAACAAGTCGGAGACGTCTCCTTCAATGCGTTACAAATTTGAATATAACATTTAAATACATAGGAAAAGAGTCGAAAATAAAAGTGTTAAGCTTGTTTTCCGTTCCACTCAACATTCAACGTTAGCGTAACAAGTTTGTTGTCACCTTTTAATTTTTTTTTTTTTAGCACGATTTTTTTTTTGTTTGTTTTAATTGTGTATTGTATTTGTCATCCAGTTAGAGCTGATTTTTAGCTGAAAAGAAAAACATACCTTGCCTTTGGTGCCAGAAACATGTATAATGGAGAGCTTTTCCACATCTTCTAGAGTTAAGCCACTACGAAACAAATATTTTTTTGTTAGACCAATGGAATTAGTTTTGAAATCTATGGAATTTCTTATGCTGTCCTTGTTTGGCTGCAGTGTTGTCAGCACCTCAATTGCAGCCTACAAATTCACAACATTATTAATATATCACAGAAACAATGCAAATGAAATACTAATATTTCAAATCAGAATATTTGAAATAAGTGCTTACCATGTAAGCGGCATTATCTTGGTCATTTTCTTGCTCGCAATTCTTTCCTTGAGGATAAAAGACTAGATCCCTTAAGGACTTCTCCCTTTGGGCGTCGCCTGCTTTTGGTCGGCCATTGCTTTCGCATTCTGGTTTCTGGAGTTTCGTCATTGGTCGAACAGAGGCCAGCTTGCGCACCTTAATATTATTTTTCCAACAAAGACTGGAAACTAGGCGGACATCTATGCAAGTCGCACTGATTGTGTGCACTAATCGCAGGGGTTTTTGCAAAATCATATTATAAGTACAGCTGTCTAAAGCTCGCTCAAGCTTTTGTTTTGTTTTGCTAACGTTCACTGCGGGGCGGTCCCTGAAAGATAACAAAATAATAACATAATTCGAAATTTGATAATGTATTTATAATATAAACATATTGATTGCGTGTGCGTGCTACCGCTGATAACAGATTGGTTGCGTTAAGCCCTATGCACCCCAATTAAGTCATACTCTTTTTTCATACGCTAAGGCAAGGACATAAAAATCAATTAAGAAAAAAAAACTACAAAAAAATTAAATAGTTAACGGTTGATAAGCGATATTCCATAATTAGGTTCAATTTAATATCGGTAAGTAACTGCGATTACGATATACTCACGATATATATGACAGTATGGCAACTCCGCGCACACGTTTGTTTTGGCGTGGTAGCTCAATCGCGTCCTCACGCACACACACACACACATACACAAACAAACACATTAATGCTCTCGTCGATATACTTACGTTTATCTATTCACAGCGAATTTCATAACATCAAGAGGATATTGAGAAACGAGAGAAACGCGCACCAAATGAACTAAAGTGCACACCTTTGCACTGTTACGTCGCTGTCAAAATACGCTGCCCGTTGGCTTTTTTTTTACGATTCAAGAATGCATGTGTGTAAATATGTGTGCCGTATGTAAAATGCGTACGATTTTAATGTGGCCAAATAAAAATTTCGTTGTGACTAGAGAACGCGTGTGAATGCCAAAAAGCGCGTCGAAAAAGAAGAAGACGTCGAAAATTACAATAAATGTGACAATTTGGACCCAGCTGTGCTGCCGCATTTGTGGAGATACTAAACAAAAATATAATAGAATCGAATCAACATGACGGACATAAATGTGACAACAAACAGGTAGGCAAATAGATATGTCGACTGTCGATTTCCATTGTGATTCCAAGTGGTTTATCGCTTACAGTCGTCGACTGGGCAACTGTGAGGTGTGTGCCACCACAGCCGCCCGCTACGCGTGCCCCAAATGTGAGGTGAAAACGTGCTCAGTTGCCTGCGTCCAAATACATAAGCGAGAGCTGAACTGTGATGGGCAGCGGGATCGTACGAAATTCATGCCACTCAGCAAAATGACCGAACGTGATTTCATGAGCGACTATTGCTTTCTGGAGGAATGTACCCGGTATGCGGCGCAACGGAAACGGGATTACTGCAAGCGCTATACGCATCAGCAGCGACAACTGTTGCCGTTGCACAGATTGCGGTCGGCTGCCCTGCGACGCGGCACACGACTGCGACTGTTGCTGGCGAACTTCAGTCGACACAAGGAGAACACAACGTATTTGAATTGGAAAGAACAGCGCATCCATTGGCACATCGAATGGCTGTTTGTGGGACCAATGATGGAGCCTCTACGCTATGTGGACACACGCTGCGATGAGCAGCAAACGCTTGCCACACTCCTGCACAAGTATCTGGACAAAGCTGGCGCGGAGCGAAAAGTGTTGCGGAATCATCAGATCGCTGGCATTGGTCAGCTCAGCCTGTGGTTGCGGGCGGAAGGTGTGCGTCGCAGTGGGACACGCTGTTACCCATTGATGGCACATAAAACGTTATGTGATAATCTCGCCGGCAAGACAATTGTTGAGTATCCCGCCATTTATGTAAGCTACGACCAAAGTCCGCCGGCGGGCTATGACATTGTTGACAGCGGTAAGCAGAAAATTGGGGGCGGAACGAGCAGCGGCTCAAACTAAAATTACTTTCTTGTTAACAGATGATGAATTCGATGCCATCAGCAATCAGCAGACGAAATCAGACAACACCAGCCAGCAGCCAGCAGCAAAGAAAAGCAAAGCAGCACAGGTAACAAAGGAGGAGCTGCTGCCAGAAGCACACGATGTTTACGAGCTGGCAGCCAGTTTCGGGGCCGATGATGATCCAAACGGCACAGCTGATAGCTCCTCGTCCAGCGATGATGACGGACGACAATAGCTGATCTCTTAATACTATAATTAAGGTCAAATTTTAAGCTTAAAGTTAAACAGTTATATTATGTATACCTATTTTTTTGGTCTTAAGAAAGATTTATGAATCCGCACTTACAAGTTGCATTAGAATTTAGACCAGAAAATTATAAATCATTTCCAAAATGTTTTTAGAATTTGTGCACCCTTGTGGCCTTGAAAATTGTAATTAATATTGCAATTGGATAAAAAACTGAATTTGGGAACTAAATGTTGACTGAAATTTGTATGTTTATTTTCAACATTTCGATGGAATCGTTAGTGAAGTATTCGACCTGATCGATAAATGTCAATACCGTAAATTTGAATTGAAAATATCGAATCTATCGGATGAAGGCATTTTGTTCGATTTTTCTATATAATTTGAGATCAATTACTATAAAATATAGGTATATACCATATCAACTCCTGTCGCCCCATGTTTGGGCTACTTGCTCGCCCAATGCCAGTGAATTATGATGATTTTAAGGATGGCTGTTAAGCTCCATCTCTTTTCCAGTTAATTCTCTTTTTTCCACAGTAAAAACATGTTGTTTGGCAAGTATTTTTCATATCATTGATTTATTGAATTCGTTTTTAGGCTAATTAAATCAAAATAATTATACCACGCTTTCGTTATCGATTCATTGTAATTGAGGGGGAAAAAAATCTGTTTCAGCTGGCATTACCAACGCTGCACGCTACATGTATCTGTATAGGCATATATATATATATATATATATATATATTTAATTTGTGTACAGTTTATGTTTTGGATACAGTTTTGTGTATGTAATTAATGCAGAGCATTTATCTAACAATGTTTAACACACGCCATATATTTATCGCAATTAGCTCAACTATAGTTAATTATTTAATTTTGACATACCAATCAGATGATCTTTTTCTTTCAATTTGTACATAATACATAAGTGCGCTAGTATATATATATGTATCAATAATGATTTCATTATATTTTATTTTTTTCTTTTAAGATTTTTGCCTGCACCAGTTTTTGTTGTAATTTGTTTTTGTTTGTTTAACTAAATAAAAATTAGATTAACGCATTTAAAAAATAATAAACACATAGACACAACGCTAACAAAATTAACATTTCTTCATCAAATGCATTACAAAGAAAACATTGAAACAATTGCTCTATAAATTAAATTGGAATATTTATGTAACCATATGTATTGTATATATGCACATCAAAACTCAACACAGAATAGGTAGAAAGTAGTACATCGAAATGGAGAAAACATCAAATTTGGTTCTCTTTCATTGTTTAAATTAACTATGTGTATAAATATATTTTAGACCGACTTCATTTTCAATTGTTTCTCTTTCTCTCTCTCTCTCTCTCTCGCTCTGTCTCTTTTTCTAGTTACGTGCATGCGTTTGCTCTTTCTTTTCGTAAACAAGGCGAAAAAGAAAAATATAATATTTATAATGTGTTTCATGAAAATCAAGAGACAATGTAAATTGTATTCAACAATTGCAATAACTAAAAACGATGCATTATACAAAAAAAAAATGGATATATATATTTATAATAATCGAACAAGACTTGTTGATTTAATAATGTGGGGTGGGGGTGTTGAGGGTGGTGTTGTTGGATGTGGGTTTTCAAGTAGTTTACATAGAAAAGAGAAAATTTACATACATATTTTGCTAATCGTACATACATTTTTTGTTTGTTATCAATTCGCTAATCGCGCACATTTACAGTTAACAGTTTGAAGAGCGAAAAAAATATAATAGAAATGAAATGACAGAAACAACAACGAAAAACACACGCAGAGAAGCTGCCAAAAATGTTGCTTTAGTTTTAATTTATTATTTTTTTGTTTGCAGCATCATGCAAAAAGTAGTAGTAGTTGCAGTTGTTATTATGGTTATTATCTTTGTTGTTGTTTGCTTTTCATATACTCGCTACAGTTTGGAATTGTTATCGAGTTCCATTTATTCCGGCTGTCTATCGCTCTTCAAACAGTTTAAATGTTGTTAGCCTTGGCTGCTGTTGTTGTTGGTGTTGTTGTCGTTGTCATTGTGCGCACAGCACAAGTTGTGGTGTTTACGTATAAGATCGAAATGCTGCAAATAGAAATGCCAAATATTTATATATTATACAGTGATCTCTCTCTCTCTCTCTGAGTAACATTTTAAGTTATACAAATAATTACTTTTATGGCTAGAAAAGTGTTCACCTACATTCGCTTCTTTTCTACTGCGGCTGTTGATGCTGTTGCGTGGGCACTGCGCCCGGCACAAAGAAGCCGCCCTGCGGCACGGCAACCGGTGCCATTATCGGAGCCAGCACCGTCGGCGGCGCTGCAGACATCGGTGCGCCTGATGGATTGAACACATCAACATAGGAGTTCTTCAGTGCTGCAAAAGGATTTGATTACAATAATATTCACATTACATGTTGAAAGCAGAGAAAACTTACTGCGATTGCGTTTAATTTTAAACATGTTCGACTGAAGCTTGGGCTGTGCACCGCCAGGTGAACCCGTTGGCGTTGCCGCTGCTGCTGCCGCAACTAGAGCTGGTGACGCTGATGTTGTCGCCGGTATATCGGGCATGGCAGCTGGTGGTGCAGCAACAGCTGCCGTAGACGATGCATACATTGAATAATCATAATCGACTTGGTTGTCATAGACATTGGCGTTGGGCGGCAGTTCGTGTGAGTTTTGCTGCACTTGTTGCTGTTGCTGCTGTGGCAACAGATTGGGCGTGTGTATGTTGGCCAATGTGTTGAGTGTTGGTTGTGGTGGTGCGCCTGCTGCCACTGCCATGCCCATATCGCTCATCTTTGGTGGCGGCTTAAATGATTCCGATTCATCCGCAGCGCCCTCAGTATTTGTCCAGCATTTGCGTTCCTTGTCCCACACAATCGTTGGATTCTTATCATCCGGTAATATCATTTGGTTTTTGGGCTTCAGCGAAAACTTGTTCCACAGGCCGCCAAACCAGCCGGCATTCTGATTGCCCTGCGCACTGTACAAATAACATAAAATTAGGTTTTTACTCAACAGTTTGTGAATGCTTCAATGGAACTTACCCAGGCAAACCGCTAGCTGCGGATTGTTGTTGTTGTTGCGTCTGCTTGCCCGCTGCTCCTGAGCCACTTCCGGCCGAGGCATTTCCGGCTGTTGTCGCCGACCCATCATCGTCATCGTAGCTCTTTGATTTTGGCATCGAAATTGTGGGTCGCACTTGCTGCTGCTGATAATTGATGATCACATGGTAGATGGGATTTTTGTTGTTGTTTATTTTGCATTTGTTTGTTTGTTTTTTGGGTTTTTTTTAACAAATTATTTTGTGTTTTGTTTTTAGATTTTCAGGCATGAAACGTTTCAAATTGTTTGTTGTTGTTTGGGTTGGGCAGGGGGTGTGGAGAAATGGCAGTTGATTAGTTGTTGGTTATTGGCAAAACGAAAAACATTAAGAAATTAGTTGGTGGTGCATCAAAACACACACACACACAATACATAAGTAGATATATCTATATATATGTAGTAGAATCAATATGTTAATGTTAGTTGAACAAAATGAGAGAAAAACTCCAAATTATGATTTAACTGGCGCAGTCAAAATAGTTTGTAACTGTTGAGTTTATCAGGCGCTCTTGAAAATGGCAATTATATATTTATATATATATATGTATTAGCTTCTGCTGCGTTCATACATTATTATTTACTTCTTATTATCTACATCTATATTACTATATATATACTGCATTATTTATGCTCTCTTTTGTATATTGCCTCAACATTATATTGCGTGAAATCACAGTGTGCGTATATATACATATATATATTAATGTATCTTTGCAATTAGTTTACAATTGTGTGTAGCGCGCAAAGGTACTCAAAATGGCGATTGAAAGGCTGCTTGATTATAATTGTTATAATTGTACGCACACTTAATATGTATATGTTATTTGGTTATGCATAGCAAAGGAGAAAATTTAAATTATTTATCTATGTTGAACTATGTTGCTAACAATTTAAGCTATGGCCATAATCTATTGCTGTTTCTTAGAGCTAGAAGCCAAGCCGGAGTTGCCATTGCCATCGCCGATGGGTGCATCGATGTCGTATGTTCGCACCACAGATTGCTTTTTCGCATCCAGATACGCCTCAAACTTGCTCAGGCTCTGCTCGACCTCGGTGCACATTTTCTTATAGTTGATTGGTATGGCCGGATTGGTAATTAGCTCCTCCATTGACCACACATTTTGTGGTGTTGCCGCCTCCGGTGTTGGCTGCTGCCGGTGCTGGTGCTGATGTTTGATGATGCCCAACTGGTTGAGAAAGCCGTTATTCTGTTGCAGCGCATAATAGTCATTGTAAGCATCATCGTCATCCTCATAGACATCTTCATCATCATCATCATCATTATCATCGTCATCATCATCGTCGTCGTCGTCGTCGACGTCACCGTCATTCCCCTCGGCCTGCTCTTCGCCCTCGGCATCCTCATCGATGACATATTCATGCACCATATATCGATACCGTTGTATTTCACTGCGATCGGTATTCGCCTCAGGATCATAGCTGCTGCGTTGTTGCTGCTGCTGCTGCAGTTGCTGATGTTGCTGCTGCTGATGATGATGTAGCTGTGGTTGTTGTTGTTGTTTGTGTTGCTGTGCAGCTGCCCCAAGTGGCATATCAATGGGATAGGTGCCATTGAAGACAATGTGGGGCTTATTGCTCCTGCTCGGTTTGCACATTCTGTAGATGTTGGTGATGTTTTGCTCAGTTGGCTGGGCCAATGCTAAACTGTAGCTGTTATTGTGATCGTTATCGTTATTGGTCTCGTTATCGTTATCGTTATCAAGCTCCTGCTCGGACGCCTCATCAATTGTTGTGGGCAAATCAAAATTGACGCGCTTAACACCGCCTGCTGCTGTTGCTGCTGCTGCTGTTGTTGTTGTTGCTGTTGCAGTTGCAGTTGCCGTTGCTGTGACTGTGCTAGTTGTTGGCTTGGCTAACACCGGCTTGGCTGGTATAAAGCGCGTGGGTGTGGTTAATGTTTTTGGTACAGCATTTGACAAATTGTTGCTGTTGCACTTATTAAAACTATTCACGCGTTTAGCAATTGCTGTTAATGTAGCGCTTGTTGTTGCTGCTGCTGCTGCTGCATAATTGCTGCTGCTGCTGCTGCTGGTTTTGTTGTGATTGTTGTTGTTACTGCTGTTACTGGTGCTGGTAGCATTTTGACGTTTATTTAAGTTTACAATGCTACTTACATCATTCAAATTAAATGCCTTTGTCGCTGCTAAACATTCTGCTGGCATGTTGTTGCTGCCGCTGTTGTTGTTGTTGTTGGTGCTGGTGTTGCTGTTGCTACCAAATTGCAATTTGCGTGGCATTAATTTGCTCTTGTCCTTGTCTTGGCCCGTAAAGTGCATTTGCTTGCCAGCAGCGGACAGCTTAAAGGCATTGTGTTTAAAGCGATTGTTGCTGTTGTTGTCAATGTTGCTTTGCTCCCGCAGCAGCTGCAATTTCTCATCTTCATCATGATGTTGCTGTTGTATTTGCTGAACATCAGCTGGTATTGCTGTTACATTGCTGATGTTCTTCTCTTGATTGTTGCTGCTGCTGCTGTTGCTGGTGCTACTATTGTTGCTGCTACTGTTGTTTTTATCAGCAATCAACTCATTGCTCTCCATATGCTCCAGCTGCATTCCAATGTGTGATTGAGAAACATTAGCAACATATTGCTTTCATTTTGCATGCAGCGCTTATTTTGTTTTGTTTGTTTTTTTTTTTTAAATTGCAAATATTTTGTGTCTTTCCAAAGTAACAAAAGTAACAACAATAAGTTCAAAAGTAGGAACTACACAACTAAATAATAACTTAACGATTACAACAAGTCAAATGAACCCAAACATAAATATTTAAATATAAATCGAAATATAAATATAAATATACATATACAAATTCAAATTCAAATCAAAAGGCAAGTTTTTAACTAGAGAAATGCTGCTGTTGCTGCTGTTGTTGCACCACCTACCTCATCGCCATACGGCGGCTGTTGTGCTGCACCACTGGGCCAATAGTCGTAGCCAGCGGTTGCTGCTGCTCCTTCATCATAGATCGGTGCATAGCTTGACGGTTCATAGTTTTGTTGTTGTTGCTGCTGCTGCTGTTGCTGCTGCGATGGATCATAAAGATGCGCTTGTTGGTGTTGGTGTTGTTGCTGCTGCTGTTGCTGTTGAGCAACATTGGGATCGTAGTACATTGGTGGCGCATAAATATCGCTGTTTAACGTCTGCTCATTACTTGGCTGCACTGCCGGCGGCTCATAGTAGTCCGGCTGTTGTGGTTGTTGCTGCTGCTGCTGCTGCTGCTCAAATTGCTGGTGCTGAACCAGGTGCTGATGTTGCTGTGGCTGGTCGTGCTGTTTGGCATCTTGCTCGCGCTGCATGGTATCTTCATATTGCATATTTAGCTCACGCATTTGTTTGCCCAGATCAACAAATTGCTGATCAATATCATTTTGTTGTTGCTGCTGCAGCAACTGTTGCTCCTGCAGTGGCTGTTTTAGGAATAACATTAGCAATTGTCACAGAGTTGTTAAGAGCAACACTCACTGGATCGGCAAGCGTGCGCAACTGACGCAGCCATTCCTTTTCCTCGGGCGCACCTTGGGGCGCCACTTGAGCACCATTTGTCGCATTTGGTGGACTCGCAAAGGACACACGATTGATGAGTATGGGATCATGATAACGCAAACGTTCCGCCAGGTCACAAACCTGAATCAATTCGAATCAATTAATATATATATGCAAGTTACATGTTGTCTCCAAACTTACGCGCTGTATGAAATCCGTATCGTAGCTATCCGGCCTGAGTTCGATGTGCTTGCCAATCTGCTCCAGATAATTGGTGCAGCGAAAATGTTGCCCATAGTCCAGGATGCGTGTGGCCAGCAGAAACTTATAGTGCTGGAAATTGACAATGCTGAACTTCTGATCGAACAGCGACCGGGCATATTCATAGATTTCCGTCATGATGATCGCCTCGTTGCTGGCAAACTCATTGAATGGCTTGTAGTGCGAGGCGCCCAGCAGAATGAGCCTGTTTCCATGGAATTGGAGGAATATTATTATTTAATTAGTATATGTAAGCTGCTGGAATAGTCGTGAATGATCGACTGAGAAGAGATTGCAGAGATATTGATCTGCATAAGATATGCAACAGATAGAATCAATTGTTAAAGACAGACATTTATGGCTTGGCTGACAGCAACATTGATGCCCTGCCATTTCTAGTGAATGACAGGGTATCTGGGTACACAGAAAGTATGCTGTCTTGATTGTCTCACCTTGGCACATTGGCTGTAAGCGTGGTTAGCTCCGTGGCGGCACTATCATAGCGTCCAAACTCCTCCTGGGCAACCAGATAGCAAAAGTGGGCCGCATAAATGTCGCCGCGTTGGAATAGAGTATCGCCCAGGGCGACAACAGAGCTACGATCGTGCTCCGGCTGACGTGACTTGTTCGTTACGAGAATGGAGAGATGGGAACGCCAATCGCCCCACTGCTCATCGCGCAGCTGACTGACGCAGGCGGGCGTATGGCAGCTCTTCATCTGGTAGAGCGTCTGCAGCGGATCGTTCGCTTTGATGGCGCGATTGAGAAACTTTTGTGCCACATCTGTCAAAGCATAGCGATCCTCGTACAGTGCCAAGAAGAACGCGTGTGTCCACAGCTGATGATCAGTGGCCCATTGCAGGGCCTCCTCCACGTTACCGCGCAGCACATAGCTACGAAACTGATCGGTAGCCGCCTGCTCCGACATTGTTGTATCCTTGGGCGCCACCACATCGGCATCCCCATCCGTCTCGAGCTCAGTTGTGACGTTTGCAGTTGCTGTTGCTCCTGCTCCTGCTGCTGCGGCTGCTGCCTCGCCATCCGAATCGTTAAGCGCCTCGCCAGAATTGGTGCGTGTCACTGCAACATCCGCATCCACATCGGCATCGTTATCGTTATCGGGTACATATGGATATTCGCGCTGATTCTCCAGCAGCAGATCACCCACATCCGTATCGGCAATAACCTATTATAGAAATATATCAATTCGGATGTAAGAATGACCAGTCTTTCTATACACATTTCAGATAAGTTACCCCATTCTGACGCAGCAGCAAGATGAGCAAATGCCACATGAGGGCATGCGATGCACGATATTTGGCAACGCTGCCGAGTGGCTTCTTCTGTGTGGCATAGAGCACGGTGCAGGCGCGTCCTGGTCCCAAACGGATCTGCTCCTTGCAGAAGCTAATTATGTTGTCCTTATGCAGCTTGCGACCCTGCAGCGGTCCTGGATAGGCGCGCAGCAAGCTGCTAGCGGCATCCTTGATGCGTGGCGCCGCCACCTCAACATCGTTGCGTAGCCGGCCGCGTCCAGCATATTTGGGACGGACACGTAGCAACAAGCTCATCGAGTAGCTGGCCACAAGATGGGGTCGATTGTAGCGCAACGGCGTTCGACGTCTCGGCGGACGTGCCGCAGTTGTTGTTGTTATTGTTGTGGCATCTGCATCAGCCGCATTGCTACCAAATGTTGTTGTTGGCGCCCCAGCAGCCACAGCAGCAGCTCTACAAATACGTCAACAAATTAGTTATACTCGTCACATCAACCTTTATCAACGATCAGCAGCAGGCAAAATGAAAATTCAATTGAAAATCATATTTAATCAAAATGGGTAATCAAAATCAAATGCATGCGCTAAATGGGGCAAGAGTCGCATCTCATTGTTGTTGTTGTTGTTGTTATCTTTAACTCTGCCAAATTGCGAACAAAAAGCGTATGATAAGCATAGACCATAAACGAATTAACTCAATTAGGCAAGAGAAACAGTAAAAGGCTTTGAACTGAATAGAATAGCATAGAATATTCCCTCGAACTTTTCTAGATGAAACCACAAAAAAAAAAGACTTAGGAGAAAGTTAAGTTATTTAAAACATATTACGAAATGTCGACACCATAAAGCATTAATATTTTCTGTTCCGCTAAACTCACCAAATTGGTATAATCAAAGTATTAGATTATTCTGTATTGCAAGCAAATAACATTAAACGGATTAAATGGCATATTGTAACTAACTTTAATTGTTAACTGCCAATAACTCATGCTCAAGCTAAAAATATTTATTTAACATAGAATAAATAAATATTTAACATGCGTGGCAACTGTGAAGAGCGAGTAAAACCAACATTCAGCTTCCAAGCTAACAAATTGAATCCAATTATTTAAGTAGAACTATAAATAATCAGGTAAAATTATTTAGGAAAAAAACCAGTTCCCCACTGAAATGATATAAATTAGTTGATGTCGAAGCTAAAGCACAGCAGGAAATAAAGCTAAAGTAAATAAATAATTTACGTTTTTTTCTCCCATTTTTTTTGTTTTTTGTTTTTGAGAAGAGACACCAGCAGTTGAAAGTCCATTAAGCACAAGATGGGGAAGAATAATGGGGGAGAGGGAAAGAGAAGTGCAGCACTTGATGTGGAACATGTGTATGCATGTAATTATATATATATATATACATATATATATATGTGTGTATGTGTGTGTGGGTGGGGTTTACGACAGAGCTATAGGACCATTTTTAGAGAGTGAATTTTGAATTTCAGCATAGATTTCACTTGTCTTTTTCTTTCTTTTTTTTTATTGGATAAGTGAGATAGATTGAGGTTTTTTTGTTTTTGTTTTTGTTTTGGAGAGACCACCTGATATCAAGGCCGCACTCGGAGCCAGCATAGTAGCGAGCTTGAGCTTGTCCAGCCGCATCCTCAGCGTTCAAATTGTTGAGCGAACGGGCACTGGAGATGCCATAGGGTGCCAAAAGACGACGATTGCTGTGGTTATCGCTGCCATATAAACTGGCGCTGTCATCGCCTAGGGTTGAGTTTAATAGATCCGTGTAATTATGTCCATGCTGTTGCTGGTAAAGCTGTTCGCTGTATTGCTGGCGACGACGATGAAACTCATTGGCTTGTGTTATGTATGCGTGTGTGTACCTAAAGAGTAAGCACATAGTATGGACGGCGTTTTGTGGTTGGTTCTAATTTAGTTTTCTTTTTTTTTGTTAATTCTTGTTAGAAACGAAATAGTATTTTTTGTTTGAGATAAGTATTATTTGCTTGTTTAGTTAGCTTGTAAAAGTAGTGATCGCTTGGAAATTCGAGGAAGTCGAGAAGTCAGAACTGATTTGAGAGTACAGCATTGCAAACATTAATTTTTATTATTATTTGAGATATAATTTTCTTTCTTTAGCAATCATTTAATTTAAAATTATATATATACGATACGTACATTACCAAAAAAAACTAGAAAATGAATGTGTAAGTTAGGAACAAAAAGCATTCTTATTTTCGAGCGATCACTGTACTTGTCGTTATTGTTGTTGTTGCTGTTGCTGTTAGTAGAAGACACAATGCAACTGTTTTGAGTAAATACTTTTAGGAACACTTGCTAGTTAATTGTACTAGATTCTATTCGGAACTACACAAAGCGCAGTGAGCGAGCGAACAAGTTGACAACGCAGTGGAGTGAGTGACAGTGAGTGAGAGAGAGAGATAGGTAGCGGGATATTGGAGGAACTTAGGTGAAAGGGGTATACAATTTAATTACGCTAAGAATTTTTAGGGTTTTATTTGGATCGCTAATAACCAAATAACTAAACAATCGAGCGGGAATTTGTTATCGTCATCATAAACTATAAAATTAGGTTGGCAACAACAGCGCCAACATTATATACCAGATGTTAGCTCAATGTTAGATCAACATGTTAATTAACATAACGAGTAAGCTGATGAGCGAACAACTCAAGAGCACAAGAAAAGGTCGGCGAGTAAGTAAAGTGAAGTAAATTGAGTGGAGTTGAATTGAGTTGAGGTAAGGATAAGTGACTACAACAACATGCCCAAAAAGAAGTGAGAGAAAATTAGAAAAGTATAAAGTAACGAGTAAAAAGTAACGAGTAACGAGTAACATGTAATATTTAGCTTCGGCAAAAGCCGAAGATCAACTCTGCAGAAGTGAGCATACGAATTATTTAAGTATATTGTTAGCGATACATTTTCAATTGAAAGAACTGAAAGATCATTATTTCAACATTTCATTTAAATTGTTCAGATAGTTTAATTTTTTATTGTTTGATTCTACTCGTTGCTATAGTTTATTATACTTGATTCTTGACTTTATTTCTGTTATTTAATTCAGAATCGGAAAAGCTTGTGATTTAAATCAACAACAAATGTCTCATTGCACTCGTTGCTAGAGTCTCTTTAAGCATATAAATTCTAGAACTGTAAATATTGAAACATGATGCGATCAATGAATGTAAATTCAAGCTACTCACAGTCTGCATAGTTAGCGGAAGGGCGCAGTTGGAATTTGTATTAATGCACAGTTGAATCATTGAGCGCTTGGAACTCACCTCTCGCGTTCTCGGAGCAAAGCTGCTTCCGTGCCGCTGGCGGCCATTAAATGGGCCGGATCGATGCGGGCTTGCGCTGCTGCTGCTGCTACTGCTGCTGTTGCTGGCATTGCACTAGTGCCGGTGACCTTTGAGGCAGCTGCCGCATTCACAGCCGCCGTCATTGAGTTAATCATTTGGCCATAGAACTTGGCATACATATCGGCATAGGCATGTGGATTGCGGGACAACTGCTCGTACATGCCATAGGGATCATAGCCCGGAGGTGCAGCACCTGCGCCACCCGATTGCATTGCCAATTGGTCGTAGTAGCGTCGCTTGCTGCTCTCCTTGTTGCTGTTGCTGCTGCGCTGCTCCTTATCCAGATCGCTGTTGCGCGAACTCTTGTTGCGATAGCTATCGTAATCGCGGGCATCCCAGTGATACGGCTGCTCCGGACGACTTGTGCCCTCGTGACTGCGACGGCCACGCGACTGCTGCTTCTCGTGCATGGACGATGACAACGATGGCTTCTCGCGTCGTGGACGATGATTGCCGTGACGTGAGGACTGCTGCTGCTGCTGCTGCTGTTCATAATCATCGTAGTCATCGTCAGCGGCACCACTACGTCTCTGACGGCTGGCTTTGCTGCTGCGTCCGCCGCCATCGCTGGCCGCAGATGCTGTTCCTCCCTGGGCAACGATTGGATCTGCTGCATCCGAATCATAGTTGTTGTGGTTGTTGCTATTGTTGCTATAGCGTGTACTTCGACCGTATTGCTGCTGCTGATCCTCGTGACGCCAGCGATGGCGATCCCGATCTCTGTCACGCTCCCTTTCCCGATCTCGTTCTCGTTCTCGTTCTCGCTCTCGTTCGCTGCGTCCGTTGCGGTCGGGTTCGTGTCGGCTTCGTTGATTGTCGGCATCGCGACTGCGACGTTTGCTCTCGCGCATCGATTTGTTGCTACTGTGGCTCTCATTGTGACCAGCCAGACGCACTGAATCCTCCGTTTCGCCCTCGTAATTGTTGCTGTTGCTGTTGTTGTGACGTCGCCCGCTGCGCAGACTGCGCATGCTACGCTCCTCCGTCTGATGACGTGGTGGCGGTGGCTCATGTCTATCACTGAGCAGCCACTCATCCTCGGACTCATCCTCCGATTCGAGGGAGGCAACTGGACGCGGCTTGCTGCGACCATGGCCATGTTTCTTATCCATCATCGTCTGTTGTTGTTGTTGCTGTTGCTGGGTGTGCGCCTGTTGGGTCGTTTCCTGCTCATCATTTGCTGACCGTTGCTGCTCCATTGCCAGATCAACCGAGAAAGGGGCAGCAGCTGCTACTGCTGCTCCTCCAGCTGTTATTGTTGTTGTCATTCCGGCTAATGTTGGATTTGCTACTCCAACTGCTCCAGTTGTTGTTGTTGCTACTCCGGCGCCAACTGTTGTTGTGGCTGTTGCCGGCGGCATTGGCTGATCCTCCAGGTTCTCACCGTCCAGCACCACTTCGCGCTGCTCCCCGGACAGCACCACAGTGGCCTGGGTCTCCACGCCAGTAACTACGCGTCGCGACGCCTGCAACTGTTGCTGCTGTTGTTGTTGTTGTTGCTGCTGTTGTTGCTGATTTTGTTGTTGCTTATGATGATGATGATGATGATGATGCTGCTGCTGCTGATGCAGCTGCTCGTCGTCAGAGGTATCCTCGCCATCAGCCTGACGCTCGTCCATGTGCAGAGGATTGGGCAAACGACTCAGCGCCGGCTGCTCTGTACCCGTGACCAGACGTTGACGCTCCACCAGCTCCGGTTGTCCAAGCACCAGACGCGACAAGCCAGGCGGCGGCAACAGTCCATCTGCCTCCCACGAGTTGCCGCCCTCCTGTTCGTTCTGTTCGGAGAGATGACTGGTCTGCAGATATTGTGCACGCTCATCATTTGGTGCGGCCAGCAGAAGCACCTCCTGATTCTCAGGCGGCTGCTGCTGTTGTTGCGGTTGCTGCTGCGGTTGTTGCTGCGGTTGTTGCTGCTGTTGCTGCGGTTGTTGCTGCGGTTGTTGCTGCTGTTGCTGCGGTTGTTGCTGCTGTTGTTGCGGTTGTTGCTGCTGTTGCTGCGGTTGTTGCTGCTGTTGTTGCAGTTGTTGCTGCTGTTGCTGCGGATATTGCTGCTGTTGTTGCTCCATTTGCAGCGATTCGGGCAGCACCAGCTGGACAGGCAGTGCGGCAGGTACTGCGGATGGTGCTGTTGCTACAGTTGCTGGTGATGCGGGTGTAGCCAATATATTGACGCGCTTACTAAGTCCACCAGCGCGCTTGAACGGATTACCGGCAAGAGTATCCACTGGGGGCGCTGCTTGCGTTGCTGCAGCAACTGCAGCTAATGGAGGCGCTGCCAATGGAGGTGCTGCCAATGGAGGTGCTGCCAATGGAGGTGCTACTACTGCTGCTGCTACTGCTGGTGGAGGAGTAGGAGCTACAGCTGCTGCTGCTTCTGATGGTAGAGGAGCTGCAGCTGGCGAATTTTGAAATGCTTGCGGCGGCACAATGGAATTCAAATCGGTGTCGGTTACCGGCAACAGTTGCTGCTCCGCGACTGCCGGCGATAGCAGTGGCGGCAACTCCAGTGATTTGCCTGCCTCCGTTTTGCCGCTGATGTTGTTGTTGCTGGTGTTGGTGCTAGTGCTGGTGTTGGTGCCAAAGGCATGCCAGCTGCTTTGTTGCTGCACATTAAATGAATCCTCCACGACGCTGGCAAGTGGCAGAGGCACCGGCAGCTCCGGTTCAATATTGTTAAGCTCAATGTTGTTGCTTGTTATGTTGTTGCTGTTGCTGTTGTTGTTGTTATTGTTACTATTGTTGTTCCCTGTTTCATTCCAATCGCCCCAATCGCCCCAGCCATCGTTTTTGCCGCTATTATTATTATCAAAGGTCTCCGCCTGTGGCAAATAATATTGTTGTTGTTGAGTGAAATTTTCATGCGCTGCTGCTGGTGCTGCATAGCCCAGGGGCGCCACTGCTGCTGGCGTCGTTATTGTGGTTGGCACAAAGTTCAGATGTGGCTGTTGTGTGCCGGCAAAATAATTGTTGTAATTCTGCGGCTGCTGCTGTTGCTGCTGCGTCTCCTCCTGCCAATATTGTTGAGGCTGTGGCTGCTGTTGTTGTTGTGGCGCCTGTGGCTGCTGTTGTTGTTGTGGCGCCTGTGGCTGCTGAAACATTTGACTGGCATAAGGCTGCTGTTGCGGCGGCGGCGGCAGGGGCTGCTGCTGATGCTGCTGTTGTGGAACTTGTGGAAACTGAGTGTGATGCAGAGTAGGTGCCTGCTGCTGTTGCTGGTGCTGCTGCTGCTGCTGCTGAGGCGGTGGCAGCCAGTTCGCATTGTTGTGCAACATGTTGTCGCAGTGGGCAAACTGGAAAGGAAACAAAAAACAAAGCAAAACAAAAAGCAAAAAAGCAAACAGCAATTAATATATTGATAAATTAAAGCATTCAAGTTTTGACTAGTTTCGTTGGTCTTTTTAGCCGTCAGGGCACTTAAAATGGGCTATTTACAGTTCGGAGTTGCCACACACAGAGAGACACACGGATAAGTGACAAGGTGAGAGACGAAAAGACAGCTGTGTGCGCTCAATGAATGCTGGCAAGCCCCGTTACCTGAAAGTTATCGCATATTTGACTTTGTTTCGGATTCTGATTCTGATTGACGACAATTTGCAAGTATGATTTTGGAAGTGCAGCTTTTGATTGCATTTGCTGAGCGCGATGCTTTAACCATGACATTTGCTATGAAAATAAGTTTACATTTTCGACAAGAAAACAAACAAAAAAAAAAAGAGAGAAAAGAACAAGTAAAAAAGAGTGACTTGCCAGATTGTTATGCGCTGCTTTAATTTTTCTTTTCTTTTTTTGTCACTTGTTTTTTATTATTATATACACTTTTGTATAATCTCAGACAAACGCAATGCCAGCGGCGGTAGCGGCAGCACCGACGACAACAAAAACAATAATCGCGCTGAGCTAAAAGTTTACGTGGACTTTTGCTGTGAGCCCCTCTTCCCCCCTCTGCAATGCACTAACTATTCTTTCGCCGCTGTTGTTAACAGTGTTTCGCTCTGCATATTGTTGTTGTTGTCGTTGTTGTTGTTGTTGCTGTTTTCCTATATTTACTTTGCGGTGATTTTTATGCGAGTATAATATACACTTGCATTTCCATAATTTCTGAATACTATGTGTATTAATTACTTATTTATTTGGTGAACAATTTTGTTCAACGTCAGACGTTAAATCAAAAGTGAAAACAGCCCAATTGGAGCAGTGGTTGTATTAACGACAGAGACGGAGAGAGAAACAGAGACAGAGAGAGCGAGAGAATGAGAGCAACGTTGCCAGAGAGTGTGAACAAAGTGCCACACACAGTCGAACTGCAAAAACAAATAGTATGCACACACACAGGCACACACAAGTGCCCGGAAGGGGTTGCCAGCAGCACTTGCAGACAACTATTCTCGCATAATTAGACATGAAGCAGCTGATTATCTCAATATTCGCCGTCTGTCATTTTGTGTAAAAATATCAACAGCAACAGTCTGACGTACATACGTTCACACTCACACACACACACACATATATACACGGCTTGTCGGTGATCTCCTTTTCCTCTCACGCACATCAACACAAGAGAGAAGGTGTCACTCCTGCGCCTTTCTTTTTTTTTCCTCTGCTTTGGCCTAATTTATAATTTTTTGTGGGGACAAACACTTACACGAAACTGTTCTTCAATTATGCGTTCTTGCAATTTGTTAATAAACCATTTAATTGTTTAATAATTCGTTTGCAGTTCGGTTGTATTTGTATCTAAATGGAATTTTTCGAGTACAAATGCCAACTCGACTTTTCGCAAGCGTTGCCAGGTTGTTAGCACAAGACTAACTCGTAAGCTAACAGCTTTGCAGACTGTTAAGCAACAGCTGCTAATAAAAACTGAAACTGGTAACACTGGTTTTAAGCATTAGAATTACATTGCTGTTAATCTACATAACAGTGTGGTAAACGTAAAAATACATTTAAAAAATAGATTAAATACCAAAACTACTGACCGCTCACTATAAATACGATCTGTGTATTTTAGTGTAAATCTCATATGGTCACTAAAACGTGCTTTCAATCTTGAATAGAAGTTGTTTTTAAATATTTCATAAAAAATGGGCAAAAAGGATAAAAATAAGAAAAAAGGCAAGGGTGCCGAAAAGACAGCAATGAAAACAGACAAAAAGCTTGCGGCCAAACAAAAGAAAATGCTGGAAAAGCTTGGTGAGGTAATAATAAATCACGTTGTTTTCATGGCAGAATTGTATACAATAAAATATATATATATCTATATGTTTAACAGACGGATATAGCGGAAATCGTCAAGAATCTGGAAGAGCAGGAGAAGAACTTAAAAGCGATATCCGAAGATGTATGCCCAGCACCAACGGCCCGCTCCAATTTCTCACTGGTCGCGCATCCCGAAAAGGAAGAATTGATTATGTTTGGCGGCGAGCTTTATAATGGCGCCAAAGTCAGCATTTATAACGATCTGTTCTTTTATAATATACCGCGCAACGAGTGGAAACAGTTGCGCTCACCATCGGGACCAACGCCACGCAGTGGACATCAAATGGTCACCGTTGCCACAGATGGTGGCCAGCTTTGGGTAATCAATTAATGTCTTAGCTGATGCACAAATATATTTAAATTCATTTTATATACCATAATTTTTAGATGTTTGGCGGAGAGCACGCCAGTCCCTCGCAGCTGCAGTTTTATCATTACAAGGACCTCTGGACGATGAGCCTGAGGACGCGCCAATGGTCGAAGATAGCCGCACCGCATGGGCCAAGTGCGCGCAGTGGCCATCGAATGGTTGCGGCCAAGAAGCGTCTCTTCGTCTTTGGCGGCTTTCACGATAACAATCAATCGTATCACTATTATAATGATGTCCATGTCTTCTCCCTCGAATCCTACGAGTGGCTACAAATCGAAATTGGCGGCACAATTGCGCCGCCTGTGCGATCGGGCTGTTGCATGGCTGCCACACCGGATGGCAAAATCTTTGTTTGGGGCGGCTATTCGAGGACATCGATGAAGAAGGATCTAGATCGTGGCATCACGCACACGGACATGTTTCAACTCGATGTGGACAGTAAGGCAGTATTAAAAGCTAAAAATCAGTTCTAAATCGATTCCGATATTAATTCCAGAATCGGGCAATGGCAACAAGTATAAATGGAGCAGTGTTAAGGCTGGCGGCTATCGTCCAAAGCCGCGCAACAGTGTTGGCTGCACCGTGGCAGCAAATGGGAAGGCTTATTGCTTTGGCGGTGTCATGGACGTCAACGAGGATGATGAGAATGTGCAAGGACAGTTTGGCGATGAGTTGCTCTCGTTTGATTTGACGACACAGGTCTGGCGACTGCTCGAAGTGGTTGCCAAGACCAAGAGCAGCGCCAAAAAAGACAATGATATGGAAATGGCGGGAGATGCTGCCGCAGCTGATCCAACTGCTACCGTCAGTGAGAAGTCGGTGACAACAAGTACGGATGGCATTTTCACAGTTACAGTGGGTGGACCCGGCTCCAGTTCGGCGACCACCACACCCTACGTTTCCACCATACCGAGTCTGTTTGGGCCCGCTCGTCGCACAGATGTACCGGCACCCCGAATGAATCCCGGACTGTGTGTTTGCAAGGGTATCCTGTATCTCTTTGGCGGTCTCTATGAGGAGGACGAGAAACAGCAAACGCTCAATGATTTTTATGCCTTGGATCTGCACAAGCTGGATCAGTGGAAGGTTCTCATTCCTGGAAATCGGAAGGCCCATGATTGGATCGATGATAGCGAGAACAGTAGCTCCGATGAGGAAGGCAGCGACGAGGAGGACGACGATGATGATGATAGTGATTCCGATATGGATACTGATTGATAAAACTGAGAAACTCTCAATAAAACACAAAATTACTTGTAAAGTGCGAAACATGTTTCAATAACAAATCCGGATCGTGTTGAGGAACACACAACAAAACAGATTCGATCTCATTTATAAAAATAAAAAAATTATAAAGGATCCTAGTATGTTCGAAGTGTGTTACTTGCAAAATACCTTTTAATTTTGGTGACTCGCTTTCATATTGTGTGAGATATATGGTTTTATTGATAGGCATCGGTTTGGAGAGGCAGAGTGGGCGTGGCCATCCAAATTTTATCAATATCTTAGGTGAGTTACCAGTAACATACTTTCAAAATCTGCTGACTCTAGCTTACAAATTGTGGAAGATATGCGCATTTCAGATTTCTAGGGGGCGGCAGGTGTAGGCATGGTCTAAAAATGTATATGCCGATCTTTGAAGGATTTTACCAACAAGTTACCTTCCAAGTTTGGTCACTCTATTTTTAAAAAGTTACAGCAAAAAAATACCAAATGAGTATTTTCAGCATTTACATTGTATTCATCGCCACAAGCAGGTGTTCAGTGCGAGCATGTTGTGTGTGCGAGAGTGTGTGTGTGTGTGTGTTATTATTATTGTTAAGGTTAACTAACAACTTGTTTAATGCCTTAGCATTTGCGCATCTTTATATATATATATATATTTTTGTTAATTTTGTAAGTTAAGTGCGTCGAACGGAAGCCAGAAATGCTGCGCCTACTCATAACAAACTGCAGTCGCACCGATATGCTCAGGTAATAGACCCCCTCCCCTCCCCACCCCTTTCCTTAACGATCTCCTCCGATAGTGCTGTAATTGCCAAACTCGGCCCCGCCAACTGATTTTACACTCAACAAACTCTTTACACATGGCCTCGAATTGTTGAAACGCGCGCAGTTTTCCGCCTCAGCCAGCCAATGTTCAACTTGACGATAAAGTTGGCCCTTTACGCATACTCTTTTGCAGAAACGGTATATGCTGATAGTGTTGTGAAACTTGACAAAATCCATTGTAAAACGAATGTGCTAAAATCGCAACATTTTAACGTTGATTACCATTTTAATAATTAAAACAGTTTGATTTATTGCATTGTTTCTTTTGTACCGGTTCAATTGAAAACTATAAATTGTACGTATAAATTTTAATAATTGCGCTATCTCGAAACTGGTGATATGAGTTCTTGTATGATAAACTATTTGCTACTTACCGCTTTATCTTAAAACAATTTACTACTTGGGAGTATAAAAATATAAATATAAGATAAAGTGCTGCAATGTTGATATGGATTCACTCTATATATATATATATATATATATATATACACATATATATGTGTGTGTATATAAATTAGGGTTTGCTAGGGTAAGCAAATTTCGGCGTGCCGATGAATAGTTGAATCTTTCCTACTGTTGATTATGTCATCGAACTGTTTGTTGTTTATTCTATAATATATACAGAGTATAAATATATGTATAAAAATGTATCTGTGTTGCTTGTAGCCGCAGCTTGTTGCAATCACCGACGCGTCTGCAGAATGCCAGCCGATTGATGCGACAACATCAGCATATAATGCGGCCAAGACCGACGACGGGTCCGCCTGGCAATTGCAGTTTACGAGGAGCGGTGCAGACAACACGTGCCCTGCTGCTGGGCGGCGCCACTCTGGGCGTGGGCGTGGCTGTGCGCGGCTGGTGGGCAACCCGATTGGTGCACTGCGAGGGCAATCGACTGGCTGGCGTTGTACAGCACACGCTGGACCAACAGGAGGAGGATCAGCAGTTTGACTGGCGTCGCCTCTGGACATATCTGGAGCCGCACACATGGGAGCTGCTCGGTGCTATTTGTGTAAATGAGAAATGGGAATTGAATGCTCAATGATTCACTGCAACACACACACATTTCCACATTTTATACACACACACACACATTTTGCAGGCGGCACTCATTGTGGCGTTCATCAACATACGCATACCCAATCTGCTGGGGGATCTGGTGAACACGCTGGCCCGCTATGCGAACACCTATGTGATGGATCCCATCAATAATTCGTTTGTGAGGGATGTCAGCAAGCCGGCGAGCAATCTGTTGAGCCTGTATATGCTCCAGTCGGGCTTCACCTTCGTCTACATCTATCTGTTGAGTCGCGTCGGTGAGAAGATGGCCGCCCGTCTGCGACAGGATCTGTTCAAGCAGATTGTACTCCAGGACATTGCGTTCTTCGATGAGAATCGCACCGGTGAACTGGTGAATCGCTTGACGGCCGACGTCCAGGACTTTAAGACATCGTTCAAACAGTTTGTCGCCCATGGATTGCGGAGCAGCGCCCAATTAATCGGTGGCAGCATCTCCCTGTTCATGATATCGCCACACATGGCGGCCATTGCGCTCGCCAGTGTGCCTTGTGTGGTGATGTTCATGTCCTATCTGGGACGCAAGCTACGATCGCTAAGTAAAAGCTCACAAGCGCAGGTGATTCCAACAATCTCAATTTCAATATGTCGACTCCAAATAACTTCTCTCCTTCCTGCCAGGCGGAACGGGCGACGGGCGTCTGCGAGGAGGCCTTATCCAATATACGGACGGTGCGGTCCAGTGCCTGCGAGTACCGTGAGATGCAGCTGTTCGAGAATGAGACAAACGAGGCGGCACGTCTGGCACAGGAGCTGGGCTATGGCATCGCTGTCTTCCAGGGATTAACAAATTTTTTCCTCAACACACTGGTGCTATCCACGCTCTTCATGGGCGGCCATCTGATGTCGACGGAGAGTCTGACGCCGGGCGCGCTGATGGCATTCCTCGTTGCATCGCAGGGTGTGCAACGTTCGTTGTCCCAGGGATCAGTGCTCCTGGGCACCATGATTCGTGGCATGACCGCCGGCAGTCGCGTCTTTGAGTTCCTTTCCCTCCAACCGAAAGTGGAGCTGCTCCGTGGCTATGTCATACCGTCGGAGCGGTTGCACGGCGAGATTCGCTTCGAGAATGTCTCCTTTGCGTATCCCATGCGACCAGATCATGTAAGTTTTTTTTTTTAATGATTCATTTATTTATTATAAATTCAAAATTTGATTTCCATTTATTATGAATGCTGTTAAATTCAATTGCATTCAGCACTTTAACATTTAAACATATTCAACAAATTGAATAATTTTATAAATGAATTGAAAATGTTGCAATTCCAAAATTAATCGATGCACTTTTCCAATTTTTGGTTGCAGATCGTGCTGAAGGACTTCAATCTGACGCTGCGTCCCGGCCAGACGGTGGCGCTGGTGGGCGCCAGCGGATCGGGCAAGTCAACAATAGCGGCACTCCTCGAACGCTTCTACGAACCTACCTCGGGCAACATTAAGCTGGACGGCTACAAGCTCTCGGACATATCGCCCTACTGGCTGCGTGGCAATGTGCTCGGCTTCATTGAGCAGCAGCCAATCCTCTTTGGCACCAGCATATTGGAGAATGTGCGATACGGCAAACCGGATGCCACACGAGACGATGTTTACGATGCCTCGAAACTGGCCCAATCCCATGACTTTATCACTGCCCTGCCAGATGGCTATGCGACGCATGTCGGCGAACGTGGCACCCAGTTGAGTGGTGGTCAGCGACAGCGGATTGCCATCGCCCGGGCGCTGGTGAAGAACCCACGCATCCTGATCCTCGACGAGGCGACGAGCGCCCTCGACGCGACCAGCGAATCCGAAGTGCAAAAGGCACTCGACACTGCCGTACAGAATCGCACCACGCTAGTTATTGCTCATCGTCTATCCACGATACGCAATGCCGATCTGATTGTCGTCATGGATCAGGGACGCGTTGTCGAGGTAAAAGACCACACAATCCATCATTGCCGAAACTTTTCGTGCAAGCGAATCAAGATTGCTTTCAAACTGAGGCAGTTATAAATTGGGGACAGTGTTTGCGCCTCATGAATAAGTATTATTTGATTGCTGACATTTCCATCATTTCCATTTTCGTTGTAGACGGGCAAGCATGATGAGCTGATGGCGAGGCGTGGACTGTACTTTGAGCTGGTGCGTCAGCAGGAGCGAAGGGAAATCCAGGAGCAGCAGCAGGAGCAGGCGCAGGCCGGCGAGGAGACGATAACCAAAAATGTGCCACAAGTGGAGACGGCATAGGCAATCCCAATCCAATAGTACAATAATACGAATGCAACGAAATAACAAATGATTCCCTGTACATACGACTTATTTAATTTATTATTTTTGATCACATAAGAACAAATTGTGCGTGTTTAACGATCCGCTCGTTAAGAAATTTGATCATTTACAATTCTATTAAGCAAATGGAACAGATGGTGTTCATGTTAAATAAAAAATAAAAAAACTAAAATAACAACCAAGTCTCATTCAAATTTCAGTTCCACAACCTCCACAACCAAAAATAATTACAAATCGTTGGCGGCAATATTATGAAAATTGCAGTATTTTTATGGTATTTATCGCTGTGGTCACCTTTTTTTTTGTATACACTTGTGCGCTGTGGTATTTTCGCGTCAAGCGTTTACGGTCACACTGAACACTAACGCTAGTCTCATTTTGGTTTTTTTTTTAAACAAATGTATTTGTTTTTTTATTTTCGAACTGTGTGCAGCAATTTAAGTGGCCAAACGTGCGACCGGTAGTGCAAAAATGATGTGAGGACGAATATAGAAAGAGATTCGCAATGTCCGTTCAACAGCAGCAACAAAATATACGATAAATTATGTAAGTGTGTGTGTGTGTGTGTTTACTTTGTTTGTGTATGTGAATTTAGTTGTTTTGCCAGTAACTACTATTAGCAAGAATGCAACAACAACAAAAACAATAAAAACAACAATAGCACAAGTTTGCTATTTGCTGTCATTGTTGTTCCCGTTCCCCCACACAAATTTCAATCAACCATTTGTCTCTGTATGTGTGTGTATGTTTTTTTTTGTTTGTGTTAGTGTATTCGTCATTTTGTGTTTTTTTTTTATTTATATCTGTGCACATTTTGCGTCAGCGTTGCCTGCTTGCTTCATTAGTTATATTAAGCTCTGATATTAGTGTTTAGTGCAAATGAAGTCATTTGTTGTTGTTATTGTTGCCGTTGTGCAAAAATAAGTCACACAATTTCTTCAGGGTCAATGTTGCCAATAACAATGGGATTCCACTCCCCCCCCACACACACACACACTCCACATCTGCCCTGGAATTCCCATAGAGTTGTGCTTATCGGTTCGTTCCACTGAACTAGTTTCTAGTTTGCAAGTGGTGTCACGTGATAGGTTGCCTTTACTAGAATGTGCAACAAATGTATTTATTCAATATGCCGGCTGTGACATCATACTTACATTGGCGCTTAACCACAGCCAGTAGATGTTAAATATAGCTTCTTTCGACTTGATTAAATACATTTTGCTTGCTTTTAAGTTATGCAGTAGTTCATTTGCAAAACCGGTTCCATAAACAAAGACTTGCGAGAACATCAATGGATGCACACGCTCTTTCGAGATTAATCGAGCTCTCTCTCTCTTTCTCTCATCAGTGCTGCAAACTTCATGCAAGCCAGTAAAGTTAAAAGTCGAAAAAAGCAAAATTATTATTTACTTTTAAACTGAACAAAATGCATTTGATGTCGGTAGTTTTTAGCATTATCATAACAACAACTTGAAGTGAAAATTCATTGACTTTTAGAGATTACAATTACTGTTGTCATAAATGAAGAGAAAGAGCCAAGATTATGCGTAACATGTGCAAACTGAAATAAAAGCTAAATTTGACGGGTTATTGAAAATATTGGCAGCTCTCATCATCATTATGTTCTCTCTATTTATATTTGTTTGCCAGAAAGCGGACACATACACGCGCACGCAGACACACACACACACACAGATACATTTCCACATGCATCAACAAAAAGAACAACAACAACATGGCGCGGTGCTGCCAACCTGCGCCAGTTGCCTCTGCCCGCTGCTGGCGCACAATCAAAATGATGAGCCAATAGTGATGGCACTGGACCAGCAATGGCACTGCGACTGCTTTCGCTGTTCGGTGTGCGATGCCCATCTGCACAGTTGGTATTTTGAGCGGGAGAATTTGCTGTATTGCCGTGAGGATTACTATGCCCGTTTCGGTGATGCCTGCCAGCAGTGTACGGCCGTAATAACGGGGCCCGTGATGGTTGCCGGCGAGCATAAATTTCATCCGGAATGCTTTTGCTGTGCCGCCTGCGGCTCCTTCATTGGCGAGGGTGAATCCTATGCCCTTGTCGAACGCTCCAAGCTGTATTGCGGCCAGTGTTACGGCAAACGGCTGCCCGTCGATGCCCGGGCCCGCATTACCAATGCCGGCAAACCGATGCATTCCATACGGCTCGTCGAGATACCCAAGGATGCGACGCCGGGTCTGCGTGTCGACGGCGGCGCTTTGGACGACGGTTGTCCCACGGTGCGGATAACCGAGTAAGTTCCTCATCATACATCTATCACCAAAAAATAATAACAAAAAAAAAAAAAAAGAAACACTTTAAGTAGAAAATATAGACAAGCTTTAATTACTAAAACTTAACATAAGCTTTGACTTAAAATACTAAAAAAAAAATAGATAAAAAAAAACAACTAACTAAAAAAAAAAAAATTTAAGCGCTTTTTGGTCTAAGAAACATTTGCTTAACAAGAAAGAAAGAATTTATAACATTTATTATATTTAGATGATAATATTTTTATTTGTTATTTAATTTTTGAAAACTAGAACTACGAATTTTAGAATTAAACTTGCATTGTTTGTTTAAATAATATATTTTTTATTCAAAAGCTAACATTTTTCAACAATTTTTATAACTGGTGCTGGTTTCATGCTTTTCCTTTTCTCTCTCCCCTTCTCTCTCTCTCTATTTGTCCCTGTCTCTTTCTCTCCCTCTGTCCCGCTTACACGCTACTGTCTCTCTGTCTCTGTCACACTGTCTGTGTCGCATTGAAAAGCTTAATTTGTAAATTCTATGGTCGCATGGGCAAATACGCCTTCTCCCTGCTTACCTCGGTGGCGGATCGTTGTTGTGCTTCATATAGGTAAAAAAACAAATTCGAAAATTGCTTTCTTCGGCATGTCGAAGATTACATAAACTTGCAGACTGGAGTGTCATCAGAAATGTTGTCCTTCAAATCGTCCTAAATCGAGACTTGTCCTGAAATTGGCAAATCACTTGGAAAACATTTGCAAACTTATTTAATAAATAATATGAGTTGAGAAATGACTTCTTAAAAGAAAAAAAGAAGAAAAAGATATGGATATATATATATATATATATATTTATATAGATAGATACTCCTCTGCAAGTGTATAAATAAAAACACAGCCAACAAATTCACGAAACTAATTCACATAAAATCGTTGAAATTAATTGGAATTCGTTTGGTTTGTAGGATCGATGTAAATCTCACGAATCTGCACATCGGCGACCGCATCCTGGAGGTCAATGGCACCCCAGTGAGCAACTCATCCGTGGAGCAGATCGACAAGCTGATACGCAGCAATGAGAAGATGCTGCAGCTGACCGTCGAGCATGATCCGGTGCAGGTCTGTCGCAGCTGCAGCCAGGCGGATATACAGCGTGCCAGTTCGGCATCCACGCTGATCCTTCCACTCAGCACATCCGCTTCAAGCGTGGAGGTCGGCGGACGTGGACGCGAGCGACTCTACAAAGCGGCTGCGGCTGCCGCCGAACCCAGCGGCAAGATGCGCAAAATGCGACAACAAACGCTGCAAACCGTGCAGCAACAGCAGCAGCAACAACAACAGATGCAACAGCAACAACAACAAGAACCTCCTCCTGCCCCATCCTCTCAGCTGAAGGAGAAGGAGCGCTGCTCGAGTCTGTCCAAGCTGCTGGATGAACAGCATACGGCCCAACAGCATTCAGCGCATCCGCAACTCTATGATTTATCGCGGACGCAAAGCTGTCGCGTTGTCCAGAAACCGCAGCGCATCTTTCGCGCCACCGATCTGGTGATGGGCGAGAAACTGGGCGAGGGCTTCTTTGGCAAGGTGTACAAGGTGACGCATCGTCTCACCGGTGAATTGATGGTGCTGAAGGAGCTGCATCGTGCCGACGAGGAGGCTCAGCGTAATTTCATCAAAGAGGTGGCCGTTTTGCGTCTACTCGATCATCGACATGTGCTCAAGTTCATTGGTGTCCTCTACAAGGATAAGAAACTGCATATGGTCACCGAATATGTGGCTGGCGGCTGCCTAAAGGAGCTCATCCATGATCCAACACAAACGCTCAGTTGGCCGCAACGCATCTGCCTGGCAAGGGATATTGCCTGCGGCATGAGCTATCTGCATTCCATGAATATCATCCATCGTGATCTCAACTCAATGAATTGTTTGGTGCGCGAGGATCATTCCGTAATTGTTGCTGATTTTGGTCTGGCCCGTAGTGTGGACGCACCACGTTTGCCCGGCGCCAATCACAGTGCCAGCACCAGTGTGAGTCCTGCTCCTGGCGCTGCAGCTGCTGCTGGAATGGTGGGTGGCGGTGGTGGATTCGATGGCCACAATGCCATGTCGCCCAGCGGCACATTGAGGCGCAGCAAGAGTCGACAGCGACGCCAGCGATACACAGTTGTTGGCAATCCCTACTGGATGGCACCCGAAATGATGAAGGGCCTCAAGTACGACGAGAAAGTGGATGTCTTCTCCTTTGGCATTATGCTATGCGAGGTGAGTTTTCACACATCGATTCAAATATTGAATACAATTCGACTCACACAGCCTGAAATGAACAGCTGTTGCTTCTTCTTCTTAAACGTTCTACTGGCTGCATATCACTCAGCTGTAATTATTCAAACTCTTTGTTATTAGTCACAGTAATATTTTCGAATTCTGCTTTATACTTTGCATTCGTTAACGTTTGTTATTTATATATAACGCAGCTCTAACACTTCTTCCTTGTGTGTGGCATTCGTAAACAGTGCACAACCTGTTGACTGCTACAAAATTGATTCAATTTGCATTTCAATGATGCTTCGTAAACGTTTTACTGGCTGTAGTTGCATGGTTGGTTATAGGCACAGTCTAGCTATCACCTGCGTGTTTTTAGCTCTATTCGTAAACGTTTAACTGGCACTAATAATTTTGCTTTACTCACATTACTTTCTTATAGATAATTGGACGCGTCGAGGCCGATCCGGACTATATGCCACGCAACTCGGACTTCAGTTTGAATCAGCAGGAGTTTCGCGAAAAGTTCTGCGCCCACTGCCCGGAGGCGTTCGTCAAGGTTGCCTTTGTGTGCTGCGATTTGAATCCGGATATGCGTCCCTGTTTCGAAACGTTGCACATTTGGCTGGAGGAGTTGCGCCAGCATCTGGATGCACAGCAATCGCCGCCGGCGCGTCTCTTGCATGAGATTGAAAACTTTCAGGATAGCTACATTAGCTCCGAGGATGCACTCTCGCCAACCTCACAGCGCAGCCTGGACAATCTAACGTTGGCGGGATCAGGAGCGGCAGCAGCAGCAGCAGCTGCCTCACAATCACAACCCGAAGTCATTGCGCACGCTTCAGTCGCTCTCGTCGAGGAGAAGGAGAACGTGGAGCTTGTGGAGAGTGTTGTGATGCGGACGCATGATATACCCAAATCACCGCATCTGGGCAAGGATTTCTCGCCCAGCGGCGAAAGATTGCGTGACAGCATGCGCGCCCGTCGACGACAGCGTTTCTTGGGCGGCACACAACAGTCCCAGCAGCAGCAGCAGCAGCATCATCATCATCAGCAACAGATACAGCAGGAGCAGCAGCGTGGCGCCACACCAGAGACCACATCCACGGATCGGGCGCTCAAGCAGGCGCTGAAAAAATGTCGTCCGTTTGGCGAAAAGGGTTATCTGGTTGATCTGCGTCCTGGCGCCGAACTTCAGTTGCAGGATGTGCGCGATTTGAACAACTATTCGGATGTGGACTCCAGTTGCGATACGAGTCTCAACTATCATGAGATAAATGCGACGCCGACGCCAACGGCAACGCCACCGCCACCGTCAACAACACCACCGCCACTACCATCATCGCCATCATCACCATCGGCAACACCACCATCACCACCAGCTGCACATCCGCACGAGCATCGATTGGCCTTCGATGATATGCGCACACGACTGCATCAGTGCCGCAGCAAGTTCGAGCATCTGGAGGAGGCGAATCGTCGCAATTTCAGTCAGTCGCAGCACTCGATGCGCAACTTCTTCAAGACGCCGCCGGTGGCACTCAAAATGTTTCAGCGGCTCGAGCATGAGGCGACCCTAAATGGCGGCAGTGCAGCACCATGTCGTCGCAGCACACAGCGCATCAATCAGACGCCCATCTTTGGCAGGCGACAGCTGCCTTCGTTGCTGCCCCAACTGCAGCAAGCCGAGTCACTCAAGCATCTGGCGGCCGTTGCACTGCCTGCAACAGCAGCAGCAACAACAACAGCAGCGACAACTGTTGCATCCAAGCGCAGCAAAGCAGCAGCAACGATTGCAATGGCAATATCAACAGCAACAGCACCAATGACAGCTACTACAACAAGTACAACAACAGCAATTGCAACTGCAACTGCAACTGAAACATGCTCGCCACCTGCTGTCTCCGAATATTTGCCCAAGAAGCACAAACTGACGCTGCCGCTGCCGCTGCCATTGCTCTCAAATGCACAGCGTCCGACCAATTGCAACAACGGTCGGCAACAGCATGGCAGCAACAGCAAGTCAAAACCACTGAAAGCAGCAGCAGCAGCAACAACAATAAACAACAGCAGCAGCAGCAACAATTGCGTTTCACCCACACGCCACCACAGGCCGGGTTCGCCCAGCAAACATTTGGCTCAACGGCACACAGCGGCCACTGCCCAGCGACAGCATCATCATCATCATCATCATCATAACAACAACAATAATAATAATAATAATGGTAAACTCGATATCTATCTATATCTATACATAGCATAACTTTCACTTTGTGAAATACTCGTCCGAAGTGGAAACACTTTTGCCAGAATGCGAGGAGCAGTTTAGAGAACTCCCCCCAGAAAGTTGTTCATATTAAGATACTTGTGAAGTTAAGAAAGAAAAAGAAGATATATAAATATCGTGTCCAAAATACGATATATTAATTTACATTGGTCAAATGCAAAGTTTTTCGCCATCTTCAAATTTGCTGTTCTAATCAAAGAAACTTTATTTTATTTTATTATTATATATTTCTGTAAAGTAGTCCTGAGACCATCCGATTCCAGTCTTGGTCATATCGGCTTGACTGTCAAGAAGATTAATGCCAAATAAGCTCCTTTGCCACTTACCAACTTACAGGGTATATCAAGGCAGATATAAATATATATTTAATTATTTATTCTTTAAGTATTATTGCTTTCCAAATAAATAACATTCTCTCCTCTCTCTCCAGTTTTATCGTCCGCCCATCATCAGCAACAGCAGCAGCAGCTGACGAAGAGCAGTCGGCTCAGCATACTTAGTCCGGAGAGGGTGCATCGTTTGGGGGCCCGACTCAGCGATCAGAAGCAGAAGATGCGCGAGGAGGCAGTGGCAGCATCAGCAGCAGTAGCAGCAGCAGCAGCAGCCAGCAGCAATGGACATGGACATGGACATGGACACAGTCGCCATGTTGGGTTGGCAGCAACGGGCAACGGTACGGCTGCATCGGAGCGTAGAAGAAGAGCGCCACCATCGCCGCCGGTGCGGACGCATTTCAATACACGTTGTTAGCTGTTATACGGCAACTGTTATACAAATAATGTTTGCTGTAACTGTTAGAAGGAGCACCGATTTGCAACAGTTCATTCCTCACAATACGGTCATGCAACACATTCCGCAGTCGCAAACATTCCGAAAAATACGAAAGAAAAGACAGAAAAAAACAAACAAATGAAAAAACCAAAACAAAATGAAAAACCGAAAACGACAAATTCAACGAAGCTTGACGACAAACAGAAAACCCAATAACGAAGCGAAACGGCGCTGCCATCTAGTTATACGAAAACAGTGGCAACGCAGCGACGGCAGTTGATCTTCAAAAAAAAAAAAACTGTCCGACTAGAGTAGTATTAGAAGAAGAAGAAGAAGATGAAGACGAAGCACTACACAAGAGAGAGAGAAACAGGATAGCGATAGTTGATGGTCTGGTATAAAGGGAGAATGCAAAGCAATGAAATACACAACAACAAAATATGTTGCGAAACTTCCAGCAATTAACCCAACTGTAATACAGCTTTTGTAATATAGCACAAAGCAAACTGCAGTGGCCATTTTTCAATGGCATCTAACATATAAGATATATGCTCAATTTTTTTTTTTAAATAACAACTGTTATACAACTCCGTTTTTTGTTAAAATACAATTTTTTTTTTTTATTTTCGTTTATATATAACATATACTTCCCATTACTTGTAGTATATAATCTAAACCCAAGCTTAAGTGCCTGTAAATTAGAAAAGGTTGCAATATTTACAAATTGTATTAAAGGGGAAAAAAACAAAACAAAAACAAAACTAGCATCTAAGCTTACAGGGTATTGCATTGAATTAACAGTTGAACAACAAAAAATAACAGAATTAAACTAAAACTATTAAATGCTAAGCAATTTTCGGCAATGAGATGACAAAAATAAAAAACAAAAAAATACAATTACGAATAGAAATGAGAGAGAAGGAAAACCTTGTGCCATGGCCCACCATACGCAGCGAATGCGAAACAGAGAAAGAACGAGACAGCGAGAGAGAGAGAGAGAGACGACATCGACGAGAAGGACGACGATGACAACGTTGTAAAAAAATGTCTGTGTTAGGATGGGAAAATAAAAATAAATAATTAAAAAAAAAGAACAAAAAATACTAAAAGAAAAAAAAAGCTGCAAAAGTTGATAAGACAAAAAAGACAACAAAAAGAAAGGAAAAACAATTATTTTTTTATATACATACATACATATATATTCCATGTTAGTGCTTAAATCTAATTTATTATACATAGTACTTTATATACAAAAACAAAAGCAAGATGAAGAATAACAAAAGAAAAACTTATACCCTCCTATATAAAACTAATACGACTACGAACCTAAACAATAATTGTTGCACAAAAAGAAAAAAAAAAGGAAGAAAAGACAATTTATATACTGCTTACTATATATATATATATCTATATAACTCGATTGATATTGAGAAACCGAAAGTCTAACTTATACTCGTGTACTTTATTATGTACTCTAACTGTACTACGTATGTGAATATATCTATTGTGTAATACAACAAATACAACAACAACAATTGCAATTGCTCAATGCAGAATTAGTTCGTAAGTAGCACATTGCTAACTGTTATAGACCGACACACACACACATACACACACATACACATACATACTTGTGCTGTTAAAACTGTTATACAAACGCTGTATTGTACTTTACATAACTAGGCATACAAATTGAAAAAGGCTTACCATTAATTGCTATTATGTTACCACGCTCCCCACACTCCCCAAGCTCCCCTCAAATTTCAGCCCTCCAATAACTGATTTATATATATATATAACTGATGCCATTTGCTTAGCTGTTATATTTACAACAGTAGATCCGTGTGAATGTGCGCCTCTCAATGTTTAAACTAACTCGACATATGCCTAATTACATTATACATAAATTTAGTAATACTTGAATGTATATTGCCTCTATAAATATATATATATATATATTTTTGTGTGCAGTTGATAATTATTATGTTTTAAAAAATACATTTGAATCCATCGAAAACCCTATATAATGCATTGAATGCCCCACATCTTGTTTGATTACTTACGTTGTTGGGAAGGGTATTTATTATAATGTTCATTTTTAATGGAAATTTCAATTAATTGATTTCTACAGATCTGTTTCTGAAATAATTCGTATTTCAAAGATTATATAATATTTGTGTGTAATTTTTGGCATAGTTTCATGATTTTTATACAGCTATCAAAAATATTTATTTAAATCGATTATAAATTAAATTTGAAATACAATTTTCGGCAAGTTTCAATTTGCATGAAACATAAAATAAAAATAATGCCAGTTGAGGATATGAGTAATTTTCAAGCTCAATTATCATCATGCAGTGTTTGCTGTTGTGCATCATCATCATCATCACTTCATCATCATCATTACAAATTGACTGACTTTTCGGAGCCGAGTTCACGTGCACCGAAGAAAAAACAGAAGATAAAAAAGCACCCCACCACCCAGTTGCCGGTCCATAGACCTGAGCCCCAGTTCAGTTGAGCTTTTTGTTTTTTGTGTGTATCTGGTTTTTCCGCATTGTTGCTTCCAGGAAACCACACACACACACAGAGAGGGACAAAAATAAAAAAGGGCAATACCGACAGGTTGTATCCATCGTGGAATTTGTCCCAGACCATGGTTCCGAATACATACGTATGGATCGATAAAGTTTGCCCTGGCCGGGCCAACAGCCCAGGACAATTGTTATACATACACACGGCAATCACATACACACACACACAAACACACATGCATACATACATCCTATGTACATATGAACACATGCGCAGTGCTATCGTTTCCTGGAGCATGCATTTTACATAGTATATGGTACATGGTAAACAATTGTGTTTACATTATTTATGTTAGCTTGGGCAGAGCTGTTAGCGAGGCGCGACGCTGCTGGGTTCATGCTATGGTTTAACAGCTGTTAAGACAGCTGATTTTACAACGGCAACTCCAGCATAAACAGCTGCTGGGTTGCTTGCTGCTAACTGTATGATGTCTCTTTGGCCATTGATTGACTGTCTTTACATATGCATATGTACATACATGTACATATGTATATATGTAAATACGTATGTATGTAAATTATTGGTGCATAACGTGAGGATATTATGGATATCAATAACAGGAGAAACAGCAAATATTTGCTGCAATCATTTGCAGCTGCTGCTGCACTACTGCAATTGACGTGACGTAGCAGCGACGCCGGCTGCAGCAGCAGCAGTTACGTATTCAAGGTCTACATTTGTGTATCGATATACGAACGTTTTGTGTACATACATATGTATGTATGTGTGTATATGCCATAATTTCGTGAGTGTATACGCAGCCTATTTACATATGTGTGTATGTATATATTTACATACGAATGTGCACATGCAAGTATGTGGATACATAGTATACACACACACCTAGAGAGAGAGAAAAATGTTAGCGTATTGGAGCAATGGTCGTTGTTCTCGTTTCAACCCCCAACACGAAACGCGCCCCTTTTGCACGATGTACTCGACGTATTCGTCGTGCCCATCGGCCATCGGCCATCGGCCATCGGCAGTCGTCACCAGCTTGATTTTGCTTTGCGTTTTGCTTTTGCTTATGACGTGCTCGCACGTACGCGACGTACTCACAACTGTTGTTGTGTATGTGTGAGTGTATGTATATCACGTCATACATGCACAAACTTCTATACATACATACATACATATACATGGAATATTATTTCGGTACAGTGGGAACTCGCTGGCATACACGCTCGCTAGCTGTTCAATTTAGTGCAACTGGAAATGTTCTAGCGCTCCGAGCATGCACTGTACGAGCTTATGCACATGTATGTATCTGTGTTGTGTGTGTCAAAAGGCATACATACGTAAACAGTGAGAGCGTGCGCGCATGCACTGAAAAATGTGTACAACAGCACGCGGCAAACAGCCCAGTGGCCAATTGAATTTCGAATTTAATTAGACAAATGCTAGCAATATTTATATAAATATACATGTAATTACACAATGATAGTTATTTACTTGCATTTTTATCAATTTTTTAATTTATGCATATAACATACAAACGTCTCAACAATAACTGCATGCTTTTATATGTGTTTAATTATTGAATCCCGACAACCTATTCATCAGCGGGACTGTATGACCTGTGTATGTGCGCATTTACCACTGGGTCGCCTGTGCTGTTGACTATTTGACGTGCCTGTTTTTTTCTTTTTGTTTGCTTTTGCTTTTGCTTTTACGCTGCTTTGCTTTGCGCACCGCTCATTTTCATCATTCTGTAGTCGAACGTTGCCGCGTGAAGTTACGCTTACGCTAAACATTCTTCGGCATTTTGCTGCTCACACAATATTTTAGCGTCACTCGTGTACGTGTCTCTGCTGCTGCCTGCTCGCTCTCTGAGTGTGTGTGAGTGTAGTGAACGAGTGTGTGTGTGTGTCGAGTGTATATATTCTCTGTGTCTGCTGCTGTGCTGTGCTGTGCAGTCGACAAAGACGTACGAAAAACGTAACGCGTACGTGTGTATGTGTGTATAATACGTGCGCATACACAACACACATATATAGATGAGCGCCGCAGCGCAATAGAAAAAATAATAAGAAAAACAATATATTACAACCACTTATATTTCTTTATTTATTTTTTGCCAGTGCTAAAACAAACATACAAAAAAACAACACCAACAACAACAAATCTTGTGCAGCAAACGAAAATCAATAACGTAAAAAGAGAAGGAAAAAAAGGAAAAAAAAAAACAGATATGGGGCTATAACGTGTCACACAGCACAACGTGCTGCAAACAGAATAAATATACATACATATTATATATACAAGCTATATGTACATAATACATAATACATAATACATAATACATACACATATATGTATATATATATATAAGCATATAAAAATCCAAAAAAATGCACACAAACAAAGCAAACAACGAATTGCCGGTACAACAAGAGCAACAACAGCAAGCGGCGCCATTATTAAACAATTATCGATAATTGTCATCGGCCAGCAGCGATAAATATATTTAAAAATAAAAACAGTGTTTTTTCCCGTGCTTCTTGTGTGTGTGTGTGTGCGTGCGTGTGTGAGAGAGTGCCTGCGTGCGTGCTTGCGTGCGTGCAGCCGACGCTGGAAAAAAAGTGGGTCGCGTTGCGCGCGTAAATTTGGGTCGCAATTGCACTACGACCTCTGCTCCGCTCTGCATTCCAATCCCGAGACCGACGAGACCTGAGAGATGAGCGCCATGTCGCTGCAAACGAAACGCCAGCACTGCTACCTATGCGACCTGCCCCGCATGCCCTGGGCAATGATCAACGACTTTTCGGAGGCGGTATGTCGCGGCTGTGTCAACTACGAGGGCGCCGATCGCATCGAAGTCGTCCTCGATGCTGCACGCCAAATGAAGCGACTCCACCCAAGCAGCAAGCATCAGCGTGGCGTTGCCCACGAGAATGGTGAAGTGGTTGTCCTCCAACAACAGCAGCAGCAGCGTGCTGGTGGCGGCGGTGGTGGTGGTGGTGGTGGCGGTGGTGCACCCTCTTCCAGTGTTGGACCCGCTTCGTTGTCGCTGTCGCATCAGCATGCTGTCGCAGCAGCAGCGGCGGCAGCAGCGGCAGCCGCCTATCAAATGCCCCGCATTGGTCCACATGCCCCACCCCCACCGCAGCAGCAGCTAATGGATTTTCCCGTTAAATTGGAATCCTCACCAGATGTGCGACCCGTGCGCATTCCACATATGACGGCCCACCACATGCAACAGCAGCAGCAGCAGCAGCAAGCTGGCAACCAACAGCAACAACAACAAAGACCCGGCACTGGTCCCGGACCCGGTCCCGGTCCTCTGCCCGTAACGGTACCCGGCTCCACGCTGCTGCCCGCACTCTCCGTCAATCTAAAGCGTCCGCCCTCCGACGATGTCGATGTCGATGGCCAGCAGCAGCAGTCGCAGCAGCAGCAACATGGCGGACCCAGCCATGTTGGCGTTGGCGTCAGCGTCGCCGAATTAGCCGCTGCTGCTGCCGCCGTCGGTCCGTCGAGTGTGAAGCGCAGCGCTCTGGAGGATCCCAATGGAGTGCGGCCGCCATTGACGCGTGGCGAATCGCTGCCAGCGGCTGTCAGCTATGTTCCAACGGAGCGACAGCTCAACATGCGTGACAAACAGCAGCCGGTGCGAGCGCCCAGCTTCGATGCATCCACCTTCAAGGCGGGCGGTGAGTTGTATTTTGTTTATCGTTATCATTATCGTTATCGCTATCGTTATCATTATCATGAGACTACAGCATATTTATTTATTTATACAAAATCAGATAGATAGATAGATAGAGAGAGAGAGAGCGAGAGAGACAGCATTAACAGAGCAGTAACAGTGCAACGAAAGTAATAGTAAAAATAAAATTTAGAGAAAAAAAAACAGTTCAATTTCCCAAACAATAATCTATCATATAGAAAACGTATTTAATTTCTAATTGGAAGAATTTTAATGTTTCGATCTTCTACACACTAAACAGCTGCCGACAAATGACAAATAGGGGATCTGGGATTAGAGATGATATTATAACCATTTACTTTCATTCTTATTTCATCAACTTCAGTAAAAGTAACAGCGACAACACAAATAGTAACAGTAACAGCAGCAATAACTGTGTAACGCGTGTAACAGAGGTTGTAATTAGGAAGAGAAGAATTTGAATTCATCATAAAGACAAAATATTAAGAATAAGATATAAGAAAGTATTTATTATTTATTTATGATTATTGAATAATCCTTTTTGTCAAGTTAGTTTCAGTACAACAAGCTAAATTGCGAAACAAAGAAAAGAAAAGCGTAATATTATTATTATCAACTGGCAATCGATCCTTGATTAGAATATAATGTATATAATATACAATCTATATATATATATATATATGTATATTTACTGTATGTTGTGGCCTGATTTGCTGTTAAGGATTCAGTTAACGAAATATGCACAAGGTTCAATTTAAAAAAAATAAAAAAAATCGTGTATTTTTGTGTGTGTGTTTGTGTGGCTGGCTCTGTTTTTGTTGCTGTTGTTGTTGGTAGATAAGCGTCGCAAACTGACACAAATCTCAAAGCAGTGCAGAGCAGAGTGAATGAGCTTGATTCTCGCTTATATCAGCGACAGAGAGAGAGAGAGAGAAAGATATAGAAAAAGAGGAGACGTCGCGAGGAGGGGGCACAGGAAGAGATAGCACAGGAATATACAGCAAGTTGTGCCATTGCCTTGCCGGCTGGCTGTCTTATCAGTCGACAAACTGACTATTGATAAGCAGCAGGCAGGCAGTCACACAGCGATTAGATAATGCGACAGGCAGCCGGACAATAATTTCCTATCAGTGTCGCGTCGAATCGTGCTGCTCGCGTATCCCCTCCGAGAGAGAAAGAGAGAGAGAGAGAGCCGTAATCGCAATCGCTGATGAGCTGTGTTTGGTGGCGCTTTTCTTTATCTTCTGTTTTTTTTTTAATACAGTGCGAAAGCTCTCTCGCTAACCTTCCTTCTCTTATACACACACACACAAGCACGTGTAGTGATGCAAAAGTTGGGGGGCAAAAAAAGCTAGGCTTTTGAAGAGCTTTTAGCAAAATGCAATTTTTTGGTACAGTGGTCACTTGTTATATAATAATATTATTTTATAATCATTAGCAAAACTTTTTATTTTAATATTATTATACAAATTAGCTTTTGTTTTGAAACACTTTTGGAACCAATAATAACTTGAGTATTGTGCGAAATGAAGCTCCATCTCTAAGAAAAGTGCCACTGTAAGCAAGCAATTGGTTATAGAAATAATACACAAACCCACACACACACATTGAGTCGGCGGTGTAGTTGAACGCATTTTGGCAGGAAGATGGACGGATGGACGATACAACCCTCGCGGTACCTTTTGGTGCTGGTGGCTGGCAACCCTTGCCATAAAAAGGCATTTGCTTGTCATGCGCACAACAGCCGACAGCAACCAAAAAAAAAGCTAAAGTATGTACATAACACACGCACACATGCACACATACACACACGTACACATGCACGCATATAGGCGACACGTAACCCGAAAGGACGGCCCACGACCCGCAAAAATTGTAATAAAAACAGACGTGCAAAAATTGACGTTGCTGCTGCTGCTGTTAGCTGTAACTGCGTCTCTCTCGCTCGCCAAAGCTGCCGTTGCTGCTGCTGTAACTGTGCCTCTCTCTCTCTCTCTCTACCTCTCCCTCTACCTGCTGCTACTTCTGCTGCCTGGGCTAAACAAGTTTTGGCTATACTCGGCATTTTGCCTTAGTATGTTTTTTTTTTTCTTTTTTTTTGTATTCTCTGTTTTATTTTGGTGTGCGCGCGCAAAACGTCATTAAACTTGTTTTGGTTTTTATTTCTTCTTCTTTGCTGTTTTACGCTATGCGATAACAAGTTGCACATATACACATGCATGTACGCTCACACACATGCACACACACACATGCACGTACGCGCGCATACGCAGAACAGCAAACAGTAGAGATAAATTTTACTTGGTATACGGAACGAAGACTGCAACAGCACCCGATATTCGTATACATATACACATATATATATATATATATATATATATATATGTATTTATGTATGTATGTATGTATAAGCGTATCCATACAAACATGAAAACTCACCAAACGGCAAAGAACGAGCAAAAAAATAAAAACAAATAATGAGAATTTTTCGCGCATGCCGATGCCGTCATCTGGTCCACAGTGGGGCCAAACATATATTCATTGATAATTGTTGAACTTGAGTTTGATAATTATGAAAATTGCTGATAGCCAGCTGTAATTAAAATCAACTTATCATGCAAAACGCAGTTATTTTTTATTTATATATTTTTATCAACCGTGCAGATTACGTTTGTGTCGTTGTGGTCTTTTCCACAATTAAGCTGCCAGTGGGTGTATGCGTTTGTTGTTGTTGATGAAATTCTTACAAATTTTACGATGCTGCTTATTACGCCTATTTACGTTACGGTTACGAATCGTTGGCTGTGCATGTGTACGTTTGTGTACCTGTTTCATTACCAAAATCAAAATCTGCTCTTGTGTGTGCATGTGTGTGTATACTAAAAATATACACTCTGATATACATACAAAATTACTCTTAACACAGAGCACAGGCAACGTCGTTTTACAAGCAATCGCATAATAATGCACACATGCACACATACATACGTGCGTACATGTATATGTATTCACATAATACCGTAATATTTGGTGTAAATCAATCGCCTGATTGATTTGTTCTCAGATACCCTGGAAGTTATTGGTGATTTTGAATTTGTTATTGTTTCTTATCGCAAGTCAAGTTAATTAAAAATGTAAAATATCAGTGTGATCATAAAAGAACAGATTAAATAATAGAATGAATGTATTTTTTGTCAAAAAAATGCTGAACAGTGGAAAATATATGGAATATGTTGATATAAACATTTTACATTGTCGACACATAACGGGACCACAACACCCCACACACTTTTGCGTCGCCTCCTTGTTGTTGTTTTTGACTCGTCTTGGTGTATTCATTCAGTGCACTTTTGTTACCTCTGAATTTGCATTATGCGCTGATGAGAGTAGGGAGAGGAAGATGGATGCAACTCTCCACTCTACACTCCACTTCACTCTCTCTCTCTCTTGCAATGTGCGCGTTAGTAAGGAATTTTATTCATCGTCTCTCACTCTCTCTCTCTGTCTCTCTACATATTTCTATGCGAAAATTAGGCATGCTCTCTATCAATTAGCAGCGCAGCAACAGCAGCATGCAGTTTACAGTTAACACGTGAACAACGACGTGTAGAGATACTGCAAGGAGAGTCAATGCATGCATGGCTGTGTGTGTGTGCCTTCTGCCTCTGCTACTAATGAAATGCATCAGGTCGCACAGTGTTACCAAAAACACACACACACACACATACAGTACAAATGATATAAATGTATGCTTGAGTGCTTGAATATGAATGAAAGCGACAACGTTTTAAGTGCATAAATCAAAAACAAATTTGGTAGTCGCAATCAGCACTAGTCGTCTGACTGATAAGGAGCGAATAAAATAACCGAACCGAGCCTATCATGCGCTTGGCTTATCTTATCAGCGTTATCAAGCATTTCATGCGTTATCAATAAGCAGGTAACTGCTCGATAAGCACAAAACATCACTTCTCTCACAGTGCACAGTGGTTGTGAAAGCGGCCTAGCTCATACATTTATTCATTTTGTATGCATCAAGCATCGTGGAGAGTGTTCGTGTTATCAATAATGAGGTATTAGTTTTAGTTGATAACACATATTATATTATAAGTATGATGAATGATATATCGATTCGTGTATATGAAGCATACATTATAGAGGCACAACCATTGATTTGATTATGCAAGAACTTTAACTATTGATATCAAAAATACAATTTTAGAGGTGACTTTCATTTGCAAATTTATCAAATTTATTTGCAAAATGTTTGTTTTTTTTTTGTTTCTGGTTGTTTAGTTTATCAGACAAGTAATGCCAGACTTAAACATAAATACAGGAAGCGTACCGTATCGTATTGCATCGTCACTCGTTCTATTTTGAATTCCATTGGCAGATGAGCTGTACGTGAGTGGAACACTTCAAGCCCCAAAACCAACTTGCGATAAGCATTTCTTTTTTTACTTATTCTTTTTCCACATATATTGCCGCATTTCCCCGATATTGGTTAATACTATATACAGTCCATATAAATTATACTATATGCTCGATATATGTATATATATATATATATTATATATATATGTGTTCCCCCATATGTTACTAGGCTCCAATTGAGTTTGCTTACATTTTTCTTATACACACAGCTGTTTTGTTTATCTTATCTCGTGGAGGAGGAGCTCGAATTGAGGCTCATTACGGTATATATATATATATATTATGTGTGTGTGTGTGTATATATATATAGAGTAGTACTATCTTATCGGCATGGCCAACAACTATGACTGATAGCGATATATATGTGCGTGTACATATACTTTTAGCCAGTACTATTGTCCACTGATGTGGGGAGGCAGATCTGCTTCTGCTGTATATATATATACGCTTCAAGTATTGCCATATCTTTTGTTTATTTTTGATTATGCGTAGTGTGTGCTGCGCTTCTTTTTTTCTTGTTGCTTCTTTTTTATGTGCTTAGTTATTTGGTTAGGCTACGACTGATATCAAGTTCTTTTTTTCTCTTTTTTTTATCAGCGGAAATCAATTGAAATATCCGAATTTATATAGAGTAGTACACACACACTCGAAACAATCTCTGACTTTGCCTGCCTGCTGTGGAAGTAATCATAATTTCTAATTACGCACAACTGTTTCATTTTGTGTAAACAATTCCCAAATGTCTAAACAATACTACATCTATAAATGAAACATTCTTATAATACAGACACGTATATACATATATATATACATGTATATATATATATTTATATATATCGTATATAGAGATGACGCTGCCTGGCCCGCCCACCCATTTTTGGGGTGTGGTTCAGTTTCTTTCATTCATGTGAAAAGTAGGCACAAAATTGTTGTACAATATTTACATACATATATATGTTGGATTGTTATTTTTATCATTATTTTTGTTTTGTTTTCTTTTGTTTTAGTACAACCGACACTTGAGTATGATTCATGTTGGCAAATAGTATGCCAAAAGCAGACGAATAAATTCGATACAAAAACGATACTAAAAATAGGTCGCCTCGTGCTGCATTCATCTTGTTATGCCACATTGAGCCAAGTTGAATATTTCGAGTTCAAACAACAAATCTACACATTTTTATTTATTTATTTCATTTTCTTTGGGGAAAATTCCAATGAGATTGGTCAAGTGTATACAATTAGTATGAAAACTTGTTCAGCTCTTACAACTAGAACAAATTGCATACTGAGTCAGTCAGTCTCCGACCACTGTGCACAAGGCGCTTGCATATTTCGCTGCTCTCTCGCTCTCTCTGCCTCTCACTCACTCAATCAGCGTCGCTCTCTCTCATTCTCATTTGCTGCATGCTCTTCGCTAATACTGTTTTAATATCAATTTTGCTGTCATTTTTATTTATTAAGCATATTTTCTGTTATTGTTCTTGCATACACTTGTCTGTTTGTGTGCGTGTGTCTGTGCAAAATATAAACAAATGCTATAAATATAAACATTTCGTTACTGCAGAGGCCACACACAGCACGCACAACGCTAATGCTAACGTTGACGTCGACGACGACGACGACGCAGCAAATTGCGATGTCTGTTCGCGTTTTTTGAGTTGCCAATTTAGCAACGTGCCGCCGCGTGCGTATCAGCAGCAGCAGCAAACAGCAACAGCACCACGAATAACAAGAACAACACGCAACAAAAAAAAACGAAAAAAAAAAACAAACATAACAGCACTCTACACACGAGGGGCAGACGAATAATAATTTTGTATGCAGCCCACTGTGCGCCACTGACAACGTCGTCGTCGACATTTGAGCAATGTGCGCGGCCCAGCTAGGCATACAAATTAAAGCCCAGCTCCAACTCTAGGTTTTTTTTTTCAATAGCAACAGCAGCAGCAGCAAAAGTAAATTGTGGCTACGCGTGCGCGTGCGTTGAATGTGTTCGAGTCCATTTAAAGTTAACAGCAGTTTTTAACAGTGGGGCGGAATTTTGGAGCACACTGTTAAAAGCCCAAAGCCTGCGCATGTTTCATGCACAAAATACCAAGTATATCATTTTGTTTTCTATGTATTTAATACATACATATTATGTTACTCAGTGTGTGTGTGTATGTATATATGCGTGTATGTATGTATGTTAATTGGCGTGACCGTCGCAACGGAAAGTCACGCGGCGGCCGTGCCGGCTGCGTGACGAAAAGACAACAAAAGCAAACAGTCAAAACAAAACTTCAAGTATGTATGTGTATATTTATATGCTAAAATATATAATATATATATGTATATGTATATGTATACGTGTATGTATGTATGTTGTGCATATATGTATGTGTGCGCTTTTGCCGTCGTTGCTTTGGTATACATACACAAACGACGTCGTCAACGTTGCTTGCATGCTTGCAGAAAACGAAAAGGAACGAGGAATATATATGCACATCGTAAAGAAGCGAACGAAGAAAAAAAAACCGGCTCTTCCAATTGCATTCTGCACGTTTTCTTACTCGCTCTCTTTCTCTCTGTTGCTCTGCATGCGTCGCTGCCTTGTGACGTATGCGCAGCAGCAACAAAAAAAAACTTGTTTCGTTTCAGTTCGTGTCGTTTATTTCGCTGCTGCTGGCACTTTGCCAACTGACGTTGTTTTTTGACGTCGCCTTTTGCAAAAAACCAGCTGGTTGAAGATTCTATTGTTGTACTGTTGTTGTTGTTGCTGTTGCGTTTTGCGGCACAGTGGGGCCAGCAACCTGAACAATGTGTTGTGACGTCACAATGCTGCCGCCGCAGACGCCGCTGCTGCTGGTGAATGAAAATTGTTGTCGTTGCTTGCTTGCTTGTGCCCAAGAATACATATATATATATATATATATATATGTATATATGTATGTATATAGAGTATGTGTATGTATACAGAAACTGTGGAACGTTCGTGCCAAGTTCTAAAATTACAAGCATTGCGCCAAGAACAACAACAACAACACGAACAACATCTTGCAATCAAAATGATTTCATTTATTCTTTTTGTTTTATTTCTAGTGTGTGATTTTTTCTCTTTCTTATTTTTTTTATTCATTCGCTTGGAAAATCGAAAGCAGGCCTTCATTAAGTAAATACTGTACATGCACAGGCTTTCATATATATATATATATATATACATATACACACATATATTTGCTTGTGTGTGTATAATTGGTATTTGTATCTTGATTTGACATTTTGTGTAGTTTTAGTGTATGCCTGAAAAATAGGTACAGTAAACTGTTCGTTCGATTGAACTGCCCTCAAAGATAGTGTTTGTCCATTCTCGGATATATACATATATACATACGTGTATTTAATATTTATAATATACATATACAGTATATAAATACAAATATCTTTTATTGTAAGTTCGAGTTATTACGAGCACTTCTGCCGGCTTAAAGCGATATAAAAAGCTCTTTACAACAGCATTAAAGCTTCTTATTATATAAGAAAAACAAGCTTCGACAGCAAAGTAAACAGTTGTGATATTATCGACTGAAAGCTCTTTCTATATGCGATATATACACATCTATATATTAATCAGACTATTATTTAGACGCTTTCATTTTATAATATAGTTAAATGTATATTTTATTCAAAATATACATTTAATTTAAAGTTCTCTCTCATTGATAACATAAATAAAGCTTCCTCTCTAGCTATCTCGCTCTCTCTCTCCCCCCATTAAATTTAATTCAGTTTCGCATTCTTTTTACATTGTAGAGCACTTGTCACCCGCCAGTCGACGCAATGGATCCAGCCCGCCATCGGGACCGTTGCCCCCGCGCAGTGTCCACTCACCCAACAGTTCAGGTAAATTGAATCAAGCAAAACTTTTCAACATTATCCAAAATTCTAATGTCATTCTTTCTCTCTCTCTTTCTCTATGTATCGCGCTCTCGCTCTCGCTCTTTAATAGGCTCTTCGTCGAGTCGTCGGTCGTCGGGCTCTCGCCATGTTTCCAGCACAACCGTTACTAGCAGCGAGGTCGGCGGATCGAATTCGGTTCAAGCGGCCGCAGTCGCTGCTGGTCTAAGCGCTGGCAGCGCTGCAGGCGGCTCTCTGGGCGGACCGGGTGGCGGCGGCGGTGCCAGCAATTCACAGCTAAGCAATTGCAGTAGCGTCGGCGTCGGCAGTGCTGCCAGCGGCAACGGCCCAACATCGCTGCCACCGAATCCAAATGCCGTTGCTGGCGATGGCAGTGCTGCTGGCGGCGTCGCAGTCGGCGGCCCCAGCGGCAGCAATGGTAGCGGCGGCAGCGCCGTCAATGCCGGCCCAGGCAGCAGCGGCGGCGTCAGTCAAGGCGGTACGCCGGGCGTCGGCAACGGCAGTAGCAGCGGTGGCGGCGGCGGCGGTGGTGGCGGATCAGGTGGCCTAAGTGGTGCACCCGGCAGCAGCAGCAGCAGCAGCAGCGGCGCATCGCCCAATGCGGCAGCGGCGGCGGCGGCGGCAGCGGCACAGAACGCAACATTAAAGTGCACCCTGTGCCAGGAGCGGCTAGAAGACACACACTTTGTCCAGTGTCCATCGGTGAACATTCACAAATTCTGCTTTCCCTGCAGTCGCGAAAGCATCAAGCGTCAAAATGTGAGTTGAATTCGCAGCTAAATCAAAAACTATGATTATAAATACTAATCTTCTCTCTCTGTCTCTCTTTCGCAGGGTCTGGGCAACGAGGTGTATTGTCCCAGTGGTGAGCGATGTCCGCTGGCCAATTCCACCATACCGTGGGCATTTATGCAGGGCGAAATCACCACCATATTGGGCGAGGAGGTGAAGGTGAAGAAGGAGCGCGAATCTTAATGTCCATTTTACTGTAAAAAGCTGCGCAGAGCTTTGGAGCACTTTTGAGCCAGCCACTTAAACAGCAAGCAAAGAACGAGAGCGAAAGAGAGAGCGAAAGAGAGAGAGAGAGAGCAAGCGAGAGAGAGTATGAGTTCTGTTTTTCCTTGGTGATCAATGGCTGGCTCTGTCCTCTCTCTCTCTCTTTCTCTCTTTCACTTCTACTCTGACTCTCACGTTCGCTCTCTCTCGTATCTATGACACAAAATTAGAGAGAGAGAAGCGATGATAAACTTTATTTTGTGGCGACCGCGTCGCTGCCAGCAGCAGCATCAGCAGCAGCAGCAACAACAACAACAACAACTGGTGGCCACTCTGTCCATGACGACCAACAACAACAACCACAACAACAACAAGAACAACAATTTGTAGACATAAGCAACAAAAAATCAACAAATTTGTAACTTTAATATAAAAAGAAAAACACCAAAAGCTCGCTTAAACAACTAAATAAAATGCGAGTAAAGCATTTGTTAAAAACAAAAAACAAAAAACTAAAAAACAAAACAAAAACAAAACAAAAACAAAAGAAAACTAATACGAAAAATAATTGTAGCGCTTTTTATGAGCGCGACGAAAAGAGAAGTGAAAATTGCGCTCTTTTGTTTTTGTGAAATGATGAACAGAGTTGAACAGATGACAAGAATTGAACAGGATATGTGAAGGACAACAGAAAGGAGTCCAATGAGTTAATTCAAAAATACTACAAAAATACTACAAAATAAACGCATGAAAGGTTCACTTCAATAGGCATTACGTAATTATACACGTATATATATATATATATATATATATATATATGTATATATATATATATTATTTTTTTTATATACACTTAAAGAAACGTAATTAAGAATGATTTTTGTTGTTACAAGCATGCAAATTATTTAAAAACACAAAAACAAAAACGAAAAAGGAAAACAAATTGATTTAAGCTTATTTAGTTTTGTACTAATGCATTAATTTATTTTTTAATGGCTGTTGCTTATTTTACCGCAGTCTTTTATTTTATTCGATACATACAACTTATATACATACTTTTATATACCTTTTACATAGATAACTTAATTATTATTTTTTTTTTGTATAATTTTACTTAACTTAAAACCAGTTTTTATGCTAAAGATTGTACATATGCATACCACATAATCGGAATATAAATCATCTATATGCATATATAGATATATATATATATATGTATATATATATAAATATATGTATATTCAAGAAATAAATTAAAATATATTTTATGTTGAATAAGAAGAAGAAGAAAAAGAACGAGTCGAAATTGGTAACCAACATTTTGGCAAATACGTAAAAATGCAAACAACGTCAACATTTTAAAATGATTTTTAACTAAAAAGTAACGAAAAGAAGGCAAATTGTGACTAGACTTGAGATGGGTAGGGGAAAGGGAGGAGGAGGGGGAATGGGTGTCTAATTAGGGGTGAAATATGGGGCGGGGTGCAGCATTTAGGACGCAATATTTAAACTGAAAGTAATTTTTGCCCAGCGCAACGTTGCCAAATTTCCACTGATTAAACGAAAAACGGCAACTGCGTAAAAAACGAAAAAAAATTGTATATTTCTTTCGTATTTTTTTTTTTTTGTAAGAATTTGCAGCAAATTTTTGCCTAGTTAAATTGTGAATGAAAATTAGCCCAGACATTTTTTGTAGGTTTAACAGAAACAAATATATATATAAATATATATATATATATATATATTGTGGCAAGGAACACTGCGAACACTGGACCAACACTGTGTTGAACAACGTTCCAACAAACATATACAATACATATGCATATTAATGCAATTGTATTTTGGAACAAAAGCAATTACAGTGGACGCTCGGAAATTAACACATATTCATGAAATCCTATTTTTCTATTTAAAACAAGAAAATAAAAAACCAAAAAAAAAAAGAAAAAGAAAAGCAAACAAAAATTTATATGAAATAAAAAAGTAATCGATTGTAATATATAATATATGATTTCTATATAGACCAATTTCCATATTCAAAAATGTTAAACAAGAAAAACCAAATGGGAAAATTATAAATAATAAATTAAAAATTGTAGATTCAAGACTAACAAGTACTAAGATATTGAAACAAGTAATTTGCGAGCGATCACTGTACAACAATTAATAATTATTCAGCAATTTTCTCGAATGAAGCAAAAAGATAAAGAAGAAAAACAAAAAGAAAAAGAAAATGAAAGCCAAAATGGCGCTGTGGGTCACTTTGAGGTTATGGCGGATGTTTGCTGTACTTTTTGCAGTAGAAAACGATTTTCACTACTTGAAACGATAATCGATGATCGTTAATAAACATCAAATACTAAATGAAATCAAAGAATAAATATATATGAATAACAAAAAATAAATATATATATATATATATCTATAAACGTATTTAACTATACAAAGCTCCAAGAACAGAAAACAAAAATCCATTGCAGGCGCAGTCCCACATTTTGCTCTCTCCCCTCCTGATTTTGTACTCTCTGATTTTTGTTTTTGGTGTTGTCTGTTTTGAGTTTAGCTTTAGCTTTTCTTTCCAAAACACTTTTTGTGATAAAAGCCAAGCAAGCAATGTGGATGGAGTTGAAGAGGAACACCAACAAAAGAGGAGGAGTCACCCAAGAAAACTCTCTTTGTGTGCATGCTGATCCTGGCTGCTCTTGTTTCTAAACAAACAAAAAAACTATGGGGCAATCCTGCAAATTTAAGGTACATTTTAACAATCAAGCAATCAGCGCACAACAAAAAAAAAAAAACGACAGTAAATAATATAGTAATATAAAAATAATGAAACATGGCGACAACCCTATAAATGAGTAGGGTTTGAATTCTATAAGATCTCACAGTGTCGAAATTTTTGTAATTGTAATAAAATCGCGCAATAGGCCAATACCAACGTTTTAGTAATCGTAAGTGACAAAAAACAAACAAAAAAAAAAACAAAAAAAACAACAAACAATGAAAAGAAAATCAAAGAAAATGTATGAGAAATACTAAACACAATTTCCTTTGTAAAAGTTGGTATGTGTGTGTGTAAAACGTAGTGCTCTATGGGGAAAAAAATATCAGAACTAAAAGCAAAGTTATCAAAAAAAAAAAAAAAAAAAAAAATTGAAAAAAAATACGAAAAACATAAAATCTAAACGTATAAAGGCATTTTTTTATATGTGTGTGTGTGCGTATGTTGAAACCTAACAAGATTCAAGATCATTAAATATATAGTATGCATATATATATATATATTCATACATACATATGTATGGATGTAGCGAAACTTTTTAAGCATGCAAATCAGGCTATCGATTAACGATAAGCGATTATCGATACACGATAACTCGATCACGATCACGATCAATCGAATACCAAGTATATCGACAAGTTATCGTCCATGTGTATTATGCGAAGGCAAACAGCGATAAAATATGATAATTGATAATGAGATAAAAATAAAAATATATATAGCGATACAGATACAGATACAGATGATGAATATGGCAGCCAACCACAGGCAAAACCCAATTAAAATACTATAACAAAAACGAAAGCAAACTTAAATACAAAATGAAAAATTTAAATGCCGTTTTTTTCGGGGTTTTTCAACGTACAAATTTGTTGTTTCTAAGAAGGCTAAAACGAGGTAAGATACCAATTGTAAATTACAAACATTACAAATTTGATTCATAAGGTTTTGAAAATTCTACAGCAAACTGAGTGGATGAATGAGCTTTTTAATTTAATCTTTGGATTTTTGGCGATCATATGAAATTATAATTTTAATTTTCTTTTTTCATAGTTATCGCTTTGGTTTATATATTATAAAAAACTTCTCTCCTCAAAGTGCAGCCAACACAAAAAAGGAGATAAAAAGCAAAAGACAAATTTGAATTATTATTATTAGTATAAAAGACTCACAATTATAGAAACATGTGTTTCATTTCCCACTGAATATGAATTGAATGTGTTGTGACTAGCGCCACCTTTTGGACAAGTGCGTGAAGCAGTGATGTTGTCAGTACCTGTCCACAGATGGCGTCAGTTGCTGAAGGCAATAATCTCGAAAAATGTCCCTAAAATATCCTTTTTTGTGTTCCTGGCGCTGCAAAAGTGGCTCTTAATAAATTCGATACATTTCTTGTTAGCAACAGCGCTGCTATCGATAAAGCAAAAAACCTGCAAGCCACAAAACGTATGAATTCGAAAGATTAACAAAATTAAATAGACGTTTGGCTTAATTAGCTCAAAGAGCAGACGTAAATTAGTTGCCCGGTTTTGAATGTTTACATTTGTAAAACGATAAGAGAAGCAGCAGCAGCAGCAGCGGCAGCAGCTGACGCAGAGCGCAGGTGAGCAGAGCGAGTGAGTGCGTTTAGCAGTAGGCACTAAGAGTAACGGAATGCGGCGATGCTGTCGCTGCCAGCAGTGAGCGTTTTTTCCTTTCGCTGACGCTGCTTTATTTGTGCGTGCGCGTTGCCAATAAAAGGGCAGAGGCTACTCTGCTCCTGGCCAAGTGGCGCAACGAATTTCGCTGATTGTGATAACAAAACCAAAAAATAAAATAAACAAAAAATGTAAATTAAGGCAATAGTTAAATTTGCGTATATGTATGTGTGTGTGTGGGTGCTTGTGCCTAAAAGTAGACAATAATAAAAAGTGTTGAGGATATCAAATCACATTTTCCAACGAATTGTTGTTGCATCGTCACTCTCTCTCCCCCTCGCTCTCTGTCTCACTCTTACTCTCCCACTCTCATTCTACTGTCGCTCTCGCGCATTAGTCAGCCAGGAATTCCCTTGCAGCGTCAAGCGCAAATTGTTTGTGTTATACACAGGACGTATCAGGATAACGCTAGCACCAGCCTGCTCCCACGCATAACAAGGAAGGGCGAAAGCTACAGCGAGAGCGAGTGTGAACGGAGAACAGAGAGCCCAAAGAGAGCGCGCAGGAGAGAGCGCACACATGTGCTGTCTGTGCAGGCACAGTGGTGCAAGTCGTCATGTGCAGTTCAATTGAATTGAATTTTTCCCTTGCTTAGAATTCACTTTTTATCATTATAATTTTGGGCAAACATACAATTCGCAAAAATGATTATCTCTCAATGTATTCAATTCAGAATTAAGTTATAATGTTGTCAAAACACTTCACTTTTAAACAATTGGCGAAAACTCTAAATTTAAAAGTTCTTTTTAAGACAAAATACAAATACCTTAAATAATACAAGTTTATAAATATTACGTTTCAAAATGAGTGTAGTTAAACCGCGATTATCCATTATGCTCGGCACAGAGCTCATTACGGATAATCGGTCATTCTGAAATTATTTTTGTGTATCTTCAGCCATAATTACGGATACAATAAAAAGATGTCCCCGGTTAATAGAAAATTCATTTGGGTTTGCATAGGAGCTTTTTGTCTGACTTCAATTGCCAGCGTTTAATGCTTGTATTATGCTCAAAAAGTATTTAATTTAAGCTACCCTGTCAGTCGATATTTCCAAAGCTTCGCTTAAGCTTTCACAGTTTGCATCTTAGGCTTCGACCACTGTGCGCGCACTGAGAGCTCTAACATAGAACTGTTAGCTAACGGCATCCCAGTAGCGGCAGCAGCAACAGCAACAGCAACAACAACTTGACGACAACAAACGCGGCGCTTTGGCTGACATCGCGCCGTTACCGTTACACTCTCCAGTTTTTTTTTACGTTCCTTTTGCTTTTCTGTGTGTGAGTGTGTATGTGTGCTCTCCGCTCATTACTAACGCAAAATTAGACAAAACGTGAAATGTGTGTCGTTGTCGTCGTCGTCATCGTTCTCGTTGTCGCTGTCATCTTTGCAGCTCCAGTTCTCGCTGTTGCTTTACGCTGCTGTTGATTGCTCCTATTTACATACTATTATTCCATTCACTTTATTTTTTTTTTGCCGTGAGTATTGTGAAAAAATATTGTCAATTTTTATACAAAATAGCAGAAAAAAGTGCTTCCATGACGATAGTTTTTTGTTAGTGTATTTGTTTGTTTGTTTGTGTGAGTGTCGGCGAGTGTGTTTGTGCCTCGTTCAATTGCTCTCTGCAATTCACAATTCATTTTCATTCACAAGTGCAATGGCAAACAACAACAACAACAACAACAAGAGCAAATAAAAGAACAAGAACAAGAAGAAGAACAACAATAACAGTGGCGCGGCTTAACGAATTGAGTGGAAGCGCGTGCTTAACCTAAAAATGAATGACAATAGCTTAGTCTTGTGTGTGTGTGTGTGTATTTAGTTAAACTCAATTCATGCTTTTTGTTTTCTACTTCCGCTTTTTACAGAGGAGAATATAAAAACAACAACAACAATGCATAGTTCCTGCTGAGTAGCTTTTTTCATTATTGAGCGTGTGTGTGTGTGTGTGTGCCGCCATGTTGCCCCACAACGCCACAGCTGAGAAGCCCGGAACTGAGCACCTCGCAACAATACGCAAAATACAACAACGATAACTTCCACACATAACAGCTTCCCGTAGCACCTTAGCTCCCATCCCTGTAGCTAGCTAAAAATATTGTTATTATAAACAAAAAAAAAAAACAAAAATCGAACTTCTGCAAAAAAGAAAAAGAAAGCAAAAAAAAAACAAAAAAACACACACACACACACACTGCCACATACAAAATGGAACGCATGTGGCGCAAAGTGAATCACAGCCTGCGCAACAACAAATCACAGTCGCAGTCACAGCAGTTGGGCAACTCCCCCGCTGGCGCTGCCGCTGGCTCTGCTGGCGCCGCAACGCCGCAGTCGAGCGACACCATCAGCTCGGCGGGCGGATTTGGGGATGCGCAGCTTGTCGTCGCAGCGACCGCAACAACAGCAGCAGCATCAGCAGCAGCAGCAGCAGCTGGCGGCAGCAATGCGACCGGTCGACGTTTGGCAAGCAGCGGAATGCCGCCATCCAATTGCCACAAATCGCTCAGTCAGCATGTGCTGCAAACGCGTACAGCTTCCTCGGAACGTCGACGGCGACGTCGGCGCAAGAGTCGACCGCGACGCAGCGGCGGCATGGCCAGTGTGACCAGCTGCGTTGGCGACGGCGGCGGCGATAATATGTCGTAAGTCAAATCACACTTTACCAACCCCATTCCCCACCAATCTGTCTGCCGTCTGTTGTCTACATACCATATCTAATTGGAAAATTTATTGTACAGTTGGAAAAGATTATAATCAGTACAACTTTTCACAGTTTGAATGCAAATGTTGAATTAGCATGTTGAGTAAACATTTTCTACACGAATCATTCAATTTTTATCACACTGAATACGTTTTTTTAAGTTTATTTTCATCTTAAACTTTATTAATGATCGAAAAAGGGTAGTTTTTCTCAGTGTATGAGGCAGTATCAATTATATTCTATTTAGTCACACACCTTTTATTAATTTAATCATTTGAAATGGAAAATGAATCATGAAGCTGGCAGAACTAAGGTTCTTCGACCCCATAAAGTATATATATATAGTATATAGTATAGTATATATATATTCTTGATCAGCATCATGAATCGATTTGATTTGAAGTATATAGATCGCCTGTCATCTACCTAAAATAGTATTAAAACGAAACTTGATCGGTTTTAACGCTTGTTTCCCTTTCCAAAACACTTGTCTGCAGTTCCTCTGGCGGTTTCTACACGCTGAAGGAGCACCATCAGCACTACCGACACAACCACAACCATAATCATAATCATGGCAGTGGCACCGTTTCGACATCGCATCGCCTCTTTGCCAGCTCGGCACCCAGCGGCACCGTTATGATGTATCCAAATGCACGGCGTGCAACAAACTCAACAGCTGCATCTGCTGGAGTAGCAGCAGCAACAGCAGCAGGAGGTGGAGGAGCAGGTGCTGGCGTAGGTCCTGCTGTAGCGTTGCCAACACCGCCGGACATCTCGTTGAGGCAGCGAGCGGTTGCCAAGTTGCGCATGTTCAACTTTCACCTCAACTGGGATCTGCATATGACGCACTGCAAGCCCTGCGGGTGAGTGAGCCACCACCCAAAAGGTGGGCTGCATATTCCAAGTTAGGAGTTGGAGTAGGAGTAGGAGTTGGAGTCGGAGTCGGAGTGGGTGTGCTGCAAGTGGCCAAGTGGCCAAGTGCGGGACGCCACTTGAGCTGCTTCCAGTGGCTTGTGGCTTTTGTTGGGCGTCGAGTATTTTCTTGTTGTTCTTCTTTATATATACCCTGTAAGCATTTGAAATTGTGCAGTAGCCCGATAAGCTGACCCGATCTACAAAAAAATAAATAAACAGAATATAGCCAAAGAATATTTTAAATTTTTAACAGCTCAATCTACATTTAAATCGATAAATATCGATTGTCAATCGGCCTTCAGATTCAGTTGAAAGAAGGAAGAATATTTGGGGCAGCTGAATTGAAACTGTAAATGTAAAATAATAAGAGTTTGAGGAGACAAATTAATTGAAGAGGGACACAATAGATATAGAAAGTGGAATAGATATAATAAAGACTTTCAATAAAATTAGAAATGAGGTTAAAGTGATGTGAACAGATTGCACTGTTTCTTAAAATTAGATAATCAACGTCAATTTTGTTATTATTTGGTAGACTTAGGGTATTTGCTAGTTGGGCACACTTTACTTGTGTTTTTTTTTTTGTTGTTTTGTTGCGTTTGTCGTTTGTCGTGGAGTCGGTTGAGTTGCTGACTCGGTAAGTCGGTTAGTTGGCTTCATTGAAGGGCCGCGTTGAATGAACCCAAACCACAAGCCGAACCCGAACCCGAACCCGAACCCGAACCCTAATGCAAATGCAAAACTGGGTCGACGACATTTTCATTTCCATGCTACCAACTCTAAATGTTTCTGCAGCTTTAACCCAACACCTGGCACCGTGCACCCAACACCTAGCACCGAGCACCTGGCAGCTGTCTCGTTCTTGTTTATCCCAAAATGTGTCAAATTTTAATGAAGCGCCAGCTAACGAGCTTCTTGCCAGGTGGGTGTCGCTGACAAGCCGGCAAGGGGCAATTGCTGACAACAAGCAGCCAAACGCAAAGTTAATGATGTGGCACATTGGGCTAACTAAAAAAAAAAAAAACTCAAAAAAATATCAAACAAAACTTTCGACTTTGGGCATATGATAATCATAATGTTAATGACAGGGCGCCGAAACTTTGGGGATGTGCTCAAATTGTATATCTAGATTAAGGTTACAGTTATGTGGCCATTACGGATGGAATAAAATTGAATCGAGATATAGGTTTTCTGGACATCAAATGTAGAATATAATTATCTTTAATGTTATATCTTAAATTTTTACGTTTTTTTTAAAGGTTTTTTTTGCCAGATACAGTAAAGAAATCGTTGTCTTAATTTAAATCAGCTGATATATCAAAAGTGCTGAAAATGAATGTATTTCTTGAAGTTAGGTTATATTGAGAGTCTGAAAACTAGTTTCTTTTACTTAAAATAAGACGTAATCTCAGCAACAAAAATGAACAATTCTGAGATTAGTTTGAATGCAGTCCACACAACTATTTAAACTGATTTTAAACTGTCAAATCTTTTTAGAAAGTTCTGCAGATTTTTCGTTGGTATAAGTATGGGGTAAGTTGAAGTTAACAGAAACTAACCCCACGTTCTAGTCCAGCCAAGACCCAATAAGACAAAGTGCAGACGAAATGAAACATGAGAAAGAGAAACACTTGTAATTTCATTAACCTCTACTCTATCATCACAATAACTAAAAGCAAACTAAATCCTCTCTCCCACTTCATCTCCCTCTCTCTGTCATATCTGGACAGCCCTCGTTTGAGTGGCAGCGGCAATATTATTACGCGTCGCCTTTGCCGCAATCGTCGACGGGAGGACAATGAGCTCTATCGTTCGAATAGCTTTAAGTTCGAGCGTTTCGAGCGCAAGGAGTGCCTCGAGGAGCTCTCCAACACATTGCAGAAGCAGGTGAGTGCAGCAGTAAAAAAATAAAAATAAAAAATAAATAAATAAAAAAATAAAATAAAATAAAATGAAATGAAATGGAAGCCATTGACCGTTTGAGTTTGGATTAGAAGGTGTTTGGTGTTGGTGGGGGGGTGGTTGAGCAATTAAGCACCGCAGGGCTGCATAATTGATGCGTGTCCGGAGCATAGTTGGCCACGGCTGCCACATGTTGCATGCTACGGCAATCCATCTAAGCAACGGCAATTTATGCGCATAGATTACACCTAATTGAAGTGTCGAAGAACCTGAAATCCTCAAACCCACCCGCCCACCTCGCGCACATAATTAGAAAGGTCCTCCACACTTGCCTCCTCTCTTTATCAGACTGCATTACTGAGAGAAATTGCATTAAGTTGAATTTGAGGGGGGTTGTCGCTTACGTTTTTTGGGTTTGTTGTCGCAGGTGGCGTCTGTCTGACATTCCTTTGGCCAAAGTTCAACTCGGGGGTCGGAGGTGGGCGGTGGGTGGCAGGTGCTTGCGGGAATGAAGGAATCTAATTAATGGTGCGCAACAAATTGAATTTTAATTGAGCGTCGAATTTGATTTGGCCCCTCAAGTGGTCCTGGCGGCCATTCTGTGGTGTCTGCCAATACAGCATGGAGCATGGTAAATGGAAATAGATTGCGATTGAGCAGTTGGGGAGTGATGGATAGGGAACGGGGAACGGGGGACGGGGAGTGACACAGCTGATAATCAGGTTAACTTCTAGTTTGGGCATTAAAAGAGAGCTGGCAATTATCTGACTAGAACTTTGATTCAAAATCAATATTAAGCAACGATTTTCAACAATTAATTGTGACTGCAAATCGAGCACAAGTTTTGACAAAACAATAATAAATTGTCATATTTTCAAATATATATTTTTGTTGAGCTCAACTTTGAATGGGCATTTTTATATTTGATCTAGAAAGTTAGACTGAGTAATTTTCAAAGGTTAAACACTCAGCAAAAAGCCACTCAAATTCGATTGAGTTATAAATGTGAACGTTGAATGAAAGGCACCCAACAAGTTGGCACTCTCAATTAGCCTGGGGCATAATGTGTATGGAGTCCGGGAGAAATGGAATTCAGCGTGGCATGTTTTACGTTAATGTAATTCCATTTTTAACGCTTAAGCTGACGTTGAAGGTGCACCACCCTCCTCCGCCCGCTCCAGTCATCTACCGTTGCGTGCCTACGCCTCAACTTACCCCCCGCCACTGGAATGACAGGGCACCATTTATCAGAGGAATGTTTCTCAAGTGCGCTGCGGTCGGAAAAGCACTTGAAAATGTTGTCTCGTGGCAAACTACAACTACAACTGTCAGCTGTCCGGCTCGATAAGCTGCATGGCAATACAACTCACACCTCTGCCACTGCCACTGCCGCTGCCCCTGCCCCTGCCCCTGCCACTTACCCCCAATTTGTGATAGTATTTTCCATGCCTCCTTTGTGAGCGCATTGTTTGCAACATTTTGCACCTTTTGGGGTTTTGTGTTTCGCCTCATAAATAAATAAAAATTTTGTTTTCTTCTTCAATTTCACACAAGCTGGCAATGTTCTCAGATTTTGACGGGTCTATCTTATCACACACTCGAAAAAACCAAAGCTCAAAATTGTAAAAATTAAATAAAATGAAATAAAATAATAAATAAATTGATTCGGCATAAGTTAAGTAGAATTGTCTCCATTTCGTATCATTGCGTATCTTTTACAAATATTTATAGAATTAATAAATTGATTACTTGAAGATATTTTATTGTAGCTCTTCTTAAACTAAGAATTAACTTCTATTAAGAATTTAAGCTCTTATTTTGTACTTGATGCAAGAATATTTATTCTCTTTTCAGTTTAATAAGTTTGTTCGAAATTCTATTCGGTTTGTACCTGAAATAGGAACAACGTTTTTCTGCCAGTGTCGTTGCTTTGAATTCCCAACTCCCAAAGTCGATTTTTTTTTTTGGTTTTCGCTTAGATTTATGTTCTCGCCGCTGTTCGGTGACATGACATGCCTCAACTGGAGTCGCACCTGTCTTTTTCAACCTGCCACCCACTAATCATGGCAGACGTGTCTGCGAAACTTTTCACCTCTCAGCCCCGCCCATCTTTTGGCCACTTGTGGCCTGTCCCTGTCAATTTGATTTCCCAGCGAGCCAGCGAAAAAGTACTCAGCGAAAATAATGCGAAGCCAATGAAAAATCGCATTGCAATTTTTGTTGGCAGCTTAAGTAGTTAGCCATATAAGAAATTCCGTGGAAAGTTATATCCCAGCACCCCTGAAAAGTATGCTATGAAAAATGTAAATCTGTTTGAAATTTGAATCTCTTTTCCGGCAACTACATCATGTAATCATAAGTAGCTCAAGCATTCAAGCATTCAAGCATTCATTAATCTATCCTTAAGTAGGTCAAATAAGTAGCTGTAAACATTGTTTTAAAACTACTTTCATGAATTTTGTACCGCGTACTCTGAAAGTTAGAAGTGCTTAATGCGTGGCAAGGGTGTTGCTAGGGATTTGGGAACTTCTCCTTCTTTAAGCTAGGATTGCTTCTAAGTGTATCGTAGATGTTAGATAGTGTTCAAGAGTGAACACTATTCCAAGAAACATGTTTATTATAACTTGGGGTTTATATTTATTCAGAGCTTAGTATTTAATACAGAATATATGTCCGCTTCATGCGACTTTTACTACGCGATTCAAGCGACCAAAAGCGACTGACTTTTACTTCATGAAAATAGCTTAAACATAGCATCGAAGAAGGTCTTCATCATAAGGAACTTACAATTACCGTTGCTCGCAGGCAACAGCAGATTAAGACTACAAAACGGGAATGCAAGACATGCTGCGGTGTACATAGGCAAATACAGTTATTTCCAACAATGTTTAAACATGCCTAGTAGGAACGACCACTTGCAAACCTGATAAAGATGAGTAAAAATTGACATCTTGTAAAAGCAAACTCTTGCATGGGTTATAATGATAAGTGAACATTGTTGGCCATATAAGGCTAGAATTTGAAGAAATAAAGTCAGCTCGAAATTAGAATTCAACTTAAAACAGATAGTGATATCTTTATTACTTCATCTTTTAAAGATTTACATAAATATTAGCTTATTATTAGATTATGTTAGATATTTTGTGTAGCTCTTTATATAGAATTGCACATCTTTGTTCTATCTAATTAAATTTGCGCTCATTTAGTTCGCATACATTCAATTGAGTTGAATTAAGTTGTCACTGCAAGAGGCCATAAATTACAAACATTTTTGGCATACATCTAGCGAAACAAGTTGTTCAACAAATCTCGCAAATTGCATGGCAATCGCATCATAAACAAACAAGCTATTCAACAACAAGAACACAAAGTTGGCACACCAAGAAATACTATATAGTATATAGTATATATATATATATATGTATATATGTGTATATATCGTATGTGTTGTATATTTACCTCCCAACTGCTTACCCCTTTTTTGCTTTTGTTTTTTGTTGTATCTTTTGTTCTCCCCAGCGAATGTTGCAGGAAGCAATATCGCTTTTGCGTCGTAAATTGTTTATTATAATAAAGTTTTTCTTTTGGGATTTTCCGCCTTGCGCTTTTGTGGGCCTCAAATTCTTATTAGGAGGAGGCAGGCAATCTGCCTGGTTTTGAGAATTTCAGGTTTTGTTTGTGCCTCAACGCCCAGTTGAGGGTAAATGCAATTATTTTAAATGAAATTTTGTGGATCCGGGTTCAATGCAACTGTTCAATACAATTTTTGTGCAAATTGCATTTGTAAACCAAATTTTCAGATTTATGCCAAATTTGTTTTTATTAAGGGGGGCGGCTACTGAAAAGTCTGCGGCCCTTGTAGAGGCTACCCAAAATTAATGGACATTTCTCTGTTTTATTCTTTGGTAACTTCTTCCTCTCTAAAATTTCTGCCTCGAATTTGTTCTATTTTGGAATTTGCTACTCTGTCATTTGATGAATGTAAGAGAAAAGAAAAGATCATTCCTAGTTTTGGGGAAAATTGTGCATAGATACTTTATAGATGTTGTTGCTGAGAATTTAGCCTACAGCTGATTTGAGGGCTTAGTCAAAATATTCGATAAATATTTCAATTATCTTAGCGCAGCTTCCTCTCTAACAGCTCAATGAAGTTTTTTAACTTTATCTTCTTAATGAAAGATGGAACACAATTTGTATCTCTTTCGGTTCCCCTCGTTTTTTCCCCCCTCTTGCATTTCTCAATTGTCGACATCGACTCATTGTTCGCTTTGTAATTTCCATCATCATTTAATGTGCTTTCAGCAGCACACCAAGCAGCCAACTAACCAACCACCCACTCATTACTTTTGATGGCATCATTTTGAATGATGCCCCGATGATGTTGAACCACGCTCGACCTGTGTCTTGCCCCACGCACCACAAAAATTGTGCAGTGATCTGTGTGCCGGCAATCATTAGCCCCGAAACAATCAGTCCAAATACGCAGCCAGCTTATTCATGCAACAATTGTTGATTGCGTTGAGTTGTATTGCGTGCCGACACACCCCAACACCCCACCAACCCCCGAACTCCTCAGATCCGAAGCCATTTTGTGTGCGTGTGAAATATTGTTGGGGCTCATAACGAGAATTGCGCTGTCAGTGCGAGAGACAATCGCTGAGATATGATGCCTTCATTTGACCCACTGCACTGTGCGAAATTAGTTAGCACAATCGCAACCCTCCAGCATCAACCACCCCCCACTTGTGGCACGCTGCTTGCTACTTGGCTTAGACCTTAGTTTAGACCTAGTTAAATATAATGGGCCATCAAATGAGTTAATTTCACGACGGCATGCCGAAAAAGTTGTCGTTGCCCCGAATGGAGTTCTTTGCTCAACCCCACCAAACCGCCACTTGCCACTCGCTACAAGTGGCTACAAATTTAATCAAACAGTTCCCTCCAACACACACACACTCGCACACACACTCGCACACCTCGATGTG